CAGAAGACTACCAGACCAGCGGAAAGTTTTGACAGATAAGAAAACTTTTAAATTTATGAATTCCATTTATTTCGATCAAAAAATACCGACATCGTGAACACCACAACACCTGTTCTAAAGTACAGTAAAAAAAAAATAAAAAATAAAAAAGTTACAAAATGCGGATTTTATCATTTTTTAACCTCAATTTGACCATGCTTTTGAAAGAGATAAAATATAAACGACTTTTTTTCTGTCTTTAAATTCAGCTTGTGTTGCTATAATTAGAATGCTATCGTACTAAAGGTGAGAAAGTGCTTATGCAATCTAGGCTCAAGTCTAAGAGTATTTTAGTATGAAACAGCAACAGCTATACCACCAGTGTTTCTCCCAGACTTTTTTCTCCGGGGGGGGGGGGGGGCGGTCAACATTTTTCGGGGGGGGGGGCGGACACAAGTAAAAGTGTATGTTTACTATATAAAATCCATCTCCTTCTGAGGGGGGGGCGGTAGACTTTCTTCGGGGGGGGGGGGCGGCTCTGACCCCCCCCCCTACGAAGAGATGCCTGGAAGAAACTCTGTATACCAATGGTTGTCAATCGCAATACCCCTCATATGATTAGCATACAACGCTTGTCTGCTGCTAGCTTTTAACAATACAATAGATTTCAGCCAATACACTATAAAAATATTAAGCCTAACAATACTGCAACACTTCATAATGCTAGGCTAGTATTGTCTGCGTATTGTCTGCGTATATTGTAACTGAATGGAGCGACACGTTTGGTGTGTTCAAAACAACACACGTGTTTCCTAATGAATGATCCACCAGAGCAATTATGCAATCGAAAAAAAAAAACCTGTGGCCCATGCGTGTCGCTACATTTCCTGAAACAATATATAGACCGGGGTAGGTCACAGCAGAGGTCACCTTTAACGAACAAACATCAGAGGGTAATGAGGAAAATATTTCAGGCCTACTTCACTAAGGCTTGGTGGGACCAGAGGCGTAGCGGGGGGGGGGGGGGGGTACATATGTCCCCGGGCGCCGACCGTAGGGGGCGCCAAAATGGGTTGTACAAAAATTAAAAGCTCATTTTAGCTGCAGTTTTGCATTATAAATATTACAAAAAATATGGGGGGGGGGGGGGGGCGCCAAATTGAAAGTTTGTCCCCGGGCGCCGTTAAGGGTCGCTACGCCTCTGGGTGGGACCAAAACGATGATGCAATACGTCTGGTTTTTACTTTGTGTAAACTTAACTAATACGCTTTAGTAGATTTACCTAAGAAATGTATTTCCTTGCTTTTATTAATAAAAATAAAACATGAGTTAGGCATATCTATAGTCTATAGCCATCTAATTTGGAATACATTCCCTAAAAGCTAAAAAACACTTTGCGAATAAAAATATTAACTAAATGTAAGCTAATAATAGGGCCTTCAATAGGAAATGTGTCTGTTCTTGGAACGAAGCACACTTCTCAGACTGAAAATATTTTATAGTCTCTATATCAGATTAGTAGGTCTATCTAGAATCAGGAACTTGGAGAACCTGTAATGGGATACGCTTTATAATTCTATTGCAATTTAATTCTCCGGCATAAATGTGAATTGCGATTCACCGAAATCAATGTCTCCAACCAAACAGCACACCACGTATGTTTTATCGAACTGCAGTAGACCCACCCCCTCCCCGTAATCGCAACAATTGGAATAGTTAGGCCTACGCGAATCGACAAAATATGCCCTTCAATTTCCATTTTGATTTAGCTAGCCATATTTGATTTTTAACGCATAACATTCTTAACGTCTGTCCTTTAAATTTCTACCCCACTGCAAGGGCATTGGGTTATTATTTCATGAACTAGGAAGTCGAGTGTTGGTTTAGCCGTGGGTCCTGGACCACACGCTAGACCGGATAGATGGCTATCCAAGTGTGCTGTTCACGAAATCACCAACCATGACGGGTTTGGGTTGTCAGTACCCGCAGGTGATGCAACACTCCCTGTCAGGTTTTGATAGGGTATTTTCTGTACGCTACTTCAACCATCAGTATTAAAGGGTGATAAGACAGACTTTCCACCATTGCAAATTTCGGCAGGGGCGTAGCGAGGGGGGGGGGGGGGTCGGGGGTTGCGGACCGCACCGGGTGACACCATTTAGGGGGGGTGACACCAAGGCAAAAAATAGCAAAATATATAGAGAAAAACTCGAGGGGGGGGGGTGCAAATCGAAAGTCTGAAGGGGGGGGGTGCAAATCGAAAACTCGAGGGGGGGGGGTGCAAATCGAAAGTTTGAGGGGGTGGGGTGCAAATCGAAAATTTGAAAGTTTGTCCCTGGGAAGGGTCTCTATGCCTCTGGGGGGTGACACCATTAAGTGCCGCACCGGATGACACCCGACCTCGCTACGCCACTGATAAGACAGACTTTCCACCATTGCAAATTTCGGTACATATTTTTGCTAGCTTGGACAATTTCTAATGGGTTCTTTTTTTTAATGAAACAATTCCTTGTTTTTATTAAAACAATTGAAAACAATTTTAAATATTCTGTGCCTACTCGCCTGCTTCTAGATTTATTGTAGGATTAGGAAAGCTAGGCCTGATCTCTAACCTGTATAAAGATATCGCTTAATTCCCGGGTTGTTATTTGTGTTTTTCCATTCTACTATTACGTTTGCAAGTATTTCAATACTAAGGGATAAACAGAAATAGTGTTTCTTTCAGACATCTCACCAGTGTGTGGGTGTGTATGGGGGGGAGGAGCATATATAGCGTCCCCTCCCCCGCACGAAATAGAAAAAAATATATAATATATTGAAAATAAAAACTTATAGGTATTAGTGTAAGTCAACCCCCCTCCTCTTTGGAAGAAAACTGTCTGAAAGAAAGCCTATACAGAAGTACAATTATCTATCTATATAATTAATTTTAATTTTACTCGTATTTTTCTAAGAAATTCAGTATTTCAAGCGTTCTTCATATTTTAAAGATTTAATCAAACAAGGGAACTAATTGCGATTTGTCAGCGTGATCGCCCACTCTAAACGATTCTCACATTTACACTACACCTAGCAAACAAACCAACACAACAACCCCGTACAAACAAAAGAGGGTACACGAATCAATAGATTAAGGTCGAACAGGTAGGTTTGATCCATTGGTTCCATACTGGAGAGATTACCGCCAAAGGTAACCGATTGACGTCATACAGGTAAATAACGCACAGTAAGCGGAGCGCGAACTGTGCGATTTTTAAAAAGCAGGCAAAATCATTTGCTGACCGAGTTTAACGTATGTAAAAAATTTTTTTTTTGGGGGGGGGGGGGGGGGGGGGGGGGAGATTAGGGGTAGTTTTTATCGATTTGCCTTTTCCTTGATTAACGCCATTATCTATATTTTTACCTTTATTGACAGTGTTGCTTTCAGTGACATACAAAACTGCGTGAGGCATACACATTTCACACATTTCAACTATTTGAACTAAGCATACATTCTGAAAACAGAAAGTGCATTGATGTTAGTTCTACAACTTCCGATGAAACCAGCATATACTATTCAAATTTCTTTTGCATTCAGTACAGTTAAAATACTTTGAAACATTCGACAGTTCAAGAAAACGTCGAGGTTTCTTTAGACCGGTGTTACAATTATTTTTTTTTAGCGCGGCGGCAAAGTTTAGCTTGGCCGTTGTCTGTTAGATTTCTAACGCACAGTCGTCTGGAAACTGTATTAGTAGGCCAAGTTTAGCGACGGGCAGACTTGGGGAGAGAGGAGGGGGGGGGGGCGGGAAGAGAAGACCAAGGGTAACCTAAATATACATTTGAAGGTCATCTAAGGTAAGAACCCAGTTTTAGCTTAATTTTTTTTTGTCTGCTGGAGATTGAGAAGATAAGAGGGGAAGTAATTGCAAAATAAATATGGGTTTATAAATAATGTTATTTGGATTTCATTTGAATTCACATTTTTCAGATAATAGTTTTTTGTTTTTTTTTAAAACATAGGCCTACACGCCTAATATTTATATTCGTTGTACTTTACAAAAACATTTAGAATTTTTCAACACTTGCCGTGTACTCTTAAAATTTGTTGTGACCACACAAAGCCACATGCGCTATATACGCGTAAACAACCAGAACTATATTCGTAATCGGACATATTCAAGTATTTAAAATCACCCACGTCAGAAACGAAATTAGCAAAGGGCGATAACATGTATATTACAACCATTCTTAATTTACGGAGTTACCTCCTATATCAGACACAAATTATTAGAATTATTTTAAAATCAAAGCTTCGGCGACTATTGTAAAATTCTATAGTAATGTCTTACATTGAAAGCATTTAATTAAAAAAATTAAAGTTAAAATTTAATACTATATATTTTAAGACTAATATGAAAATAATTTACTAAACTAAATAAGTATTAGGCACTTAAAGCTATTTTAATTTAGCACAATAGAATGATCACAAAGGGGGGGGGGGGGGGAGTATAAAGATTCCTCTTAAGACCTAGCAATTTATTAGACAGATGAAGTAGAGTTAATATTTTCTTGACCTCAGCATATGAAGGGATCATGTGGTCAGCACTATGCTCACCCACCTTTACTTTCCCTAATGACCTAATGTGAGTTAGGTATCCATCAGTCCTAGGTGGACTAAGGGATGTTCCACTGACTAGAACCCGGATTTGAACTTGATACTTTTGGGTTAGCAATCTAGGGCTCTACTGCTAGGCCACACTATCCCATCTGTGGGAATATGAACCACAAGATTTTTTTATTTTGGCCAGCTGGTAAATAATACTTTTATAGACAATTTACATACCATTCGTAAGTGCAGTGCTTCACCACTAAATAATTCTAGTTCAGACCACTTTCTAGCACTAAGTCCGTTCCTTTTTTAGGAAAAAAAAAAACAACAACTTTTAAAGCAAAAATTGTGAAAATAAACAACCAGAATTCATAAAACAAACAACAATAGTGTAAAACAAAAATTGTAACAAAATAGATCCACAAAAAAGAAAAACAAAACATTTTATTTCAGTTAAAAAATAAACTTGTTTTCAGGAAACAAACTTGCATATTTGAGCAAAAATTTTAAAAAATTCTACAGTAGACTTTCAGTCGCTTTACAATGTTTACATACAGGACTGATGCTTAAATGGCTGGATGAGCCATAATTTATAAAACATGAGTACTTTAACAGGAATTCAATACAAAGTAAACAAATAGTTTTCTATTTAAAAAAACTTATTATAATGATTTATTCTAAGCAGTAATATTCTAACAACTAAATAAATAATAGAATTCGGTAAGATTAAGGCATTAACCAAAACTAGAAGATTAATTTAGACCATTGTAAATAGTAGACATCTAGATGCATGAGATAATCACCCATAATTCAGAGATTCAACATGTGTATTTTAACAGTTTGTAGCAAAGTCAAGTAAAAATTATTAATAATTCTTCCATGAGTTAGTATCAAAAGCCAATAAAATTAAATCATAATTGATCCATGAGCCAATGAATAATGGAACAGACATTCCAAAATTTTTTTTTTTTTTTTAGCAATAGCAATTTAACAAGTTTTCACTTTTCTGACCATTAAATTACCCACCTGTTCAGAAATGTATACAAGGTTAAAAGGTGCTTTGAGTAATTGAGTATTTTTATAAATATTAGGAATGTTACTTCCGAATACATATAGTTTTCAATAATATCGTCTAAAAAAAATATTTGATCATTGTGGAACAAATAAAAAAATTGTTTTAGTTTGAGTAGCATGTTTTGAGATTCTAGAGCAAACATTTAATATCCGATTAATAATTAAAACAAAAAAAACCGTGTGCATGAAAATTTGTGATCAATATGGCTCAACACAGAACTATAAATTAAGTGTAAAAAATAATAAACAACTAAAGTGTATAGGCTTGTAAAAAAGGAATCACATACAGATATAAAAGTCTATACAATTTTACCACAGATGCCACTATTAGTTTCCAACAATTCACTTTCAAATAATCATATTTGGCTACATTCTGGTCTATATCATAGCTTATTGTCTTTAAAGATATAATGCACTCATAAGCTACTAAAACAATACTGATAATTATGATTCAAATGAATGATTAACAAGTCTAAGTTAGATGTCATACGACTAGGAAACCTAAACGTAAATGCTTGTTTATAATGATAAATTACGAAGGGTAAGGTTTTCCAAAAAAAAAAAAATTCAACTTATTTGCAAGTAAGTTAACAGTTCATAGCTGACAGATCATACATAACAGCTAACTGATGGCAAATCAAGACAGACACCAAGGACCTATTTCTATATATTCCTTATATAGAATCAGACAAACAGCACAAAGTCACAGTGATGCCACATTCACACACTCTGCATTGGCTTAAGATCAGACGAAACCTGAAAAAAAAATGCAAACAATGCTACATTATATGCAGATGTGAAGAATAAATGATGGACATATTTCTACATTTTTGAAAACCATGTCCAATCCAGCAATTTTGTATAACGTAATTTATTTCGTAGGAAAAAATCTGGTGAATAATATTTAGGTAGCTTTTTTAAAAAAAAAAAAGATCCTAAAGAACTTAATGAATGTCTGGGATGTTTTTGTTTAAGGATCAACAGGAAGTTGCAATAAATTATTTAGAAATAAAAGTACAAGAAAAATAGATAAAGATTGTTGGTATGAAAATGTGAAATAAACTTAATAAAAACCAAGAACTATTTTGTATTGATATTTTTTCTTTACAAAAACTTTAAGCTGATTACATAACTGTTGAAAAATCCAATTACCTTAAAATCACATCCTGTTTTAGCTTTCAGGTCATCCATTTCTACATCCTCAGCTATTTCTATTAACGTCAGTCCTCGTTTATTACTTACATTAAAGACGCCCTAAAATAAATTTGTCATGAATTACTTATGTTCTAGACAGCACTAAAGTTGTAATTAGACAAAAGTAAGCCCTATGTAAGTTTTGTAGCTTTAAGCTTTTTACATTTTTGATTGAACAGTAAGGGTCAACCACATGTCCACTTAAAATGCCACAACCCCTTCCCCACAATCTAGTCCTCTCAACCAACATTATTTCCAATATTCTCATACAGTAATATGCAATGTGTATGTGTACATTGCAAATAGTTAACATCCAGATTTATTTTTTCAGAAATGCCCACCATCAATTATCAGAAGAAAAATCTAGACTATTTTTAACAAAAAAAAAGCATTTAAATGAAATATTATATTTTATGATATGCAACTGTTATACTTTTGCCCAGTTTGAGAAAAAAAAAATTAACGTTATTAACATTAGTTTTTGGTAAGGAAAGAATCGTTTTATTATTAGTATAGTATTTTTTGTTGTCAGATGCAGCTTGTAAATTTTGTACCCGCTATTTTCCTTCCCTTCAGCAATTACTTATTGTTGATTTTTTTGATGCTTTGATTTATTTTATATACAGATTAATATTTTGTGTGTGTTGTAACATAAGTTTTTATGATAATTTTACTTTTACAATGCTTATGTACCAGACAAATCCATCAAACCCCCTATGTAACCACAAAATCAATTATTCCCCACATCATCTCTCATTTGTGTAGACAACAATGGATAACACCTTTACTTTAAGTCAAACAAGGGTAAAACATTTACCATGTTGGTGATGATCATGTCCACGCATTTCTGCCCAGTCAAAGGAAAAGTACATTCCTTTAGAATTTTGGGCTTGCCATTCTGAAAAAGTCCAAAGTGATTTTTAATTGTATATGTCTAAACCCACACAAAATCAAAAAAATTTTTTTTATACAATTTAAGTGACTGTTTTGGTATGCCATATTTCTAAAGTTCCCCACCTTTGATGTGTGTTCCATTGTGACCACAACTTTGGTTTTGGGGTTTGAGACCAAATCCATGGCTCCTCCCATTCCTTTCACCTTCTTGCCCTGTGATGTAAAAATAGATTCAACATGCACTTCAGGCATTACTATCAAGACATTAAAAAGTTTCTCATTAATCATAACTTTAAAGGTATACACAGACTTACAGGAATCATCCAGTTTGCCAAGTCACCATACTGTGAAACTTGCATGGCACCCAAAATAGTCATTGAAAGATGGCCTCTGCAATAGTTACACAACACTGTATGCAATATTTCTTTTAGTTTTAATCTATTCCCTTTACTTTAAAAAATGTAGGCTGGTTCAGAGTTTCTATATTCAATTTGTTCAGCTTAACAATATTTCTTTTTAAGATTATAAATTATGTAAACATGCTCAGCTTAAAAAAATGTTGCCTCATTATTCATTGGATACAAAATCTTAAAGCATCATCATAAATACAATTTTCATGTACAATAGAAGATTTTACTTGATTGTACTAAACCAAAAGTAATGCTTACCCACGAATCATGGCAAAAGATTCATCAGATGAGAAGAATGATCCCCCGGGTAAGCAAGTTACTGTTTCTTTACCTGCATTAATCAAATCTGCATCTTCCTCACCTTTGTGCGGAAAAGGGCCCTACAATGTTAAATATATTGATTGATAATTAATAGCTAAAAATATTTTTTAGATTAACAACTAAAACATCTTTATTTACTTCAATCTTTGCAATAAAGACACGATTTTTTAATATACATACAAATTCTGTTCTTCTTCTTTTTTTTATTCTTTATTCTTCGTTCTTAATTTTAGTGTTGGAAGGGATCCCCTCCAACACAATTAAGGATACGTGTCAACTGGTTATGCGCCATTGAGGCCATTGACTCTGATTTCAGCCTGCTTTTCTTTTTGGATTTGCTTCCATAGCCTTTGTCCAACCAAGAACAAACTACAAACTACAAGGCAGCAGTTGTTTGATTTTGGAGTTGTCTCTCATGGAAGAGTGGCTGTCCCCAGCTAACGAGCCTCATCTGCCTGAGGGTTCGAACTCCAGACTTTTCGGTTTAGCAACCTTGAGCTTTACCGACTCAACCACGCCGACCCAAATTCTGTTCTGAAAAATAAGATCTATTAAAAACCCACCAGTCCTAATATTCCATTTTCACTCTGCAAATGAACTTTGATGCCAGGCTGGACAAAGTTGCTGGCCAGCACTGGTATTCCAATGCCAAGATTTACTTGGTGACGTTAAGGTTTACAGCAACTGTATTCTCTTAAATAATTATTTTTTAAACTAAAATCAAGCTGTTATTTGTCAATTTTAACAAATATTTTTGTAAATTATAATAAAAATGTATCAGTATAGGGTCACATAATATTGACCCACATTAATTAATATTTTAGAAAAGAAACTGAGATAACTCTTTCTATAGTAAATAAAAAAAACCAAATCACCAAATCAAGTGAATATAGATTAATAACCCAGAACACCCTATAATTATGACAAATAATAATGGCTTGGAAGGATATTTAGCACGGCTATAAAAATACCAGCTAGTTCTTCACAAGCTCATGAAGTTATAATGATAAAGTACGACAGATCTTTAGGGGAACACTGGTCTCAGAGTTAAACTATATAATACTAAATAATAAAGAAATCTCTTTTAGCTAAAGAACCTGATATAATACAGAATAAAGAAAAACGTTTTAAAAAAAATAAAAAGCTAATCATCTTATTCAATTTTACTGAAAAACTTGAGTTGTTTAAAGCTGAAAGAAGTGGACATTTAAGTTATTTTTCTAAGATATTTTTGCAAGGGACTGGTTAATTAAAAAAACAAAAAAAAAAAACAATGACATTAGTAAATGATTACTAAAACAAGTTAATTAAAAAAGTCTAGTGACATTTATGCGCAATTTCCTTATGTTATCTAAAAATAGCTCTGACGTATAATGCTGGGGTGCGTTCAAGCTAGAAGAACGATCGGTTTGTAGGTGTTTATGTAATTTTAAAATTTGTGACCGAACGAGAGGATATTTTTGAAAACTTTCTTCGGCAATATTGTTCTAAATTATGGCAGGAATCGATTGGTACATGTTTCAAGTCGCTAAGTGGTCTGGTTGCCGAGATATGGGCCAAAAACTGCATTTTTTCGAGGTTTTTTGGCTTTTCCGGGAAATACATGAAAGAAACCCGGAATTTTTATGGCCTATGCTCATTCTCATAACTTGCTTAACATAATTGCTTTTGGAACTAGTCATCGATATTGCTTCGTTGAGGAGGAGATACGACTTAAAGCCCGGACACACATTCATACATCCATACATTCATCCATCCATTCCCAGAAATGACGAGTTAATAAACGCAATTCTCCAGAATGGAAATTGCGCTAAAAATGACTTCTATTCAGTCTTGACAAAAGGATACAGTACATGCCATCTTCAAACTCACACGCAGCTCTTTTGATAATCCTTTCTCTGACTTTGTAAGCTGGATCAGAGTTGTCTGTACTTTCAATTTGCTCAGCATACCGCAATTTCTTCATTAGATTAAAATGTAAACATGAACAGCTTCTAAATAAAACATAAAATTGCTTCATTTTTTTACACCTGATAAAAATCATAAACCTTTACCAGAAAATCAACCAAATGTTTACCTCAATTCTTTTTTCAGTGCGAGGTGGTTTGTAGATTCTCTTGACATAAATGTGTGGGACATGGACATGCTCTGGTTCTATCTCCCCCACCTCCACAATCTCCTCCACCTCGGCCACAGTAATACTTGCTGCTTTGCACATAGCTGGGTTGAAATTTGAAGCAGATCGTCTGAAATATTTATCATGGCGTTTATTGGAAAACCTGTTGCTAAACTTTATGTCAATAAAAAAATTATTGTGTGCTCTTAAAAAATCTATTAGTAAATTATCTTGAAAATATTAATTGAATTTGTCTGAACAAATAATTTATCACAGTATTTGTTTGACAAAATCTATTACTAAATTATTTTGGATACAAGAATTAAAGTTAAAAAAATAATTTATCATAGCAGCCTTTTAATTTACAAAATGAATTACTGTTGTGTCTGGAATTTTTTTTTTTTAACAAAGTATTTATTTAAAAAGTGCATTTCTGTATTTTCTACATAAATTAACATTATATTCAAATATCAGAGACACTAACATTTATCTATAAAACAAAAATGTTCTAGGATTGCTTAAAATTTGTTACCACAAAATTAAAAAAAAGGTTAATGCTTCCAATTTATAATGAATGTTGACATTACAATAAGTTAAATATACCTAAATATTAAATTTCCAGCTTTATCAGCCTTCCAAGCTTTGACTAGAGCAAAATCTCCAGTGATGGCTTCTTCTAATATACACTCTATTCCATTAATAACACGGCCCTGCAAAACAAATATATTTACAACACAAGATTTCTTTATAAATTACATAAAAACAAAAAAAACAACTTAGCATTTTATGAAACTTTTATCACAACTAAGAGTACGAAAATCCCCATGCGATTTAGGCCCAGATAATGAAATAAAAAAACACAAAAAGAAACAATGTAAGCATTTTATAAAAATATAAAAACGTAACTGCAGTCATCTTTTACAACAGGCCCTGAAGAAAACAAATAAATAGTATGTAATACACAAGCCTGACAGACTCTAGATAGGGAACCTAACACAAGCCTGACAGACTCTAGATAGGGAACTTAACACAAGCCTGACAGACTCTAGATAGGGAACTTAACACAAGCCTGACAGACTCTAGATAGGGAACCTAACACAAGCATGACAGACTCTAGCTAGGGTTTTGTTTGCTAACTTGCACATTACCACTCAATTAAATGATGTCCTCATCTTACAGAAATTCTGTATTCACCATGTTTAACTAAATGCCTAGGTTAGTTACCTCTTTTGGTTTACTTCCTTTAACAATGGACCCATCAGGTGAGTATTTGATGGGTTCCCCTCCGAGATGTACCAATGACCCATAGCCTGTTGGGGTGAAGAATGCAGTTATCCCAGCACCCCCTGCTCTTATCTTCTCAGCCAAAGTCCCCTAGTCAAAATAGTTTGGAATTAGTCTGGTCATATAGCAAATTATTCATATTTGATTAGTAATTACAATTATGAGATTATATGCTACCTGTGGTGTCAGCTCCACTTCAAGTTCTCCAGAAAGATATTGATGCTCAAATTCATAGTTCTCTCCTACATATGAAGATATCATACGTTTCACCTAAATAAGAAACACCCAAAAGATTTTAGTCTCTACAAATGATATCATACATGAATTAAAAATAAACACTTCAAGACCTACAATTTCTGTATGTTCTAACATCATTCAAGAAAATTAAAACAGACAGATATCTGCAAATAATAGCTCAAAGGAATATATTAAATTGTTTATATTATAATATATTATCAAAAAGGCCTTCTCCAACTCATACAACAATTTGTGTTCTATAATCATTGAAGAAAATCTGCAATAGTATTCCACTATCTGTAAATAATATCTTAAGCATTAAATGAAATATCAAATAGGCCTACTCCAATACAAGATTTCTATATTTTCATCATCCAATAATAATACTTAGCCCTTTATGAAAATAAACATTTAACAAAAATTTAATATGGAACTAAATTTTTAGGACAAAAAAGCTGGTAAAAAATATTTAAAATATGCATACGGCCAACTTGTAGCAATAATGGTGCCTGCTGGTAAAGAAAATTGAGCTCACCCTACGTTCTCTTAAAAGAATGCCAATTCCAAAGTCTTTAGTTCCTGCTGTGTTGCTGATTATTGTTAGGTCTTTAGCACCAATCTTAATCAAGCCATTAATTAAGCTATCAGGGATGCCACACAATCCAAAACCTGAACCAAAAGTTTTAATGGTATTAATTATAGTAATAAATATATGGTTAACAACATTTTAAAAAAAAAAAAAAAGAAATATTGGACAGCAAAATTTTTGTTCCATATATTTTTAATACAGTTCTTAAACTAATTTAGATCCTATCACTAGGCTTATACACTCAGCAAAAAGAAAGTTAATTTCTTCATTTCAGAAGTTTTCCTAAATTTGTGGCCATTTTAACGTGAATCAAAATAGCTAAGCAGTGAGCAGTTTATCAGTTTACTTTTTATGATTCATAAACTAAACATACAATTTTTTAAAAGAATGTTTCTTGTAGACCTAGGTAATGAAGCTAATAATGGTAGTCAAACTGTTGCTTTAAACTCATTGTGTTACATAAAATATGTCACTGTGTCACACATACCACCAAGAAGCAATTTATCTCCATCCCTTACTCCTTCCAAAGCATCTTGCACAGTAGTGCAGAACCTAACATGCTTCTTTGAAGAAGTTGAAAAATGTGCATTGTGTTCTTTGATCTGTGAAAATAGAAATAACTTGTATGTTAACCGTTACCATTTTGTATTTAAATTATATATATATATATATATATATATATATATATATATATATATATATATATATATATATATATATATATATATATATATATATATATATATATATCCTTTAGGCATTTAGATATTTATAAACCACTACACCATTTGGTTCTAAGAAACATGAATAATTACACAATTTATTTTGTGTCCCACACTCCCTCTTTCTTAAATCATCACTGAATTTACAACTTGAACTCACACCCCAGTCTCCTTACCTTAAGTATTTCTTAATTAAAACAGCACTTTTATTTTTTGCTTTTAACAACAAGATCGAGGCTTTAAGTTTATAGCTATTTAAATAAAGGCATATAGACCTATATCAGAGGCGTAGCGAGGGGGGGCAGGGGGTGCGGACCGCACCGGGTGACACCATTTAGGGGGGTGACACCAAGGCAAAAAATAGTAAAATATATAGAGAAAAATTTGAGGGGGGGGGGGTGCAAATCAAAAATTGAAAGTTTGTCCCCGTGAAGAGTGGCTACGCCTCTGGGGGGGGGGGGGGGGGATGACACCATTAAGTGCCGCACCGGGTGACTCGAGGCTCAAGTCAGTGGAACGTCTGCCCGGCTCTGATGAGTTCCTAAACAAATCACGTTAGGGAAAGTAAAGGCGGCTGGGCGTAGTGATGACCATACTATCCATTCCTATGTCAAGGTCACAGAAACAGGTTAACTCTACTTCAACTGCCCCATGCACCGTAAGGTTTGAAAAGGGAGCATCTGAAAATGTATATTAAGCATCCCACACCCACCAGAAATATATCTCAAACTAGTCGTTAAAACTTGTATACTAGGCTTACAGAACCAGCAATGCTGCGTTATAGTAGTAGCCTATACCATAGGCATACAATAGTATAGACTATAATAAAATAGTCTGATTTAAAGTTAAAGTACATTTAAACTAAATTATTTTGAAGTCAAAATTTTTTTTTTGCGACATTCAGTTTGGCAGAACAGAAAATTGACCTTAGTTGTCAAGTTCAAGGTGAAATGAGCGTCCTTAACCTTTTCTGGAATACAGAATCGGCCTAGATTTAGATTTAGATTTTAGTCTTCGTTGTATGTTTCTAAAATGCATAGGCCAATTCAGATATTTCAAGATAAAAAGATTATTGCATTGAACTAATGACTTTATTATAAACTTGATGTCTAAATTTTAGTATGCCTATCAATCACACATAACGGTGACATACAAATAATGCGGTAGTTCACTACTCAAAGTCTACTGACTACTGTACTTACCTTACTAATGCTTACTTACTAATCTAGATCTAGAAATCTAGCCATAATCGTTAAGTTAACCGATAGCAGATAGATCTATAAAATTAAAAGAAAAAAAGTATAAAACAGTTAAAGCAAACACCTACCTTTTTCTGCCACCCAGAACCAGATGTAGAACTATTTGTACATGACAAGACGGCCAATCTCGATCCCTTTGAATAAGCACCTCGAAATAAAATGCACGCATTATTTAACAGGCCCGAGTGTGCCATCTTTCTGTTCAGATTTATCCTCCTGTACTGTTTTAAGTTTTAAAATTAGTTAACACATGGAATATAGTGGCAGAAATGTACGGAAGTTGTCTTCTATATGCGAATTAGATTTATGTTTACTAAATCTACAGCGCAGCACGAAATTGAACAGTCTACACACCGGCGCTTGAAACAAACTTTAAAAAACAACAGCGAAAAAAAAGCGCGCTCTAATAATAATAATAATAACTTAAAATATCATGGTGACATGTTATTACTCTCTAGATCTAGGTTAGTATGAGTTAGTTAAATCAAAGCAAAATGTAGCAAATCGAATGTTGCTTTCCACCTCCTAAAACAGCTGCGCTGCTAACACAGCCAAACTAAGACGGTGACCTACTTAAAACAACACTACACACGTCTCGTGTGATTACAAATGTACAGATCTAAACAATATCGACAAAATAATGAAAACAGAAAAATGTACTTTATTTCGGAAACTAATATTTTAAAATTTCGAAAGTCATGAGTTTTGAACACATTACTGAGCGCCAACTCACTTGATCTAGTAAAAATAATAATCATTAAAAAAGTTTTAAAAAACCCACGTTTTCTGATTGAACTAAAAAGTAGAAAATAAACGCTATACATCACAATAATGCAAGCGATCACTCTACTATAAGCGATGAAAAACGTGGGGCGCCGAAGTAAAAGTTATATTACTATTGATTAGATAATACTATTGACTTTTATTAGGGAGCTTGTAGAGAGTCAACAGTATTAGAAACTGTAAGAAAATCACGGCGCCCCACGTTTTTGATCGCTTATAGTAGAGTGATCGCTTGCATTATTGTGATGTATAGCGTTTATTTTCTACTTTTTAGTTCAATCAGAAAACGTGGGTTTTTTAAAACTTTTTTAATGATTATTATTTTCTACTTTTTAGTCTTTGTTTGTTTGCATTAAAATCTTGCTATCGATTTTATCTTTTCACTTTTTTTGGGTAAACGAAGACAACTCGTAAAAAGACAACTCGTAAAAAGACAACTCGTAAAAAGACAACTCGTAAAAAACACGTTGTGTGAATACGTTACTGACTAGAACACATAGATTTGAACCCGTGTCGAGTGGGATAGCAATCGTGTGCCCAACCACTCGACCATATCGTCTCCCCCAAACTGGCCTACCTCGTGTAAGTTTAAACTCGGTTCAAACTAAATTATCTGTCCCTAAGCCTGTGGCGAAGTGGGATCGTTCGCTTCACTGCGCGCGAGGTACGCGTCGCTCCTGTAAGTTTAAACTCGGTTCAAGCTAAATTATCTGCCCCTAAGCCTGTGGCGACATGTGATCGTTCGCTTCACTGCGCGCGAGGTACGCGTCGCTGGTTTTTTTTCTAATGGCTAGCAGAGGAGAATTATATATATAGATTATATAGCGGTCTAAAATGCTCAATAAAATGTTTCCATTGATCAATTTAGTAATAATAACAATTGAATATTCAATGGTCATCCAAAAGAAAGCTTCCCTGAAAATTTCAGCGCGCTAGCTAACTGGGAAGTGCCAGAAATTTCGATCGCAAGATTTGATTGGAAAGACAAACACACAAACAGAGAAAGCAAGTTAAAGAAAACGTGGGAATAAAATAGGCCTAGGTTTTGAAGAGAAAAAAAAACAGGTCAGTGCGGTGCGAATGTTACAGCCACTGCGTATCAAATTCAAACAGGTCAGCCGAGGACAGCATAATATTAATTAACTGTTTGTGCCATAGTTCTGGTAGATGTATGCTAATATAATATTTACGTTAAAATGCTTTAAACAAACATGATTTCTGCCTCGCTTAATTTTAAAAAATTCAAGGTGAAGTTCGATAAATCATATTGCTGATCAGTGGCGGCTCTAGGTCTTATGTCCCCCAAATGATAGGCCCGATTCCACCCAAACGAAAAATATAAAATAAACAGCATAAATACAGAAACAAATCGCAGATTTAGAAGAAAAAAATTAGGGGGTTGTAGCTTGAAATGTGACGTTAATTTATAAATTTTGGACCATAAGTTTTTCACAAGTTCACTTAACTACTTTATTCTTCTTCTAGAAAACACTTTTTGACGACATGTCTGATCACCGTATCGCTAGGCGTGGCTCCAGCCATTAATAACCATGTCTAAATTCAAATGTTAAACTAAACATATTTTTAAATAAAAAAAAAAAATTAAAATCCTTTTTAAAGAACAATGCCTAAAGCTGCGCTCTAAACAGCAACAATTATACTTTTAAGTGATTCTAAAAATTAACCTACTATTCCTCGATAACACAATTCGTTACACTAAAATGTTAGAAATAAAAGAAAGCACATGAGTCATATTATCATATAGGACAGTTGCAAAGTTTTTATGTTTAGCTAAATAAAGTATTTGGGTAAAGTCAGCTTATTAAACAGTCAATTCTAAATTATAGACTTTATCATATAACAGAACATATGTCATTTCTGAAACATTCACCTAAATCATGTTAAATAAGCTTCCCATATGATACCTCTCTCATCTTAAAAATATTTTCCAGTCTTTTCCTATCCATAAAAAAAATCCTCGGGAGTCGTAGCATGTAAAAGTGAATGTCTTCTTACACCTTTACATCAATTGCAAACACTTAAATTGATTCAAACGAAAGAAACAATACAAATATAAAACGAAATGTAGCAATACATTGCACACCCATAGCATCCTACAAATAACCACCAGTACTCATCAAATATGATTCAATATATATTCATGTATATATATATATATATATATATATATATATATATATATATATATATATATATATATATATATATATATATATATGGTTCCATGACAAATGATCTCAGGACAAATGATCTCAGACAAAATATCTCAGACAAAATATCTCACGGACAAATGATCTCAAGACAAATGATCTCAGGACAAATGATCTCAAGGACAAAAGATACCAGGACAAAATATATCAGGACAAATGATATCATGGACAAATGATCTCAGACAAAATATCTCAGACAAAATATCTCACGGACAAATGATCTCAAGACAAATGATCTCAGGACAAATGATCTCAAGGACAAATGATCTCACGGACAAAAGATACCAGGACAAAATATATCAGGACAAATGATATCATGGACAAATGATCTCAGACAAAATATCTCAGACAAAATATCTCACAGCAAAATTTTAATAGTATGTATGATGATTTTAGTTGATTTGAACTTTTTTAAATTGACTGTTAATATCGGTTTTTTTTACGCATAATAACTGTGAATAAAATGAATTTGTTAAATCTAACAAGCCATCAAAAGATTTATTAAACTTTGTCGCAGCATTTGATTCGAAAAAGTAAAAATTATAACAAACTTACTCCTTTAGCCTGAAAAGTATAATAAAACAAATAAAGTAATGGTTGTTTTACAACATTAAGGTTCAATACACACGTGAAATATCTTTCAAAAATGTGAATGGGTCTTCAGGTTCGTAACGTTAAACTATTGTTTTTATTACATCATCAACACAAACATAACGTTTACGTTTCTTTGCTGGCAGGTACATTAATATGATCACACCTCTCCAATACTATGTGATCATGTATTGTGTCTTTATTGTTATTTCATTCCCTTTGATCTAGTTTCGTCCACCTGACGTGGTAGGATTGTCTCATGTTTGGCAAGCTCACCTAAGCTGTCTATCGAAAAAAAATCTTTAATCTTCGTATACTATATTACTAATACTAACTTTAAAATGTTTAGTGCAATATTACAAATTTATACGCCAAACATTTCTTACAATTATTATATAGGCCTATAAACTAAATTAAAACAAAACCATATGACAATCAATAAAAAAATATTTCAGATCAGCTAAAATCACCAACTACACTATTAAAATTTAGGTGTGAGATATTTTGTCTGAGATATTTTGTCTGAGATCAATTGTCCGTGGTATCATTTGTCCTGATATATTTTGTCCTGGTATCTTTTGTCCGTGAGATCATTTATCCTTGAGATCATTTGTCCTGAGATGATTTGTCCTGTGATCATTTGTCCGTGAGATATTTTGTCTGAGATATTTTGTCTGAGATCATTTGTCCTGTCACCATATATATATATATATATATATATATATATATATATATATATATATATATATATATATATATATATATATATATATATATATATATATATATATATATATATATATATATAAATGTATCTTCTAATTTAGTATAAATACAATATTACCAACAAAACAAGTGAATATAGAAAACATAAACACTACAGAAGCTGCGTGGTAAGTTATCTCCCTCTCTTCTTAATGCCTTTAGACACCTGTTCTGTTAAACATGGTACACACACATGAATGTAGCTGTAGAGTTGTTTGTATGTGAAGGGGGTGTGAGATTAGTATAGAATAATATATTTTGGGTGGGGGGGGGGTGTAGACTAACCTTCCATGTACCTCCCGAGATACACCTATAACTGTAAAATAATAAATATACAAGACATTAAAAACGGGACAGTGTATACAAAATATAACTGTTAACTTTTACAAAATCCTCAATTTTTTAAAGCCTAAAGCAGAGCACATTAAGTATGGAATAATGAACGATCTTAATTCAAATTTATAAGCAGTTAATGTAAGGAAAAATGTCTGGGTAGAAAATAAATACCAAGCAGCTACTATTTATTTATTTAATATCATGCTCATTATTCATATTTTAAAGTAACATTTTAAAATTAGAATATTCTTATTTCTTGTTCTGTTGCAGACTTGTTTGTAGTGCTTATAGTTTATTCTGTCGAAGACTGAAAATCATCTTGCAAACATAAGTCAGCATCACTTGACATGTTTTGAGCTTTGCTAAACTTGAAGCTCCACTCTGGTCGTTTGCGTATTCTAAAGTAGTTTGGAAGTTTGGAGAAAGTAGATAAGAATAATAAAAAAAAACTATAAAGATTTAAAATAAAAAACAAAGTATTGTTACATTTACTTGTGTAATCAATTATAATTGTAAAAGTTGATGAACACATCCATTCTTTGATTGCCATACACCGAAAATACCAAACCAATATTTTTGTAGGCATTTAAAGACGTACTTTGGGAAGAGCTGGGCGCGGCAAGTTTAAGAGAAAATATATTGAATAAATTTAAAAAATTATTATCTATTACTTATTTAAAAAAATAAAAGTTATAATTAGCAAATTAATTTATAAATACATACTATGTTTTTAATAATGTTCGCATTTGATTTTTTAACATATTCCAAAATTTATAATAGGCAATTTATGAATAGGCGTGTTATAACAATCTCATACTTAGACCGACAAGTTACAATACTCCCAATAGTAAGTTTTTTGTGTTGCTGTAGTTTTACAACACTTTTGTTTTTATGATGAAGAAAAAAGCAAAAACCTAATTTACTTTTTATTAAACCACCACTCACCTCCACTTGAGTACAACACCAATAAGTATCAAGAGCACGACAACACTGACTGAGCCAATGATAGCACCAAAATGGTTGCTAGGTTTTGGTGCTACATTTAAATAAAACAAAGATTACGTTATAAAAAGAAATTAGGTTTTCAAGAATTTAGCAATACTGAATTAAGTATATTTCGACCTTATTCATTAAACATAAGGGCACATCAAAAAATTGTATTTACTTAATCTATAGAAATGATATTAAACCTATCGACACACACACACACAATCCTCATAAATATATGTATATGCGTATGCGTGTATATATATATATATATATATATATATATATATATATATATATATATATATATATATATATAGTCCATAATTGCCTAAAGCTCTATTTCCACTTAATGAAAGACAACCGTATGCTTCGTCATTACAAATGATCTCAGTAGTTTGGTCTTCATCTATGCAGATAAATAAATGAATAAATGTTATTAATAAATGAACAAATACATACATATATATGTAAGCATATATATACACATGCAAAATATATTTATATACGCACTAGATTACGTATAAAAAAACATTAATCACACATACCCAGCTCACAGAAGATTCCCGTATAGCCGTGTGGACAGCTGAGACAGGAACCATTTTCCACGTGACACAACTGGTCAACACAACTTTTGGAGCATCTTTGTTTACAGTTTTCTCCGTAGTAGGTGGCGGCACACTCTGATTGAAATAAACGAGAAAGATCACAAAATAAATTGCACAATACGACTCATTTTTATTGTGTCAGCATCATTTTTTTCGCGATCGTGCCCAAGACACACAGGGCACATATAGTTAATCAGTTTCATTGAAATCAGCATACACGAGGATAGTGCTGTCAGCACTATGTCCGCCTGAAGACCGTTTAAAGGTTTATCAGAAGGTAGCCACGCAAGATCTACTGATACAGTGGTAATCTTTGGTGTTAAACGAAAGCAAAATTACTGTAGCCGTAAATATTTACATGAGCAAACTGATTAAATTGAAACTCTTGTTTACAAGTAGTCAATATTCCAAACGGTTTAAGGATATTTAAAGCAATGGGTTTTTTTAAATTTTTATTTTTTACTTGAACATGAAACCTTGACAGATGGTTGGAGAAGTGGCACACACTCGCAATTACCTCTTGCATTAATAAGATAAAATACCGAACTGGTTTTAAAAGCACATATAGGAAATATCAGACAAATAAATACTTGACCTGTCTCACAGAAATCTCCAACTTTACCCGCAGGACAATCTACACATCTGCCATCTGTGCTGTTACACATTTGATCAACACACCGCTCGTCACAGATTTGGGAACAGTCGACACCAAAATATCGTGCTGGGCAAACTATAATACATGAGATTATATATGTCGCCGGCAATGTGTAAAATTCGGCATTGTATAAAATACCTAGCTACCTAGGCAATATTTATTATGTCCGAAGTGGGTCGCCGAAGTACGAAACACACCATATTTCTATCATATTTCCTACATTTCATAGTCATCCTATATAAACACACATATAAAGACATGCATATACACATAATATGTTTAAAAATGGCTGAAATATATTTGTGATAATTAAAAAAATATCAATATAGATGTCTAGATATAAATACTTTTTCAAAACTCAATATTTGAAACAAAACACATGGATGAATAATAGGCCTAATATAATTAGAGTTCCTAAATATTGATGACTTTTGTCTCTATGTTTTGATAATTAACAACTGCCTTAATGTCTGCGATTTAAACGAAAATACCTATTTACTTGCGACATCACTAAATTGGAGGAATATTTATAGTTTTCAACTTTTAGGCTTGCGAACGGACTAACATCATATTAAAAAAAAAGATTTTTGCCATCTACTTACCAAGGTTGCAGACATCATCAACACACTCCATGCACTGTCCAGTGATGTGGTCACACAAATTATCAGGACATTCACATCTTTGTTTACAGTCAACACCATAGTGACCTGGGTCGCATTCTATCAGCAGAAACATCGGATTAGAGCACATTTATAATGATGGGGTTACACAATATATTTCAATTAAGGAACAAAGTATTTAAACAATAGTTATCACCTTCATTTAAATGGTATACTTTTAATGACATTTTACTTAAAGTAGCGGTTTAAACGACGTACTTTGTGTACACACCAGACCGGTGTATCCAGGTTCACATCCGGCACTACAAGTTCCAGTTACGTGGTGACAAGTTGCAGACAACTTGGCATTAATAACTTGACAAAACTTGCTGCAGTTTAATGTACAGTTGGGTCCAAATGTTGTGTAAGGACAGTCTAGATTCACGAATTTACACTATATATATATATATATATATATATATATATATATATATATATATATATATATATATATATATATATATATAATGTAAATTCATAAATCTAGACTGTAGTTCCTGCGGTCTCAGAATAAAGAAAATTAAAAGAAACATGTTATGATAACATTCAAGTTGCATTTTTTTCAGCACAGTTCTACGTGGTAATTTGGTAAAACAGCTTTTGGAAAAACAGCGATCGGGCGAGTATTTTTCGGGAATTAGTCATACACCCAGTTGCTCACACATCCTTCAATTAATTACTTTAGTAAGTCAACTAAATGTATTGGTCAGTAGTTTAATCATGTTGGTCAATAAGTTACTCACATCAGTCATTAAGCTACTCACACTGGTCACACCAGGCCCCTTGATATCCATCCCTACACCCGTGTGTACACTGGCCAGTGCTGGGGTCACAGCCTCCATCTCCCCCACACGTCATGCTGCAGTCTTCACTACACGATTTGCCGTAGCTCAGATGGGGACAGTCTGTAGGTAAAAAAAAAACGTTATGTAAACAGACTATAAGTCTCTTTGCTACAAGATTTGAAGAACTGATTTAGAATGTTGAAAAATCTAATTTGTAATTTTTGTTGAAGGTGTTAGGAAATGGGGTTCTGTAGAGAAGGAGGGGATAAAGATTATACTTTTTAACAATTAATTTCAAGAATTTATTTAGTTAACTTTGTCTGTTTGTTTCATTAATTAAAAGACCAACTGGCTTCATCACAAATGAAGGCGTAGAACTGTTAATCCGTAACTCTAATCCGTAGATGACTGGACATCTACAAATGCATCCAATCATATGTGCACTAGTGAGTTAATTTATAAAATAACGATATGTATGTTTTTGTTTTGATTTAATGTAAATTCCTGTAGAATCTTGTAGATTTCATGAGTTTATAAAAATAGGAAATCAACTGAAGAAAGGCAACTAGTAAAGCGAACCATTTCAGTAGAATCACCTAGTTCACAAGACGACGTGTCTTGTTTCCCCGGGGGACAGGACAGACACGCCCCTGTCTCTGGGTCACACAGAGACATGTCACACTTCTCACTGCAGTTTTGTTGGCAGCCTTTTCCGTAGTGTCCACTTAAACAGTCTATAATTTGAACGTAAGATTTTAATTTTTTTTAAAGATTTAAATTGTGACAAAAACTAGATCACCTATTATCCTTTGGATAACTATAGGTTTAAGGGTCATTCATAAACGTTGGCTTGACGATATTTATCTATCCACACCCCTCTCCCCATTGCTAACATCGTCAAAAAGTCAGACTCTCACATCTAATAAATACGTCACACCGCAGCCAACGTCTTTTTGTCTTTTAAAAGCACCGGTTTTGGCTAAGTATGGGATTGACCACACTATCCACTCATATGCCCCGTGTTCCGCCAAGTTGCAAAAGGCAGCTTTACATTACAAAGAAGTCACAGTTCAGCTTTCATGTTTTTTTTAAAACTTTGACTTCTCTTTATAATATTTTCTGAGCTCAAATCTCATACGAAAAACAAATCAATAAATTATTAAGCTAACGTCAAAATAATAATAATGAATTAGAATAATTCACATGAGAGTTCCCATTTTGCACTTTCTAAGTGGGAAAGTTAACCCAAAAAGTAAGAATCACTGCGTGTGTTTCGTATGCATGCCACTTGACAGGGTGGGTAGTGCTATCGTCTCGCCAGGAAATTACTCTTTGTTTGGTGGAAATATTTCGTATTATTTTACGGCGACAGTTGACAGGACAAATAACTTCAGGACATATGATCTTAGACAAAATATCCCAGACAAAATATCTCACGGACTAATGATCCCCGGTTAAACGACCAAAGATTTACGCCGAAAAATGGCAAGAACTGACCTTCCTTACAGATCCCATCAGAACAGATTCTACACTGACCACTGATATGATCACAGGTTTGGTTCAAACATCTGTGGCTACATTTCTGTTTACAGTCAACGCCGTAGTAAGTTTCTGGACATTCTGGGGAAATTCATCAATTTTAATAAAGCGTATTCAAACCAAATGTATTTTCTGAGTCTATATCCTAATTTTTTGTTTATGGCTGTATTGTCTTTGATTCAGAAGCGTAGCGACCCTTCCCGGCGCCCGGGGACAAACTTTCGATTAGCACCCCCCCTCGAACTTTTCATTTGCACCCCCCCTCAAATTTTCGATTTGCACCCCCCCTCCAACTTTTCATTTGCACCCCCCCCCCCTCAAACTTTCAATTTGGCGCCCCCCTAAGGTCGGCGCCCGGGGACATATGTCCCCCCCCCCCGCCCCCCCTCGCTACGCCTCTGCTTTGATTGATAAGTTATAATAGTACAGAAAGGGCAAGTCCCATGTTTTATTCCACTCTCTACGTTTATTAGACTTACCGTGTGTACACTGTAGACCGTCATACCCTGCAGCACAGCCGGCTAGACAGTCTCCCGTCATGTGATGACAGATTTGATTGGCTAGCTGAGTCATGTGCTTACAGTTCGGGCTACAGTGAGAGCTGCAGTTTTCTCCGAATGTGTTGCTGTGGCATACTAAAGTATAGAAACATCATTTTTAGACATAGATCTAGTATTGTTTAAAAATTTTCATTAATTCTTATTGACTTCACCAGATATCTTCCGAAAAAAAAAAGGTATTCGCAAACAGAAAAAAAGCACAAACAGAAAAAAGCGCAAAGAGAAAAATGTGCAAACAGAAAAAAAGCGCAAACAGAAAAAAGCGCACAAAAAAGCGCAAACAGAAAAAAAGCGCAAACAGAAAAAAAGTGCACAAAAAAGCGCAAACAGAAAAAAGTGCAAACAGAAAAAAGTGCAAACAAAAATAAATAAGCGCAAAGTCTTCATCGGCACTAGTGTGGTTTCACTAGCAGTTTTTTTTAGACTGGCGTAACTACTGTGCCACAGAACAACACATAACCCTAGGGAGAAGGGGGGAGTGTAGATAGTGGAGGACCGTATCGATTTCCAATTAATTAATATTTGAAGAGTAATATATCGAATTCGACTGTCATCGGAAATGCACTTATACAGAACCTTTAATGCACAGGGAATCGGTCGAATTTGCGTTAGAAGATTTAAATATTACTAGACAACCATTGCACCCATTGTAAAACAAAAAACAACAACCATGAAACTGTCGTTTACTTACATATCTGACAGTCATCACCTTGATACCCATCTACGCAGCCATGAAGACACGCCCCTGTGCTGTGATTACAGTTTCCGTCTCCCCCACAGGCTTCAGAACAATTTTGGCTGCAGTTATAGCCATAGCTGCCTGCAGGGCAAGCTGTGAAAGTTTAATTTTTACCGCGTGTAAATTTTAGCTTGGAGATTTAACTTAACAGCTATAGGATTGTTTTAGATACGCGATTTAATAAACGTTAACAGTTTTTTTTCCAAATTATATCAAGTATGTTTTCTATATTGCTGCTTAGCGGTTAGACTTGACAAAATGGGTATTCAATTAAAGTAAATAGTCACAGCTGAATTAAAAAAAAAAGACTTAAACTACTTAAGTAAGACTTACCCACAATTAGTAACACTTAAAGGCGATGATTTAAAATATGCCTACTCTTTTGCTTTCCATTCATATGTTTAGACCTGGGAAACATATTGTTCTCTACTTCACCATACGGTCAGTGAAGGTACCTTTACATTCGACGATTCTATTACTTACTTTGGTTACAAAATTGTCCTAGAAACCCAGGCACACATTTAAAGCACTCTCCAGTGACTGGATCACATAACTGAGCAACACACGATATTGGGCATCTCATTTCACATCCATCGTCGTAATACGTCGGCTCACAATCTGTAGGAAACTTTGTGTTGACTTTTTTCCGTACTATTTACTTCATATACTAGTAAGTTTACCATTGCTTAACATAAAAATTGAATAGCGTTTGTTTTTCTGTCGCAAATCGTTTCACTTAATTTTGACTCGAGTTTCTTCCAGGTATCTCTTCGAGGTGGGAGGGGGGGGGGTGGTTATCTTTCAGATATCGTGAGCTACTGATTGTGTTTAAAAGCGAATATTTTTAGTCGTGTTGACTTCATAAGTTAAATTCAATAATAAAAAAAGTTAAATAAAGCTAGTTTGCTTTCCTTAATAAAAGCTTTTGTGGCTAAAATATGTGAAAGATCTTTCGAAAGATCAAATCTTTTTATATTTGTTTTATTTAATTTAATATTCGATAATAAAAGTGATAACAATGATAACTGATGAAATCTCCTACATATTTTGGCGACCAATGCTTTTATTAAAGAAAGCAAATTAGTTTTATGTCCTTAATTTCGATGCATTAAAAAGCTTATTCTTAAAAAGTTTTTTTAGGTTTGTTTTTAAAACATTGCAGTGTTAATTAAGTTTGGGATGATATATATATATATATATATATATATATATATATATATATATATATATATATATATATATATATACATATATATATATATATATAACTGATCAACACACGATATATATATATATATATATATATATATATATATATATATATATATATATATATATATATATATGTGTGTGTGTGTGTGTATGTATGTGTGTGTATTTGCTTATAAATCATATAAACACATACAACATCCTTATATTATCTTTTGACTGACCAAATTTGCACTCCTCACTATAGCGACCAGCTGGACAACCGGAGACACACCCACCCGTGCTGACCACACAAACTTCCGTTTTATTCTTACAGTTGCATCTCTTCTCACAGTCCAGACCGTAGTAAACAGCCGGACAGTCAGGTTCTGGAGAGGTCAATAATATGTTTATTCTAAATCTAAATCGTCCATTAACCCTTGTTGGGGCACCACAGAGTGGTGTGTCTAGGGTTGAGTGTCGCATGGCGGCCCCCACCCCTCTCATTGCTTTAACATAGCCGAAATCCCCATCTAGATGTCTCGCCTTGGTCACGAAATCGTGGCCGTTGAAGTTCAACTATGCGCCATTTTACTGGAATGGCATACGCCCAATGATGCCGTGTAAGCAACAGATCTTTGGAGTTTTCTCACCTAGATGAGTTGCTGTCCCCATCTTTCGAGCCTCATCTTCCTACCACGCCTACCCCATTTTTAAAAATTACAATGAGGTAAAACATATCTTTTAGCATGGTGAAGTACATTCGCTCTTTTAGCATCGGTGTCTTCAAAAGAAATGGAACGTATTCTCCATTGATTGGACATTATTGTTCGAGAATGCATGAAAATCATAAATGGAACATTGTGTGTCAGTTATTTTCAGTTTACCAGCTACACTACCCGGTGGTAAAACTCCATTTCAGCGTATTTTATTCTCCGTTGCTTGTTTACCTCCAGTTGAGCGTATTTTATTATAACAACCGAAACACACCAAAACATTAGGAAAACACGATTTATTTTTTGTATTGTGTTTTTGTTTTAGCAAATGAATAAAAATGAATATTTAAAAAAACACGACTTGTTTATTTGTATTGTATTTTTTTTAAAAAGGCATTTGTCTCATGGTGAAACTGATACACTGTTAATCATTCTGTTTTATATTTTTGTATTTATGCAATAAATGTAGGCCTACTGTACAAACTCTGTGTTTTTTAATTTGACAGTTTTGCTAAAACTGAAAAAAAATTTTTACTATAGAGTTGTATGTTATTTAAATTCATAGTAAATCTACCATCCTTCCCTTTTTTGTATGAGTAAATTTCTGACTTTTAAAAAAAAATTGATGTGGGGTCGTCCATAAATGACGTCACACTCGTAAGTGAGAGGGGGTCAGCAATTTTGTGACGATGTGTGATGAGGGGGGGGGGGGTGGGGTTTCAGATGGTGTGACGTCCCTTTTTTGCATTATAAAAAAGCAATGTTAGAAAAACAAGTTTTAGCCGTTATTTTACGTTTTAGAAAACGGTTTTAATAAATTGTAATATGAATTGATCAAAATACTCTATGTTGACAGAGTTCTGACAAGATTTTGGAAAAATTATCGATGTTTTAAGAAAAATTCAACAGAAATTTTGAGGGGGGGGGGGGGTTGTAGGCTGAGGTGTGACGTCCATTTTAGGGGGGGGGTCTGACTTTTTGTGGACGACGTGTAACGGAGGGGGGGGGGGGGGAGGTAAAAATCGTTAAAAAAAGCGTGTCGTCACAAAAAGCAAGACCCCCCCCCAAAATGACCGTTAGCCTTTTTAGCCGTTGAACCCGTAATGACCTTGTAGCACATCTGAAACCCCCCCCCCCCTCCTCATCACACACCGTCACAAAATTACCCCCCCCCTCCCCCTACGAGTGTGACGTCATTTATGGACGACCTCTAACATTTTTTTTTTTTTTAAAATGACAACGTGAGTTGTCACACTTTCTCTAGCACTCCAAGCCATCCCTCACCAAATTCCACCCCCCCCTCGGCCCACTTTCGGCAGCATCATTGTGCCTTTTAATACTTTTATTCGGTTTAGTTGAAATTGGAACACTTAATTGTACAAAGTGTGCATCTCTATTTTTGTAATCAAAAAACAAAGCACTTCAGTCAGTCTCTTTGTTGTTTTTTATTCATTTGTTAAAACAAAAATACAATACAAATAAATAAGCCGTGTTTTTTAAACATTCATTTTATTCATTTGTGAAAACAGAAATACAATACAAAAAATAAATCGTGTTTTCCTAATGTTTTGGTGTGTTTCGGTTGTTATAATAAAATACGCTCAACTGGAGGTAAACAAGCAACGGAGAATAAAATACGCTGAAATGGAGTTTTACCCTACCCGGTTTCCCATTTGTTAAGTGTTCTGTAAGCTTGAGACAACACTTTCAATTTTTAAGTAGAGAAGTACTCAGTGTGCCATAAGAAGTTCATAGCATGAATTGGCATTTAATGTAGAATGAAAATACTAATTTAGTTCTTTTAATTTAAAAAAGAACATTACCTCCGTAAATTTCTACCTCACATAATGTTAGGATATAGACATTAAACTGGTTTTCCCGCCTTTCTGCTGTTATGGCAACACGGGACACAACCTGTGAGGAATTTGACGTCACAATGTAAACACTCTGTTCGCGTGTCGAGTTGTCCTTGTATTCGAACACCATCTTATCACCATCGTAGCCTCTCAGTCTAAATTGTTGCAGCCTGTCCATGAAGGCTAAATATAAATTAGTAGAGATTTCAGTTAATTTTTGTGAAATGATTTGTTTTGAAATAGAAAAGTCCCATTACTTTTCACAAGTAGGATAGTGTCAAAGTTTCTATAAAAAATCTTTTACTTAAACAAACGAAATCCTAAGTCTAAAAACAATAACACAGACGGCTATACTGACGGATGACACATGTATGCTATCTATATATATAATTCTCTTCTGGGAGCCGTTAGAAAACAAGCTGCAAGCGCCTCCTTGCAGTCCCCTCTCTTTCTCTCTATCACTGTCACTACCACCCCCACCCCACCCCACATGGTATAGTGAGCTGTGGTCACGCTAAATGTTTACAAAATGTTTACAAATCTATTAGGGGCAGATAATTTAGTTCGATTTTAAACTTACAGAAGGTAACTAAGAGGAGGGGAAGGGGGGGGGGGGGGGGTTAGTGTTTTAAAGCAAATATTGTCAGTGGTAGCATTGGTACTGTAGAATTCACAAATTATGAATTACTGAAAAGTAGAAAGTAAAACAACTAAATAGCGGCGTATGATACGCTGCGGGTCGGCTCGTACTTTATAATACTACAATCTCCTTATATTTAGAAGGTTGAATTTACAAGGTTTTAAACAAATGTTACGTTTTTTAAAATAAACGTCTTTGTTGCTTAATTTAAATTCCGTATTGTTTTGAAAAATAATTCACTCTTCTTCTTCTTCTTCATCGTTCTTAATTTTTAGTGTTGGAAGGGATCGAGCCTTTTTCTGACAGTAAGTTGAACTCGAGACTTTTTCGAATTATCAACCATGAGCTTTTGCCGACTCGACCACGCCTCCATCACAATTAAGGATACGTGTCAACTGGTTATGCGCCATTGAGGCCATTGACTCCGATTTCAGCCTGCTTTTCTTTTTTGGATTTGCTTCCATAGCCTTTGTTCAACCAAAAACAAACTGCAAGGCAGCAGTTGTTTGATTTTGGGGTTGTCTCTCCTAGAAGAATGGCTGTCCCCAGCTAACGAGCCTCATCTGCAACTTTTCGGTTTAGCAACCATGAGCTTTACCGACTCGACCACGCCGACCCCAATAGTTCACTCCAAATCTAAAATGTCAAAAAGTTTTATCAATTTCTATAACATCACTAAAAACTTCGTTCGGTTATTTTTAATAAACTGCAAATGGTAAAGTTTGAAACATCATCGAAGAATGACAAATAAAAAAATCGGAACACAACCGTTTACATTTAATTTGAAAAGATAATACATTCAGAGGCGCCCGGGGCAAATTATCAATTCCGCCCCCCCCCATTTATAAATAGTTATTCAAGGTAGTGAAAAAGCGCCCCTCCCAGGCCCTATCCTGTAACAGGTTTTATTTTGGTGTCAAACAATCAATGAAGAAAACCCAGACCGTAAAGCAAAGTAGCAGTCTATTTCTTCAACTTCGATTGTGAATAGTTCAGTAATGCAGCTCAGAATGGGCTTTTTTTATACCCCGTTAGGCGCCCGCTGGGGATCAGCGCCCGGGGCGGCCGCCCCACCCGCCCTCTCCTAGGTACGCCTCTGAATACAGTATGCATTTATCACTCACAGTCTCTATTGTACAGCTGGTATCTGCTCACCAATGCTGAAGGCTTCAAGTTCACCTCCCACACTGGAAATGTTGACTCATGATCGGAATGTGTACAGCTCATGAGGTCAAAGTCGTTCACTCTCGAACCGTCAACCGCCTTCTGTGGCCCGCTATATCCTTCATCGCCAAGGAAACTGGATTGCCTTGTCGCTTGTTTGATTGCCACATTGCGCCCTTGGAAAAGTTTGGTTTCGTTTGTGTTTGCGTTTGTGTTTGTTTTTGTGTTTGCGTTTGTTTTTGTGTTTTCGTTTGTGTTTGCGTTTATTTTTTGGTTTCGTTTGCTTGTGGTTAGGGTTAATTCAAAAAGTAATATATTTCCTAAAGCCTGGTTATGCCAGGTGTATGCTGTTTAGTAAACACACAAGTAATGGTCCTTTACAAATAGGTTTTTCAATAGGTTATATATATATATATATATATATATATATATATATATAATTTACGTGTATCAATTATCACTTAGCAATACCTCCCGTGACGTGTATTTGACATACAGTTTTTCTGTCAATCACCAACTGTAAAGAAATGACCATCTTAGCTTGTAAAGAAAAAAAGTCAATGGTATCTGAGTCCACGAAAACCTTCTTGTCCGGAAAGTTGACCCAAGATTTTGAGTTCTTTTGTCTTTTGTACCTCACTCGAACGCCGTCTGCTGATCCTGATAAGAAAAAAAAAAGACGTTTAAATGTTATTTGTGTGTTAAATTGCTTTCCATGTAGTTTTGGATGCTACATAAATGACGTCACGAGCCAAATCTTACACTAACTCTCTGTTATTCCAATACGTCTTCGCACAAAGCACCACGGTTATAATATAACCGCAGTACTCGTAACACGCATTGTTTTATAAATATTATTCTGAAAAAAATTCAGTTTTTACATTAATTTTTTATTATTGAATAAATACAAAACCGCTTGATGTTAAATTATTTATCTCTGGTATACTAGAGGATTGTCGCCTTTGCTAACGGGATGGTTTGACTACTATTATAATTTATCATTATATATACAAAGTTTAAAACGCTCAAACTGCAAACTTTTTACAAAAGGCAATTTTCTATTTTGAATTGTTTAAATGTAAACAGCTTGCTATTCAAACTTAGATAGTGACGCTCAGTATTAATGAGAACTTTATACTACCTTATGGATAATTTTATCTAAAAATTCCCTGTCAATTTTCTTCAGTACTAATAACTCAATTTATAGCTGTGGTGTTAGGTAATGGAATTGCATATTTTATAATACGATGCATGGTAAAGATTTTTCTTTAAATTATTAAGAGTACTGTTCTAGACTGTTAAGATATAACTTCTAGGTATTTGCATAGCATGCCTACAAAAGCCAAGATGGTTTAGAAAATGTAAATGACCTACCTCGGTACACAGTGCGTACTCTAACCCACGAGACAGGGTAAGCTATTTTCCAGGTAATTGTCCGATAGTTTGTTACATTGTCAGGATTAGTGCAAGCTTCTTTGCCACTTGTTGCCAACTCTCTGATGTCTTCTGTTAAGTAATCAGAATGTTAAAGAATTAAGTACGTAATAGTGTCGGCATGATATGTTAATTTCTAGTTTTTAAAATTGTTTTTTGAAAGGAGTTTAGTATCAAACTATTACAAATCTGGTAGAAAATTAAGTTCTCTTTAAGAGTAAATTTGTTTGTGAAATGTTAACGTCAATCGAATTGTGTTACTTTTGGAAAAATAAACAGTTTAGGTTCATTATTATATTATCTATCTATTATAACTAGCTATGAGCTAACTCGTAATTCATCACTGAACGCGAAAACAAGATAGACATATCTCACTATTCGGAATAACCAAAAAATCTTTTTTGGTCTTGTGTGTGGTTTTGTGTGTGGTCTTGTGTGTGGTCTTGTGTGTGGTCTTGTGTGTGGTCTTGTGTGTGGTCTTGTGTGTCGTCTCGTGTGTGGTCTTGTGTGTGGTCTTGTGTGTGGTCTTGTGTGTGGTCTTGTGTGTGGTCTTGTGTGTGGTCTTGTGTGTGGTCTTGTGTGTGGTCTTGTGTGTGGTTTTGTGTGTGGGTTGTGTGTGGGTTGTGTGTGGTCTTGTGTGTCGTCTCGTGTGTGGTCTCGTGTGTGGTCTTGTGTGTGGTCTTGTGTGTGGTCTTGTGTGTGGTCTTGTGTGTGGTCTTGTGTGTGGTCTTGTGTGTGGTCTTGTGTGTGGTTTTGTGTGTGTTCTTGTGTGTGGTCTTGTGTGTGGTCTTGTGTGTGGGTTGTGCTGTGTGAGACACTGAAATGTGGGTCGTGTGTGTTAGTCGGGATATATGGTATTGTATAGGAGTTGGGGTGAGGTGGGGGTGGTATGTGGTTTGGCTTGGTACGGTGTGGGGTTGGCAGTATCATGCGAGTAGTGTTGAAGTTTTTTATTTACCCTTTTTATTTGTGACATTGACATTTATTTAACAAGATTTAAAAAATTGATGGCATTGTGTTTTATGCGTATTTTCTGTCCCCCAAAAGACATCATTTAAATTTCACACAGTAGGGAAAGATTAGGCGGCTGAAGACACATAAATAGATAAACTCTACTTCACCTGCCATATGAACCGCCAGCTCCGAAACTTAAACAAAAACATAAAATAACCAATTGAAATTTTTTTTTTTTTAGCGTTTACTCGATATTTTTAACTGAATTAATTGTTCGAAAAAAAATATACTAAAATCCCCGATCATAAACGATTTTTTTAAATCGCTCATCTAAATGATTTAAATAAGTTTAGTAAATATTAGTTTTAGGCATACTCAAATGTCGCATGTCATACGATTCATGAATAAATAACTTTCAAAACTGTTTGTTTCCATGGTTAGGAAAAAAAACTGAAAAAAAAATTTCGCGACTTATTATTGTGCGGAACGTCCAGCAGTTAATTAATTATATTAATTTAGTTCTCTTAAATTAAGTTATATCTTTGATAAAAATGATCATTATTTTAAGATGTACTGAGATTAATATAACAATTAGTAAACAGGTTTAGTTTTTTCGCTTCAAATAGTATATAACTCCTCTAAAAATAAATAGTTGAGGCAGCTACATCCCTTGCAAAAAGCACGAATAAATCATTTTGTTGTCACTTTTAAGCTCCCGGGGTGGGCGTAGAGTCTGACAGACCACATGACCGATTGAATTACCGAGGTTGATGCAAAAATAAAATAAAATACATTATTAGCCAGATGCGCAGAGCGTGCTAATTAAAAACGTCTTGAAAATGTGCCTCGTTTTTCTCAAAACATTGCATTGGTTATTTAAGGAAATGTGGCATCAGCTTGTTTTAACAGCTGTTCGAGGTTTTCCAGAAGGGTAACTGGCTCTCACGTGTAACCCTTGGCGATGGCGTAGGGTCAGGCCGACAGTTTTCCAACATTGCAAGTGTCTTCCAAATGTATATGTATATGTATATGTATATATATATATATATATATATATATATATATATATATATATATATATATATATATATATATATATATATATATATATATATATATATATATATATATATATATATATATATATATATATATATATATATATACATATATATATATTTGAAAAAGTCAAGGGTGATCACCTCCTCTTTATTTTAGACTGACGGTTGTGTCGGTTAGATGGTTAGTTTTCATTTTCAGAATTATAAAATGCACACTGGTCAAACTAAACACGAGGTGCTATTTTGTAATATTTTTTTTACATTAGCATATCTCAGTACAACTCCCTCACAGTTTTAATGATTGAATAACCTGTGACATATCTTGTTGAAACACAATTTATAGGCGTCAAACCTAGCAATGTGGTGGCTGCGATTATAATCTATCCAAAACAGTGGAGATTATTTAACAGTCAGGAAATAAAGACACGTTTTTTTTTCACTTAAAAATGTAGGCTAGTTTAAAAGACATAGGGTAGTGAAAAGAAGCGTTTAAGTTTAGATTTTTGAAAGGTGCAATAAAAGTAAAAAGCTGTACCATACTGACAACCCGGGCCGAACCAACCAGGTTGGCAACCGTACAAACAACCGGAATCACTGTCACATGTCACTTGATTCAAACAGTGACACATATACTGGCATTTGTCACCAAACCAGCTTTGTGGGCAATCTGTAAAACATTTGGTTTAAATTAAGATGTGTCGCTATATTCAATGTTTATTGTATTGATCGTTCACACAAAAAGACAAATATAAAAATATAAAACCATTATAAGACAGACAGACAGACAGACAGTCAGACAGACAGACAGACAGTCAGACAGACAGACAGACAGACAGACAGACAGACAGACAGACAGACAGACAGACAGACAGACAGACAGACAGACAGACAGACAGACAGACAGACAGACAGACAGACAGACAGACAGACAGACAGACAGACAGACAGACAGACAGACAGACAGACAGACAGACAGAGACAGACAGACAGACAGACAGACAGACAGACAGACAGACAGACAGACAGACAGACAGACAGACAGACAGACAGACAGACAGACAGACAGACAGACAGACAGACAGACAGACAGACAGACAGACAGACAGACAGACAGACAGACAGACAGACAGACAGACAGACAGACAGACAGACAGACAGACAGACAGACAGACAGACAGACAGACAGACAGACAGACAGACAGACAGACAGACAGACAGACAGACAGACAGACAGACAGACAGACAGACAGAGACAGACAGACAGACAGACAGACAGACAGACAGACAGACAGACAGACAGACAGACAGACAGACAGACAGACAGACAGACAGACAGACAGACAGACAGACAGACAGACAGACAGACAGACAGACAGACAGACAGACAGACAGACAGACAGACAGACAGACAGACAGACAGACAGACAGACTGACAGACAGACAGACAGACAGACAGACAGACAGACAGAGACAGACAGACAGACAGACAGACAGACAGACAGACAGACAGACAGACAGACAGACAGACAGACAGACAGACAGACAGACAGACAGACAGACAGACAGACAGACAGACAGACAGACAGACAGACAGACAGACAGACAGACAGACAGACAGACAGACAGACAGACAGACAGACAGACAGACAGACAGACAGACAGACAGACAGACAGACAGACAGACAGACAGACAGACAGACAGACAGACAGACAGACAGACAGACAGACAGACAGAATATAAACTTATCTTACGTGGAGTACTAAAACCAAAGCTGATGTAGACAGACAATACAGCAGCTGCAAACACAGTGTAGAGCTTCATGATTCGAAACTAAACTCGACATACGACGGAAATCTTTTGAAAACATCGTTTTGTTAAAACGTGACATTGGACATTCACAGCACCGCCAAATTCGCGCAATAGTTTGAGTGCAAATTTCGTTTCCGGTCATTGACACGAACAAAAAATACAATCCGACAAGGGGCACTTTAAATTACACACATGATTAAAAAATATTAATTGCCTTTTTGAATTGCTCATTTTGCCACACCGCCGGCTTCATGTCCTTTGAGATGCTTTTTCCCTAAATTAACTAAGCCTTTCAGATACAGAAAAAAACTATTTGTTTCCGCGATTATACCTCATATTCGTTCATCATATTAACTAATGATTCTTAATCACGTCTCTTTATAAAAAAGTTTATCTCAAATGCCAGTGTTGGCATTATATATATATATATATATATATATATATATATATATATATATATATATATATATATATATATATATATGCTCGAGAGCTGTTATTACCATCAGATGTCTCGCTCAGATAGAGCTAATGTTGTTGATACATTCATTAGGCTCTTTTATTCCTCTTAAAATTGACATCATTCAAAAGATTTTTTTAACTAAGCACAACTTGAACTTTAAACTCTGTACCAATTCCCACATTCAGAATGTATGACTACCTTTTTTATAGTAAGGTTAATGGCCTCCTTCAACAACAAAAATATTCAAAAACAATCTTACATTTACTTAATTACAATGCTAATGAAAGCCTGCTTATATAGTACACATTTGCAAAATATAAAAGTTTATTTAAATAAGTATTAAACACTACAATTTGTTTCAGCTCATTTTAAAAAAAAAATTATGCACTTGATTCGTTACACTCATTGTGCTCTTATGATGAAAAGATGAGCTACATTGAGGCCAAAATAGATGTTTCACTTAGATTCATTTAAGAAAGAAAAGAGACGATAAATTTACAAGGTCTGTTAAGGCTATTTATGAAGGGTGTGGAGACGGGTATTTCAGAGTAAAAGCAATATCAGGTAGGATTGATATTTTAAAGCCGCGACGAAACAGGTATAAAATACGTCGAAAGAATATAAAATAAAAAAGTCGCGAACTAAAAGCACAAACTTAAACGACACTGGGCATTTTCGTATGTTAAATGTTACACACATTTGGAACACATTTATCTACTGAATATTTCTATGAGAAAATTAAACAATGTTCTTGCTTTAGTAAAAGGATGTGTCACTAATAAAATGTTGCACATTTTACTAACTAATGCTTTTATTAATGAAGGTTTTTCTTTTTTTAAAAAAAAAGTTCATTACATGTTTAATTAGTCATTAATATTAATTAAGGGGAGATAACAAAATTGAATCATTCGATAAATTACGGAAGGGGATATAACTAGCTAGACTCGATCACCCTAACAGCCTGGTGAGCTGTGGTTCACAAGAATGTTTACAATCGTAGAGCCGGTCGATCTACGAAGGCTATGAAGGGCAGATAATATAGTTTTAAAACAGATTAAATTATGGACTTGCTATGGTCTGTAAAATATGGTCACGGACGGCTGCTTTCACGGGTCAGATAATCGGTGCTGTTGTTAGTGTCCATCAGATATAAAAACAGAAAGCGTCGTATTTTTACTTTCTCGTATATACGAAGTATAGAGAAAGTATTGTAATCGTGCACAAAAATAACATGACATTTTGACAGTTTTCACAGTTTTACTCCTCAGTCCTTCATCACATCCGGAGTATAGAGGACTTATTTTAATCAGGCAAAAATTATAAATACAAATATATAAACATTTTGGCGTTTTATGCGTTATCGAGTCGTAAAAACTGGACTTTACAATTCTGTCCGTTGTCTGTGTGTGTGTGTCTGTCTGTGTGTAAACACGATAACTTGAGTACCGTTACAGCTAGGTTGATGTAATTTCATTTATAAGTATTTTATCAAAATCGTAGATCCGTATCAACTTTTGAACGATTTCCGATAACCGGAAGTGGTCCTTTTTCTACTTTAAATTTTTCAAAAGCCTATAACTTGAATACTATTTCAGATGGATAAATGAAATTTCACATGTAAGTAAAAGATCTAATTTTCTACATTCTTTCAAATTTTGAGTAATTTCCGTTGATTGGAAGTACTAATTTACGCTATTTCCGATTTCTCAAAAAACGAATGTAAATTAAAACTAATAATATCGCGCACTATTATGCACGTTTTATTTGGCGTTCACAGGCGTGCAATTCTTTTTTCTACGAGATTTTATTCTATTTTATTCTATTTTAAAAAGTTTAAGTATTTAAAATGGATTAAAATTCAGGTCTATATCCCGAGTTCCCATCCCCTATTTTTTTATAAAAGAATATTCGAGAAAGTTTAGGGGAGATCACTCCCGATTTAATTTAGCTAATGGTATGAAAACTACACTCACTTCCAACAGGCGTTCGTTTGCTGTTTGTATGGACACTATCTATGTATGGACGCTATCAACGAGACAAAACTTGAAATTTTATCTCTGCCCAGCTCTCAAATACTTGGCAAATTATGTTTTAGTTCATAAATAAGTAATAACAATAGCCTCGATAATAATTTAAAACAATCACATAGAATTGACGAATGTTATCGTATTTAATTGATATTGAAGACTAATGTTATGTTCAAATAATAATTTTTGTGTTTTATGTAGAGAGTTTTGCATGCATGCATGACCAGTCCTTGCTGTGAAAAAACCTATCCATTTGACTTCATGAGTATACAATTAAGCCTAAGTGAGTAGGGTTTGGTTTATATAAACATCTATAAAAAAGGTTCACCAAATGAGCAGTGTGTATGATAGAGCAGACAGACAGGATTACAAACTAAGTTTTTTTCCGGCACCGGAAGGTTGGGAAACGTATAAATATGTCAAAATCTCGATTAAGAATTTTTCACTATTACCATACAATAAAGTAGGGACGTGTTAAACTGCGAAAAATGTGAAAATTTAATTTATTTTTGTGCACGATTACAAGACTTTCTATACTTTGTACACGAGAAAGAAAAATTTATCAAGTTCTCAACGTTTAAGACGGAGTTGTATCACAAATTATAAGTATGAACGTTTGAGAAACATAATCTTGTTCTTTCAAAACGTTCAAGGATATCACATTTTTTTGGAGTGAGTTTTAAAAAATATTATAAAATTACATTTAGTTTGTGTGTAACAGACTGTATTTGGTGAATTGTATTTGGAGTGAAACGTGTGTGATAGTTGAATACCTGGCCATTGGAAGTGAATGCGTGAATGATCAATTACTGTATTTTGCATGGTTTTTGGGGATCGCTCACTGACTGAAGAGAGTGAATGTAGGGCTATATAATAGGGGTAAATGAGATCTTCATGGGACCACCTAGATGAATGCAAGGGGAAGCTATGTGTGTTGACTGTTAGAACTTGAAATATATCCAGTATTATTCTTGTGATTTTACCTTATCTATTCACGCACTTTATACGTGTTATATCAAACGGTGGATGTTTGATTACTTAAATAAACTGTATTCATTGTGGATTTTACTATTGTAAATAGAGTTGTGAAATGAACCAGCAGTTTATCATCTGTCTTTGAAGAAAGAAGAACTCACAATAACATCTAGTTGTCCCAAAAACAACTAGTGTTACAATATGTAAAGTGTAAAGTTTATTAACACTTGCAAAACTGGAAATACAATGAAGTTATAAACCTTTTGTACAAGAAGATGTCGATGTAGAAAAGTGTTGTGACTTTTATCCACGATAACAAAGAAAATGAAAAAAACTCATATCAAGGTTCATCTGCTCTTTATATATGTTTTAGAATGTTTATTAAAATGGATCTTTATCCATAACACCCGTTTGTAAAACGACTGCCGAAATAGCGTTTTTTAAAGTCCATTCAACTTGCGTATGCTTTTATATCTAGGGGAACACACAGGAAAACAATTTTTTCAATATTAAATAATTTATTTTTGAATCAGGCCAATGTTTACAGAAAGATTTACTTGTCGAAGTTAATTCAAAATGCAGTTTTTACAGAACACAATGTCAGTTTGGATAGAATCATGATATACCGCAACAGCCAAGTTAAGTAATGAAGCCGTGTGCTGTCTAATTTGTTGCAGTCTCCGCTGCAGGGTGCAACACCAAGCCTTCATCATCCGTCATGTTATTAAATTTTTTACCAACCAGACTTCGTCCTTCTTGTTTGCGTATTCTAATGTAGTTAAGATAAAAAAAAAAAGAAATTTTAAACTCAAATAGTTTTATTTCTTGTAGGTAATTGTATTACGATCTAAACAGAAAAAAAAATAACGCGTACAATCTAGACCTAAGAAATTGTTTGGTTGAAATGAAATATAAATGGATCAGCAAAAAAATTATTAACGTCTCTGTTTTAAATTGACATCAAATTACGATTTATTAATGATTGTAAAAGACGTTGCCGATGAATGAAAACGTGAAATTAACTATGTACAGTGTGTAGATTAGACATGAGTCAGAATTAAAATTCATATTTTAGTTAACAGATAAGTAGATGTGTGTGTACCTTAGACTCCGTCAAAGCTTTTTTACAAAATGAACTTAATGTCAATGATTTGTGATGCTGCAATTTATTTAAAGTTGCATGTCTTACAATTTATGCTGGCTAATACAAAATGTTATAATAAAAATATTTTTGTTAATCACCACTCACCTCCACCAGAGAACAACACCAATAAGTATCATGAGCACGACAACACTGACTGAGCCAATAATAGCACCAAGATGGCCGATACTGAGTGGGGCTGAATTTGAGAAAAAATAAAGACAATGTTTCACGTTTATTTCAAAATTTAGTAAACAAAAATTCCTCGACATTTAACTAAATTAAAATAAGAAATCGTGTCTTCTTCTTCTTCTTCGTTCTTAATTTTTAGTGTAGGGAGGGATCGAGTCTTATCTACCAGAGGGTTTTAACTCGAGACTTTTTTTCGAATTTATCAAACATGAGCTTTGCCGACTCGACCATGCTTCCATCACAATTAAGGATTACGTGTCAACTGGTTATGCGCCATTGAGGCCATTGACTCCGATTTCAGCCTGCTTTTCTTTTTGGATTTGCTTCCATAGCCTTTGTCCAACCAAGAACAAACTACAAGGCAGCAGTTGTTTGATTTTGAAATCGTGTATGTTGTTACATTTCGGAAATATCAAAACATAAAGCTAGAGGAAACAAAATTTAATTGTTCACTAACTATATCTGTCAATTACTCCATCTCAATTAATTATAACTTATATTAATTACATGTCTATTCTACTGCGATCGCAACATGTGCACTTATAGGGATGTACACGTATTATTAACATTAGTTTATTGCATTTTTTGACAAATTATAGAGTTTGTTATACAGAAATGGACACAAATAGAGACGATAGAAATTGTTCGAATTTGTATATATATCTACATATACATGTATATACAATACTTGCCCGAAACTTTTTCCTTAACTAGGGGAAGACAACCTGCTGTTTTGTTGTTACATGAGACTTCGGTAGTGTTGTCTATACCAGAAAATTATAATGAAATCAAGATAATTTACAGTACCAGTGGGTTTTTTTTTCAGAATTCTAACTTGGATATTCCTCTCAACTCAAAATAATTTTCACCTCTTTAAACACCATATATATATATATATATATATATATATATATATATATATATATATATATATATATATATATATATATATATATATATATATATATATATATATATATATATATATATATATATATATATATATATATATATAATTATATGTATATATATATAGTTATAAAAAGGCCTTGACTCTACTCTCCTACCCATCTGACAGAAGATTCCCGTATAGCCGTGTGGACAACTGAGACAGGAACCATTTTCCACGTGACACAACTGGTCAACACAACTTTTGGAGCATCTTTGTTTACAGTTTTCTCCGTAGTAGGTGGCGGCACACTCTGGTTAAAATTTAAAAGAAAAATAACAATAGCAGTTCTACAAGTTCCTGTAAGATATTGTTAATTCAATACATTACTCGTGATGTTTAACAGAAGATAATACTTGACCTTTCTCACAGAAATCCCCAATTTTACCAGCAGGACAATCTACACATCTGCCATCAGTACTGTTACACATTTGATCAACACACCGCTCGTCACAAAGTTCCGTACAATTGACGCCATGCAAACCGTCAGCGCAAACTGAAATTTATTTAAATTTTAAAAATGTATTTTTAAACATGATTTCTCATACTATTTATAAATTATGAGCCGACCCGCGGCGTATCATACGCCGCTATTTAGTTGTTTTATTTTCTACTTTTCAGTAATTCATAATTTGTGAATTCGACGGTACCAATGCTGCCACTGAAAATATTTGCTTTAAAACACTATCAGTAGGTCGTTAAGGACGATAACCCCCCTCCCCCCACCTTCCTTTCCCCTACCCTACCCCCCCCCCCCGTGAAAGCAGCCTCCTCTTAGTTACCTCCCCTATGCCTAATAGCCGTCAGTAAACCCGGCTCTAAGATTTTAAACATTTAGCGTGAACCACAGCTCACCAGACCATTTGGGGGTGGGGGTGGTAGGGAGCGCGCTTAGAGCTTGGTGTTTTCTATGGTCTCCAAGAAGATAATTATATATATATATATATATATATATAGATTTTGCCTTTGTCCCTCATGGTTATCAAAGTGTTTGAACAAATAATTATAAATTATTTTAACGAACCTACCGAGCCGATTTGTTTCATACTTGACACATAGGTCGAGGTCCGATAGCAATTAAATAATTGATTAATTTTTTAAAGATAACTTTGCGATATGCATGCAAAGTCGGTTCGCTACTGCAGACTTTTCCAAGCGTTCATTTGGTTTTAGTAATGCGACTTAATTTTAAAATAATTAGGTATTCTTAATAATAAAAAGTTTTATAAAATCAAGCTTTTATATTTGCACTAAAAAGAAGACAACAAATGATTTTATTTAAAATATACTATAGTGCACTATGATTTACACAGCTAAATACATTTCAGCACTAAGAAAATCTTTATACACATTGGACCATAGACTATTTATAGTACCTAAATACGCGTACCTCTTATTTAATTAGATCTATATCGACGAAACCGCTTTTGTAATATACTAAATCCTCTTCTTCTTCTTCGTTCTTAATTTTAGTGTTGGAAGGGATCCCCTCCAGCACAATTAAGTATACGTGACAACTAGTTATGCGATATTGAGGGTTTGAACTTGAGAATTTTCGGTTTAGCAACCATGAGCTTTACTGACGCGACCATGCCGACCCCATATACTAAATGAGATTTCCCTTTCAATTACAACAGATATTTCTCCACAACCTGCTAACACCCGAAATTCATAAACCATAACCATCTAAGAGCAAGAACGTCCCCAAAGTGATCAGCAGTTCTAGATACGTACCTAACTTGCAGACGCCATCAACACACTCCATGCACTGTCCAGAGATGTGGTCACACAAATGGTCGCCACATTCACAATTTTGGCTACAATCAATACCATAGTGGCTTGAGTCGCATTCTACCCATACAAAAATTGTGGATTAAAATGTGATTTCTACAAACCAAAGAAAGAAAGAATGCGAAAAAAAAAATAACGTGAATAAAATAATCTAATTATTTAATGATATTATTAATATTCACTGATCAAGTGGTTTATGGGACGTACTTTGTGTACACATCAGACCGGTGTATCCAGGTTCACATCCGGCACTACAAGTTCCAGTTACGTGGTGACAAGTTGCTGACAACTTGACATTAACAGCTTGACAGAACTCGCTGCAGTTTGAGGTACAGTTGGGCCCAAATGTGTTGTCACTACAGTCTAGATATACACATGTACATTTACACACACACACACATATATATATATATATATGCCTATATATGTATATATGTACACATATATATGTACATATATATATATATATATATATATATATATATATATATATATATATATATATATATATATATATATATATATATATATATATATATATATATATATATATATATATTGTGTACATATATATGTACATATATATATATATATATATTGTATACATATATATGTACATATATATATATGTAACTATAATAATCAATATATATATATATATATATATATATATATATATATATATATATATATATATATATATATATATATATATATATATATATACATATATATATATACATACTAAAACACGCATTCCGGTAGTAGATTATGGATGTTTAAGTAGTTTTTATAAGGTAGTTAAAAACAACCTGTGTATGGAATGGGTTACACAAGTAAAAACACGTTGGGGAGGCCGTTACACATTCTTCTATTAATTACTTTAGTAAGTCAACTAAATAAATTGGTCAGTAGTTTAATCATGTTGGTCAATCAGTTACATCAGTCATTGAACTACTCACATTGGTCACACCAGGTCCCTTGATATCCATCCCTACACCCGTGTGTACACTGACCAGTGATTGGGTCACAGCCTCCATCTCCCCCACACGTCATGCTGCAGTCTTCACTACACGATTTGCCGTAGCTCAGATGGGGACAGTCTGTAAACAAAACCAAACACCCGACAAGCCCCGACGACCATTGAATATTTAAAATTTAATGAAGAAAAATGCAGATGTTACAGAGACGTTACGGCATGGAGCGTGGCTAACAAAGGAACACATTTTTAACTACATAATTTTTGGCTTACATTGTCACTTTGTTAGATTAGTTTAACAGACGTACTGATATAATAATAAACCTATGATTTCTCATGGCCAACTATAAACATCGTGATCATATATGTAGTTAATGTTTTTATATTTACATGTCTTTTAAAATTATTATATCCTGCATGAAACGAAGGTTATTAGAAATGGAATTTTAGTTTTATTGAAAAAAATCAATGTTGTTTTTCATCCAAGAACTTAAATTTTTTACTAAAATTGTAGTGATCTAAAAAATAAAGATATAAAAAATAGTCAATAAACAATATATGCGGAGTTACCTAATTCACACGATTGTGTTTTTTGTCTCCCGGGGGGACAGGACAGACACGCCCCTGTCTCTGGGTCACACAAAGACATGTCACACTTCTCACTGCAGTTTTGTTGGCAGCCTTTTCCGTAGTGTCCGCTTGGGCAGTCTAGATCGGAACGTGAACTTGTAATGTGTGTTTTAAAAATTTAGTTACCAATTAGATTTTAATTAATCCACCATTCCCTTGATTTAATGAGACTGCGCACTTCTCATGTACATTTTTATTTAAATACACAATGCAAATACATATCAAACACTTTCCAATATATTAGCAAGTTAGTTGGGGCATCGCTTTGTCTAAAACTTGTCTTCTATAATATTTTACTCGAATGTTACTGTGGACCAGAGTTTTTTCCAGGCATCTCTTCGGGGGGGGGGGGGGGGGGGATCTGCCCCCCCCCCCCGAAGAGATGGAATTTATATAGTAAAAATATACTTCTACTAGTGTCCGCCCCTCCCCCCCGGAAAATGTTGACCGCCCCCCCCCGGAAATATCAAGTGCCCTCCCGGAAAAAAAACATCTGGAAGAAACACTACTGTGGACTGGTTGTATTTGATCCTTTAAAAAACATCGAAATTAATTTTTAAATCTAGTGCCCTTTTATGTTCGGCAATATGTGTTTTCAAATGTGATATTTTAGAAAAAAGAAAGAATTTACTCACCGTCGTCACAAAAATCTCCTGTATATCCAGATGGACATTGGACACACTGACCACTCTCTGGGTAACACGACTGGTTGACACAACGAGAGCTGCAGAGGTCTGTGCAGTTGCTGCCGTAGTGGGTTCCATCACAGTCTCGAAATTAAAAAAAACAAACAAATGATGTGCAAAAGTATTTTGATGATTTTTTTTATTTGTTAAGAAAGCTAATCTGCTTTAATGCCTTTGTCAAAGGACATTATAAAACATTTTTTTAAAAATCGGATGTCGCGATAAAACCAAACACATATACAAACACACACAAACATAATAAAATATGTGTGTATGTGCGTGTGCATTCATATTTTTTAATTAATTAATATTTTCTGGTATATTTTTACAAAATTATTCCGCTGTATTCTGTTGATCCGACTAAAATTCAAACAAACGCTGTCTCACCTTTTTCACAAAAGAATCCCGTTTTACCAACTGGACATAGAAAGCAGTGGCCAGTTGTGACGTCACACAAGTGGTTAACACAGTTACTACTGCATGTCTGGTTGCAGTTGGTACCGTAGTAGGTGGGTGAGCAGTCTACAGAGGGAGGGGGGGGGGGAAGCATAATAAAATATGTATTAGTCTAGTGGCGGAAAGATCAATGGCTGATGACAAGGCCATATGGCTACAACCGTAGACCCATGTGTTCTAAAGAATCATTTCTGTTTAAGATTATATGTAACTTCGTTACTGACCTTCCTTACAGACCCCATCCGAACAGATTCTACACTGACCAGTGATATGATCACAGGTTTGGTTCAAACACCTGTGGCTACATCTCTGTTTACAGTCCACTCCGTAGTAAGTTTCTCGACATTCTGGGGAAGTTCATCAATGTTAATAACTTTATCCTTGTCTCTATGTCTATTGTTAAGTTTCTCGACATTCTGGGGAATTTTATCCATGTTGATAACTTTATCCATGTCCCTATGTCTATCGTTAAGTTTCTCGACATTCTGGGGAAGTTCATCAATGTTAATTATTTTATCCATGTCCCTATGTCTATCGTTAAGTTTCTCAACATTCTGCGGAAATTCATCAATTTTAATACTACGTAATGGGTGATTCATGTACTTGGTTTCATTTTTTGTTCAGTTCATGTTATGATACAACTTTGCTTAATAAGCTTTCACTCATTAAATAATATGAAAAGGCTAATATGCCTTTGGGTTTTGCAATAACTCATTTATTCATTACATAAAAAAAATATATATCACACTGCACGGGCGCATGAAGTATATTCAACTTATGAATATTTAAATTTCTAGCTTTTCAGCAGCACGTAGGTCGTGTGACGCTTACAGGCCACAGTTGACAACTGATTTGGTGTGTTAGTTGTCTACAATTGTTGTTATAATTAATGATGATTCTTCCTTTATTACATGTAGTAAGTCAACATACATCTAAGTGTACGCATCAGGGGCGTAGCGAGGGGGGGGGGCGGGTGGTGCGGATCGCACCGGGTGACACCATTTAGGGGGGTGACACCAAGGCAAAAAATAGCAAAATATATAGAAAAAACTTGAGGGGGGGGGGGTACAAATGGAAAGTTTAAGGGGGGGGGGGTGCAAATCGAAAGTTTGATGGGGGGGGGGGTGCAAATCGAAAATTTGAAAGTTTGTCCCCGGGAAGGGTCGCTACGCCTCTGGGGGTGACACCATTAAGTGCCGCATCGGGTGACACCCGACCACGCTACGCCACTGGTACGCATTATTGCGTCATTTTTTGTGTTAATCTTTATTTTCAAACTGCTTGTAACATTTAACACTGTAATCTGTACTGTTATTTGTGTTATTGGACATCTCGTTACTTAAATGTGTGGGTTATTACCGATGTCCAGCAATAGACTCTTCCAAAAATAGGTGTGTTAGGTTGATAGTAGTATTGTAATCTCAAGTTTATTTTCATGGTTAGAAATTAGTTATCCTAGGTCTAGGGTTAGGGTAAGAATTCACATTAGCAAGAGATATGTAATCAGAGTTTCTTCCAGGCATCTCATCGGGGTGGGGAGGTGTGTGTGTGTGTGTGGGAGACCCGCCACAGAAAGAATATAATTTACATAGAAAATATATAGTTTTATCAGTGCCCCCCCCCAAACCAAAAATATTTCAACTGCCCCCCCCCCCCCCCATGAGAAAAAAGTCTGAAAGAAAATCTGTATGTAACTTAGTAACTACCAGTTTCTCAAGGATTATATTATTTTGCCATTAACAATCATATACCCGAAAGTAAATTTTGCAAGAATGTGCACTAAAGTGCACGAATTACCGTGTGTACACTGTAGACCATCGTACCCTGCAATACATCCTAATAGACACGCCCCTGTGATGTGATGACAGTTCTGATTGGTTAGCTGTGTCACGTGCTTACAGTTCGTGCTACACTTGGAGCTGCAGTTTTCTCCAAAAGTGTTCTGGTCACAGACTGGCATGTATGGATACAAATAGCGTTAATTAGTAATTCATTTAAAAAACATACATTAAAAATACATTCATGTATTGATCGATCTAACATCCTAAAATATTTAAGAATGTTTTATTTTTGGTTTAGTGCTCCATGAAAGTGCGACTCCTCCTCTGGTTAGGTCTCTACCATCTTGTGAAACGACACGGATATTTTCCCTGATATTGCGTATTTGTGGTCATTTTAAATTTTAAAAAAGTGATGTATATATAAGTGGAAAGTAAAGCAGACCGCTTGAACTATTGATTAAAATATTTTTAGGTTTATGAACATATTACTACTAAGTATCATTAATAAGAAATTTAATAATAAGGTGAAATTTGCTGACACTAAGATTCATATAGGGAGGGGACACTACTGTGTAGACACCAACCGGAATCAACTCAACATGATACTTATTTTTTTATTCACATTTTTATTTGTATTAAATAAAAAGTCTAGCATAGCAAGTGATTATGTAGACGTTACTGTAAAAAGTGCCTTACAAGTGAACTCATTTTGTATGGAATAGAATTGCCTTCTGTTAAAATCATTATCAAGTTTAACACAAATCCTACAGAAATTACGTTTACTCACATAACTGACAGTCGGCTCCCTGATACCCCTCTACACAGCCATAAAGACACGCCCCTGTGATGTGATCACAGCTTTTGTCTCCCCCACAGGTTTCACTACAAGTCTGGCTGCAGTTATAGCCATGGCGATTTGCCGGACAACCTTGGGGGAAATTCAAACAAAATATTTTAAATATAGTTTTTAAGCGAAATAAGGATCATCCATTTATGACATGTACACATAGTCAGTGTGTGGGGAAGAGTAAGAGCTAATAATGCTGCTTTATGTATTTAAAGAAATGGGTGGGGAAAGTAGATCAATGTGGTCTACACATTTAATCTAACATCCGTGTAATATTATTAGAAATGATAGAAAAAAACAAGAAAAAAAAAACCCAAAACGGTAGTTATCTCCTTGTTATCATTGCAAACAAGTAAATACATGCAAACGACAAGCAATTATTTCCTAGGGCATAATATGTATTTTTGTTCTTTTAAAAATAGCTTTAGTCTCATTTAATGTCTATATCCATTTTATTTATACTTTGTCAATTAATTTTAAAATCCATAAACATTTTTAAAATATCAATTTTTTAAGTCGCCAAAAAAAAAAAAAAAACAACAACAAAAAAACATAATATATGCAATGCCGGATATATGCAGCTTAGTAAACATACAAGGTACGTTTCTTTATACATAGGTTTTTCACATAGACCAGTGCAGGCCTGGCCGGGACGGCTAGTATGTTATAAAAATGTAGCTGTCTAGGAAAGATACAAGTAGATTTTCTTATACCACATTAAACTATTTTCCCTTAATTCTACATTTGTAGCATTAGATGGGATTTCCACCAACATTCGCAAGCAGCACACTGTTGACTCGGACATCGGATAGCTTTTCGTAATGGATGTGCCTTCAATGTCTTTATTTAACCATAGATATATAAAGCTTTCTCATCATCAGCGCTTTGGTCAATTAGTCGTTACGCTCTCCCATCTCATACATGAAATGATTTACAAGAAATGATTTACAGGAAATGATTTACAGGAAATGATTTACAAGAAATGATTTACAAGAAATGATTTACAAGAAATGATTTATAGAGATTTAGCTGGACATGTTTTAGAGGTAAGGTTGAGATCAGGCATAGGTTTAAGGATAAGGATAGTCAGAGGCGTAGCGAGGGGGGGGGGGGGAGGCGGGGATGCGGACCGCACCGGGTTACACCATTTAGGGGGGGGGGAGTGACACCAAGGCAAAAAATAGCAAAATATATAGAGAAAAAGTTGAGGTGGGGGGGGGGGTGCAAATCGAAAGTTTGCGGGGTGCGGGGGGGGGGGTGCAAATCGAAAGTTTGAGGGGGGTGGGGTGCAAATCGAAAACTTGAAAGTTTATCGCTACGCCTCTGGGGGGTGACACCATTAAGTGCCGCACCGGGTGACACCCGACCTCGCTACGCCACTGAGGATAGTGATAGGGTTAGTGTTATAGTTGTGTTTATGATTAGGGATCCGTTCAGTGGTAATGATGAGGATTAAGTTATGGATAGTGAGCTCAGGTTATGTCGTCGATTGTGGTTTATAACATATCTATTAGTAAAATGTTATTCTTTTCACCACTAAAAATTCGAAGAAAAAATATACAGGCAACAGCAGAAGCCAGACGATAACTTTTCTACGTGTTTAAACAAAGCTGCTTACTTTGGTCACAATGTTCTCCAACAAACCCAGGGGCACAGGCCAGACACTCCCCAGTCACGGGGTGACATAGTTGATCGACACACGACTTAAGACACATCTCTTTACATCCTACGCCGTACGTTGTTACCGGGCAATCTGGATAAAAATGTAAAGTTGTTAAAATCAAATCTCTCGTCTTAAATTGTTGGGCGTTTACATTGCTGAAACTTAATCTGAAGGAAAATTAATTCATGTTTTAATTTCCGGCAGTTCAATATATTTTTAAAAGTTTTCTCAGAACAGTCTTAAGCGTGAGATTATAGAATCTAAATGAAAATTTAGGGTACAATATACATACACATGTTTTTGTTGCTGTTAGACAAGCACAAGAATGCGTGTCATTGATAGTGTATGATACTTAAGATAATCGGATTCTAGTTACATATATATGACATTTAAATGATCTTACTAAATATAAGTGAACTGTTGTTTTATGGAAGTACAAAGTAAACGTAAAATTACAAAACTTGTGCCTAAAATTAAACAAAGTACTAATCAGTTATGTGATACCCACCATCATTACATAAAACTCCCGACTTTCCTGGTGGACAGCTAAGACAGTCGCCATTTTTACTGTCACACTTGGCATTGAGGCAACTGTTGCTACATCTTTCTATACAGTTTATCCCATAAAAAGTCGCGGCACAGTCTGGGGTTGGGAATTAAAAATATTTTACATAAATTACATATTCTTAAAGTAAATTATCACCACAGCTTAACGTAATCTACTGCTCCAATATAAATTAAAGTAATACATTAAAGCGTGTGGATTAGATGACTTGTACAAATAAAACTCGAGTTCGCTCTATGTTTAGCGAATTATTAAATTTTCTAATAATACTTAAGAAATACAAACATCACATACTTCTGAAGAAAATGTAATGACGAAAAAAGATAAAGTAACTTACAAATATATTTCAAATTTTGTTAATAAGATTTAGCGAAATGCTTTAGTTAAAATAGCTCTAGATTTAGTTAAAACTACGTGTAATTTATCATAGATTTGAGGATAATCAAAACAGGACTAAATGTAGATTATGAAAGAGACATTTAATTAATGGCTCACAAGGGATAACTGATATCTTCAGAAAACAGTAAGAATAAGTTAGGGAATATTTACTTTCGATTTTTTTTTGTTTGATAGAAAATCTGTAGAACGGACTGACGCCGTTTAGGATGTAGTAGACACGGTGTTGTCGTAAAGTCGCTAGGAAATACTTTAATAGTTAAAAGTTGGCTTTAGTTGTGACGGCATGATGGAGGAGAACAATGTTTGTTTTTGCCAATATTTGTTGAGTGTAGAGAAAAAGTCATGGAAGTGTTTCCAGTGGCGTAGGCAGGGGGGGTTAGGGGGGTCATAACCCCCCCCATAGATCCCTCGGTATATATAAAAAGTATGAGGGGGGGGGGGTGCAAATCGAAAGTTTGAGGGGGGGTGCAAATCGAAAGTTTGAGGGGGGGTGCAAATCGAAAGTTTGAGGGGGGGGGGGGGGTGCAAATCGAAAGTTTGAGGGGGGGGGGTGCAAATCGAAAGTTTGTCCCCGGGTAAAAAATTGGAACCCCCCCCTTGAGACGATCCTGGCTACGCCACTGAGTGTTTCTGTCAAACGCACGGAAATAATTCTGATGCCATTCCTACACACTAGTTGCAATAAAAATTAATTAGAAGTTGAGAGTGTTACAGAAATAGGCTACATAAGAACCCAATTATTAAGATTAAGCGTCACATTTTTATTAAAAGGTTAAAAGTAGTCAATAATTAGTTTGTCACCTTTTTCACAAAAGTCTCCAGTTTTTCCAGGGACACAACTCAGACATCGGCCATCAGTGCTGTTACACAATTTGTTGGCGCAGTTATCTGAGCATGTTTTTAGACAACCCACGCCGTAAAACATAGGGGAGCACGCTGATGATATAAACATGTCTAATTTGTTAAAAACTACGGAAGAAAAGACCTTACAATTTGCTGCATTATAAAATAAAGATATAAATTATCAAATTGTAAAGAATTATAGGAAAACCAAAGTCGTATAACATACCCCTTCAACTAAACGTAAATAGCTGGAAAAGGGAGAGAACTAATCATTTATTCTAGTAATTAAAAACGAAATCCTGTAAACCTAGCTTATCTTACTAACACACACACACATAGAAAAAACGTAGCAAAACTGGGGTTTTGCGACTTAAAAAGGAGAACATTTTTTGTTATAATTATCTTCCCTCACTCAAAAGGATATTAAAAAACCCCCACCTAAACACTTGCAATACGTGACTTCCCCATCCTAAATCCAATCTTAAATCGCTTTTTGCTGATAATACATTTACATAATCTAAATCTACTGCATCTACAATTGTCCAGGCAAAGTTAAATGCCACTGACCTTCCTTACAGATCCCATTAGAGCAGACCATACACTGACCAGTGACGTGATGACAGGTTTGGTTCAAACACCTGTGGCTACATCTCTGTTTACAGTCAACTCCGTAGTAAGTTTCTCGACATTCTGGGGAAGTTCATACATTTTAATAACTATATCCATGTCCCTATGTCTATTGTTAAGTTTCTCGACATTCTGGGGAATGGTAATACAATTTAGCCACAATACGTCCTCTTGAGCTGGCGATTTTTACGGATACTGTTTATGTGGAGGTCACTCAACAAAAATGTTTTTAGGCTATTTTTCATTTTAGACGACTGTAGAGTTGGTTGAAAACGTTAAGTGATCATCAGTTGACATAATTTTTATACCACAACGTTATCGACAGCAACCTATAAAACTGTGTCAGGTTGTTAAGTTCTATATATAACTAAACTTACCGTGAGTACATTGAAGGCCTTCATACCCCGCCTCACAACCAGATAGACACGCCCCTGTGATGTGATGACAGTTCTGATTGGTTAACTGTGTCACGTGCCTACAGTTCGTGCCACACTCGGCGCTGCAGTTTTCTCCAAATTTGTTGTCGTCACAGACTGTAAAGTAAATGTAAGTAATACAATTTGATACAAAATAGTAACAGATCCTCGTATTGTATCTGAAATAGATTGGCCAATTTCCATTGTCATACATAAATATTTAAAATATTGCTTTTGAGTAGGAAGCTGTATTGGGCTATGACAAGATAGGTATTGCTACACTGCTTTGTGCATTATATCATAGCAAAAATAATAAAAAAAAATGTATTGAAAATTTGTAGTGTTTCAGCGTATTTGTATAAGCTTTTTTCAGTAGTCCTAATTATCTGTCTGACTGTTTGAAAGCCTGTATTTCTGTAACCGATTACAAGCCTATCGGATTTTTAGACGAACAAGATATCAAAGAGTCACCAAATTAATTTTAAAATATCTGCCAAGAGAAAATATAAAAAGCATACCACATTGTACTGAAAATTAAAAAGAATACATATAAATGTATCAATGAAATTTAGTAAATTTTAATTAATTCATAAAACATAAATTAGGCATCCAATTATCTCAAATTTTTGCATTGTCATCGGAACTTGGTTCAAGTTTCAAGTATGAAACGAATGGTTCAGTTAGAAGTGCTCGAAATTTCGCGCGGCAGTTTCGATCTATGACGGACGACAGACAGGCAGAGGAAACAAGTTACATAAAAGCTTTTATTTATCAAAGTACTGGTCGACAAAATGTGTAAGAGATTTCACGAGTGACCAAGGGTTTTATTAAAGAAACAAAGGAACCCTGATCCCGGAGCACCTCTATCAGTGTCAGCCCACCCCCTTCCTTCCTTCCAAAAATATAAGTGCGCCTCATAGATGCCCCCCTACCCCCAATTGAGTAAAATGTCTGAAAGAAACATTGTATGGAACCAGATAGGATTTTAATCGTAACCAGTGTTTCTTCCAGACTTTATTCTCCGGCGGACACTGTTAAGAGAATATATTTTCTATATAAATTTCATTTCGTTCGGGGGGGGGGGGGGGGAGGTAGACTTTCTTCGAGGAGGCCCCCCCCCCCACCAAGAGATGCCTGGAAGAAACTCTGATCGTAACATGAAGTCCTGGTGTATACAAATACATTGCAAATTTGGAGTTTGATCAGCGTTTACATTGCAACATTTTGCTGAAAGAAAGAAATAGTAGAATGTAATGCTAAAGGACAGTTAGAAAATCTTTTTCTAAGTTATTGGGAGAAATTCAATTTGAGTGAAATGTGATGAGGTCTTCTTGGTCGATAGATATATGTATTGCATAATAAACTAACATATAGGAATACATATTAAGGTTATCTAAAATAGCGTGAAAATTAACACATTTTTGTATACATTTATAAGTAAAAAATACATTCCAATTTGTTTGTTACTTACTTAACTGACAGTACTCCCCATGATACCCATCTACACAGCCATAAAGACACGCCCCTGTTGTGTAGTTACAGCTTCCGTCTCCACCACATTTATCACTACAAATCTGGCTGCAGTTAAAGCCATATCTTCTTGCAGGACAAGCTGGGGAAGTTTGAGATTTAACAGCTATTTTTAGCTTATTGTAGCCACATTTGTTTTTGCATAGGCTACAAATAGCACATTTAAAATTGATCATTATAACACAAGATAAAAAAAAATTCAAAATATTACGATATGCAGGGCATTAAAGCCGAATTAAATAAAGTCAACATTGATAGGCACCATGTATTTTTGTCCGTTTAGTCTCATGTACTGTTACATACCTCTAAGTTGCCGAAACCTTCCTCCCCACCTAACCACACGAAAAGACCTTTCACAATGATTCACACATCTTTTATATCTGCATCCAAACTTGGAATAACACTACATAAACACCTGGGGTTAACTCAACTGACACCCACGCTATCCCCTAAGTTCTAGACTATTCTAACATATTGAAAACTAATCCACAAATGACCCGTAACACAGGCTAATATTGGGAAGTTTAGACCTAGTAGTGCGAAGATAACAAACTGGGGGCTTGTCATTATTATTGTTTATCGTTTCTCCACCTTGTTCACAAAAGTCTCCAAAGGCCTCAGTGTAGCATGCCATACATTCTCCAGTCATTGGATCGCATGCTTGGTCAAAACATGACGTATGACATCTTTCTTTACACCCCTCTCCGTAATAACCTATTGGGCAATCTGCAAAGTACGGTAAGCTTTTTAAATCAATTGTCATATAAATTAGTGCTTAGAGTGTTGCATTTGAAAAAAAAAAATTTATATAATATATAATTATAATTTAACCCGTACCACATTATGATTTAAATACGTAAAATAGATTTAAATTCTTTACACTAGGTTTTATGAACTTAAAACCACTGAATAATACATAATAAGCTTTAAGTATTATACATGAGAAGGATCTACGCAAGAACCCATTTGTGTATAGGAAACACAAAATCTGAATATAAAACTAAATCGGCTCATAACTATAAATGTGATACCCACCATCATTACACAAGGCTCCAGACTTTCCTGGTGGACAGCTAAGACAGTCGCCATTTTTACTGTCACACTTGGCATTGAGACAACTGTTGCTGCATCTTTCTGTACAGTTTATCCCATAAAACGTCGGGGTACAGTCTGGGGTTGCATCATAATATTTTAATATAATGATATAAGGTACATCTCACCCCACGAAGCTAATTTGTATGTAAACTTCCCCTTCCAAACCTGACGTTCTATGGGGTAATTGAAGTATAGTTCACCTGTTTCTGTGACTTCGATATATGAAGACATAGTGTGGTCAGCACTATGCCCAGCCGCCTTTACTTTCCCTAACGTAAGTTAGGTACCCATCAGAGCTAGGTGAACTCAGGGAAGGTCTAACTGACTTGAAGCTTGGATTAGAGTTCAAGACTTATGGGTTAGCAGTCTAGCTCTCTACCGCTTGGCCATTCCGTCCCCTAATTTATAAGACGTAATACGAATCACAGAAAAGGGAAATTAATGTCTGTTAATTTTGTTTCTACAGAAAACTGAAATTAATGTGTGTTAATTGTGTTACCACAGAAAAGGGAATTAATGTGTGTTAAGTTTCCGACTAGCAATAATGTATTTTGATTAAAAAATTACCAATCTCGTGTTTTTCTGAAATTAAACATGTTAAACTCGTAAGGAAAACAACAACAACAACCAATTCAGGTATAATTTATCAACCAAATGTGAGAAATATTTTTTTCACCTTTTTCACAAAAGTCTCCAAATTTTCCAGGGACACAACCCAGACATCGACCATCAGTGCTGTTACAGAATCGGTTGGTGCAGTTATCTGAGCATGTTTTTAGACAACCCACGCCGTAATAAGTGGGAGAACATTCTGTAGATATAAACATGTCTCCTTTATTGGAACTAACCACTAAGCGTCGAATAGTTGTACGATATGCTCTTTATGTGATAAATAATGTAATTTACCTGGGTCTAGTGGTCATCAATAAATGACGTCACGGTTTGTAGAACGCTTTTTACCTCCCCATCTCCCCCGACACACATTGTCAAAAAAAAAAAATGCCAGACCCCTCACATTACTGAAACGAAGTCAACCTCAGCCTACAACCCCCCCCCCCCCCTCCTCTCTCCCCCCCTCCAGTTTTATAAAACATCGATCAACATGTAGTGTATTACTCGATTTCTATCACAATCTATTAAAACAGAATGCTAAAATAACGACTAAAATTCCGTTTTTTTTTGTCAAAAATACTATTTTTAAATGCAAAAGTGTGAGGTCACACTATCTGAACACCCCCCCCCCCCCTCCGCCCCGTATGTGTATGTAATTACAATTTTGTATATGTTAAACTGAATACACGTGCGTTTCCTTAATACAACGAAAACCTGATATGAAATAACGTGACCTCTGACCTTGTACGCAAGTACCGCTAGAACAATCCTCACACTCGCCACTGATGTGGTTACACATTTGTCTGGCACATCTGTGGCTACACCTCTGACTGCAGTCGTTACCGTAGTATGTTGGTCCACACGCTGAAGTTGAGAGAGGAATAAACCAATTGATGATCTAAGACAATATTTAAAAAGGTATCTAAAAATAGATTGGTTCTTGACGGTTGTTATAAAATCCACTAGTTTGGTGGAGGAACCTTTGAAACGTCTCAGGAATTTGTACACTTTTAGTTTGCTATAGTGAATATGTCGGAAAATATTGGCGCTTACGCGATGTTGTAGAAGAAATATTATTTTCTGGACGTTCTTCTGAAGTGGGAAGGGACATGAAAATCGTATTAAAACGTGTAGTGTAGAAATTATTAAAATCAACAAAATGAAAACTGGCCGACTTTTAAGTTACATGAATTTACCATTAGAACAGTTGTTGGGACACATAGGCTCACATGTATGAACTTACCATAAGAACATTTCAAGCAGATTTACATCACATTTACCTACCACTACAACAGTTGAGACTGGGTTACATCACAGTTACCTACCCTGAGTACAGTTGAGGCTGGGTTACATCACAGTTACCTACCCTGAGTACAGTTGAGACTGGGTTACATCACAGTTACCTACCCTGAGTACAGTTGAGGCTGGGTTACATCACAGTTACCTACCCTGAGTACAGTTGAGGGTGGGTTACATCACAGTTACCTACCCTGAGTACAGTTGAGGCTGGGTTACATCACAGTTACCTACCCTGAGTACAGTTGAGGCTGGGTTACATCACAGTTACCTACCCTGAGTACAGTTGAGTCTGGGTTACATCACAGTTACCTACCCTGAGTACAGTTGAGGCTGGTTAACATCACAGTTACCTACCCTGAGTACAGTTGAGACTGGGTTACACCACAGTTACCTACCATTAAAACAGTTGAGGCTGGATTACATCACAGTTACCTACCCTGAGTACAGTTGACGCCCATATACCCAGGCTGACACCCCATGATACACTCGCCATTTGTTGCGTTGCAGGGAGATAACTCGACATTACCAATCACTCTTTGATTGCACTTGTTACTGCACTTCGATGTGCAATTTTTACCAAAATAAAATTTCTTACAACCTGAAACATATGTTTTAACTTTAATACCTTCGTATACCTTCAAAATGGTATTCATTTTAAAGTAAATAAATTGTATTTTTTGCAAATAGACGGATATTTAAAAAAAAAATTGAAGAAGAAAAACTATTACAACAGAGCTAGCGTTTGATATATCTTCTTCTCTTTTCTTCTTAATCCCGTGCGTGCCCAAGACACATGGGGCAGATGAAGTAGAGTTCATCTCATTCACTGATCTTGGTATATTAAGGAATAGTGTGGTCATGGACGTTCCAGTGGTTTGAACCCGGATTCGAACTCAAGACGCTCGGGTTGGCAGTCTAGCTCTCTACCGCTAGGCCACGCCGGTCTTGATATATGTAGATCAAACTATAAACGTTGACATGTTAATTTTGTTGGTTGGGTTACGTTTCGATCAGAATAATATCCAGGAAAAAATTATTTACAAAACAGCATCTTGAGAATTACATTACAGACATTTTGGTGGATAACGTGATTAAGACACTTGTAACTCATAAACGTTTAGCCACGTTTGTTACGACCATATGATGTTAGTTAATACAACTGGAAACATTGGAAGGCATTCGATATAGTAACCGATAATATCAGTAAAGTTAGAGCCCTGAACGATAATGATGTGTCTTGATGTTCCCGACTGATGTCAAAGGACAACAAAGTTACATTATGTTTTGTCTACCGCCCAGAATAAGCACAAGATGTCTTCACATTGACTACATACATCCAGTGTTTCTTCCAGACTTATTTTTACGGGGGGACGGGGGGGGGGGGACTTGAAATGAATGTTCGGGGAGGGGGGGCGGTAGACTTTCTTCGGGGGGGCGGACACTGTTAAATGTATTTATTTTCTATATAAATTCCATTTCGTTGGGGGGGGGGGGGTGGTAGACTTTCTTCGGGGGGGGGGGGGGGGGGCGGAGCTCCGATCATACGTCTTGTCTCAGGCTACCATCTTAGACAGCTCCCACATAACACACTACACGCTGACACAGTAAACATTGACCGGTAACTCAAGGGACATAACCATGATATACATCATACAAGGGACGTAACAATAAGTAACACGACGTAACAAAACCAACCTAGTTGACAAGTTGGGTCCCTGTATCCATCAACACATCCGTGCCGACATTGACCTGTGACCTTATCACACGACCCGTCACCAGCACACGTCGTGCTACACATCGAGAGGCATCTGGCACCGTAGGTGAAGTCAGGACAACCTGCCGGAAGTAGAATACAGGTCATTTAATCTAGACATGTAAACAACACGGGTCATTTATTCTGGACATTTAACGGACCATTTAGTCCCGTAGTTTACACTGGAAGTTGGGTCTGTTTACGTGAATAACTTGGTTAATTTCGAATTTTAGATCTGACATGAAAGAAACAGAAGTTAATCCCTTCGAGATTTAATTAACCAGCATGGTTAATTTAGTTTGAGCATGCTTAGTGTACTTGTCTAAAAATTTGTACCTGTTACAACCTACTCAGTTTATTATTCCAGACGTATATGTATATATATGGTTCCATGACAAATGATCTCAGACAAAATATCTCACGGACAAATGATCTCAGGACAAATGATCTCAGGACAAATGATATCATGGACAAATGATCTCAGACAATATATATATATATATATATATATATATATATATATATATATATATATATATATATATATATATATATATATATATATATATGTGTGTGTGTGTGTGTATGTGTATATATATATATATATATATATATATATATATATATATATATATATATATATATATATATATATATATCTATATTGTACACGTGTTGATATTTGATACATAGCAAATTAAATTTGATCGATTAAAGGGAAATACCCGTAAACATGAGCTACCGTTTTTCCTTATATGTTTATCCTTAAAATAAGATTTATCCTTGAAACCCACGTATAACGTTTTATGGAAACAACATATAATGATAATATTAAGAGGGACAATTTTTATCATAATTAATATTTAAACACTATTTGACGGTAGAAAATGGCATGCTTGGTTAAAATGATTGTGTGGCATGTTATAAAAAATACTTAGTTCAACATGTGAAGGGTTCAACTCTACCAAGGGTTTACAATGTGGCAATGTTAGAATACAATATAACGTTACAACGGATGATACTAGCTGTCGTGTAGTAATAGCCCTACTACATGAACCATCTATTATTTGAAAGACAACGAAATACTAACAAAGAAATACTTTTAATGTGTTATTAAACTTAGTAGAAAAGAGTTATTAAATTTTTTAAATTTTTAATTTTTTTTCATGCATCTCTCTGGGGCACAGTTCATGGGAGCAGCCCAAAACCGAGTCCGATGGAGATGTGTGGTTGCAGCCCTTTGCTCCACAGGGGCCACAAAGGAATGATGATGATGATGATCTCTGGGGCACCACCCTCCTACCACCGCTCGAACGAAATAACATTTATACACAAAATATACACTTTAACCAGTGTCCGCTCCCTCTCCCTGGAAATTTAAGGCCGCCCCAAGATCAATCGCCCCCCCCCCCCCACCCCTTCCCGATAGTTTCAAGTGCCTACTCTATAAAAAAAATGTCCGAAAGAGTCACTGAGTGGTATGTTAAGAGGTTGTGATCGGGATTTTGTGTGTGAAGCACATACTGCATGTTACCAATAAGACTTAACTGTTTTCACATCGTTGGCCTGTATATCCGGCGTTGCAACCAAAACAAGCGCCATTTACGAAGTAACACTTGTTGTTCAAACAGTTTTTATTGCATCTATTCCCACAGTGGAAACCATAAAAACCCTCGGCACAGCCTGAAACAACGTGAAATGGTGTTAATAATTTAATTTTTAACCCATTATGTCTAAGTTAGTATGTGAGGTTAGGGTTAGTGGTACGGTTTTGTGTTTAGGGTTAATGGTTTTAATCTAAGATGATTAACTTATTATTTAAATTTGCCTCATTTGTAGCATTTGCATGTTCTGTATGCCTTTTGTTATAGCATCAGTCATTTTCTTCATGATAGAGGGAATAAAGAACGTTTATATATATATATATATATATATATATATATATATATATATATATATATATATATATATATATATATATATATATATATATATATTTATATATATATATATATATATATATATATATATATATATATATATATATATATATATATATATATATATATATATATATATATAGTATATATATATACTAGCCGTCGGTACCCGCTACACGTGAATTTTAGGTCTATATTTTTTTGATGTTATACATTTTTTAGAAGAATTAATACTAATAGTTTCGCTGTCTGTCTGTCTATCTGACAAGAACGCTTTGTCTGACAAGAACGCTCTAGAGAAAACATTAATACTAATAGTTTCGCTGTCTGTCTGTCTATCTGACAAGAACGCTTTGTCTGACAAGAACGCTCTAGAGAAAACACAAGCAAAATAAAAACATGCACAGTAATTCGAAAAACGAAATATGACGTCGACACATTTAGCGTAGAGTAGAACATAATCTCAAGGCGGAAAGTGCACACAGTAAAATGACGTCATTGATTATCGCGTAAACATTGAAAAAAAGGAAATGTTGTCTAATCTAAATGGTTTGCGTGAAGAGTTTCTTGCATACAATTCTTCGGGTAGGGGCGAAGCCCCACCCCCCGCGTAAGAACGTCTGAGCCCCCCCCCCCCCCTCCACAACTCAAAAGAAATTTCCTCATCGATACTCTATAATAAAATTACCGCCTAATTAATGTGTCTAATCTAAAAAGTGGTTTTCTTGCAATGGGACGGTAGACATTTTTTTTGGGGGGGGGGGGGGGGGGGGTGGGGTGGAGGGGTGGGTGTGGGGGGGGGGGGGGGGGTTGGGGTGGTGTGTGGGGGTGGGGGGGGGGGTGGTGTGTGGTGTGTGGGTTGGTTTCAGTGTTTCTTTCAGACTTTTTCCTCCCCGGAGAGGGGTGGGGATACTTGAAATTTTCGGGGCGCGGGGGTAGAATTTTCTGGGAGGGGGGCGGACACTGGAAAAAGTATATAATTATATTTCGTTGAATGGGACGGTAGACATGTTTTTTTTTGGGGGTGGGGGGTGGTGGAGGGGTGGGGGGGGGGGGGGGGTGGTGTGTGTGGGGGGTGGGGGTGGGGGTGGGTGGTGTGTGTGGGGGTGGGGGGTGGGGGGGTGGGGGTGGTGTGTGTGGGGGGGGGGGTGAATTGGTTTCAGTGCTTCTTCAGTGCTTCTTTCAGACTTTTTCCTCCCCGGAGAGGGGTGGGGGGTACTTGAAATTTTCGGGGGCGGGGGTAGAATTTTCTGGGAGGGGGCGGACACTGGAAAAAAAGTATATAATTATATTTCGTTGAATGGGACGGTAGACATGTTTTTTTTGGGGGGGGGGGGCGGGTGGGGGGTGGGGGGGGCGGTGTGTGGGGGTGAGGGGTGGGGGTGGGGGGTGGTGTGTGGTGGGGGGGTGGGGGGTGGTGTGTGGGGTTGAGGGGTTGGGTTGGGGGTGGTGTGTGGTGGGGGGTGGGGGTGGGGGTGGTGTGTGGGGGTGGGGGGGTGGGGTGGGGGTGGTGTGTGTGGGGGGGGTGGGTTGGTTTTAGTTTAGAGAAAAGAGACAGCACTATCAGCCTAGCGCCCGTTGTACCCTTCCTCAACGGGCCATTTTTCTCGTATTTTATAAAATAGTTATCGGTCAAAACGCAATGTGCTTTACTACAGGTTTAACTATATTAGTGACAAAACAAAGAAATAACTAAATAGCTAAAAGTCCGACACATTTAAAATTACATAGGCTACTAATACCTATTAGAAAAAATAAAACCAAATTATATACATAATTAGTCAACACAACACCGTATTAAATGAACACATTGATTAAAAGACTTAAATGATTCCGTTAAAAACCCGGCTTTTCAATGGTATTTATGTTGTTTTTTAAAGTAATTTGTATTAGTTTTGGCCGAGGAAATTGTATAAATTTCATAAATTACGTCTCGATTAGTAAACCTATAAATCTAAATCAAATTTTAATGAAATAGTTCATTTCTTCGTATTCTGAAATTGAAAGATGACGCCATGGGTTTTGTGTACTTTAAACATATGACATGTAATGTCATCGATTTTGGCGTTCTTGTCACAACTATAAACACTTTTCCGGTTGCATAATTAAAATAGTTTTTCTACATTAGAATACGCCTTTATTTTTTATTTTTCTTCTTTAAATAAAATAATGTTTAACATCTAACAAATTATTTTCAACATGTTTTTGGCTCGACGAATTGTCACTGTTGATTATTTTAAAAAACAAAATTTGCTTGATGTAACTGAATAGAACACAGATACGTTGTTGATAAAGCAAAATATAACTTGAGGCATTAAGCCCCCCACCCCCCACAGAAATAATTCTTCCGCCGCCCACCCCCCCCCCCCCCCGAACGATATGAAATTTATACAATTTATATAGAAAATATATACTTTTAACAGTGTTAGCCCCCCCCCCCCCCCCCAAAGAAAGTCTACCCCCCCCCCCCCCGAAAATTTCAAGTGTCCCCCGGGAGATAAAAGTCTGGAAGAAACACTGCTTAATTAGCAACCATCTCCTTATAGACTACTGAAACATACGAACAAGTGCTTCCATTTGTTTTTTATGGCAACTCCTTCCTCAAAGTAAACACAAATACAAAATCTGACGAAAGCTATCGGTGCTAGAGGAGTTGTTCTTATAATATACTTACGAAATGGAATATGATTCTTGTTACCGTATATGAAGCTATGCCATTGCTGCTGCCCTAATTCAAATAAACACAAAAAATAAAAACATTTTAACGTATTGCATTCTAAAAAATACAAATGTATGTGCTTTTGAAATAAGAGTTTTGTTTTGGCACTAACCAAATCAAAATACACATAATTTACTTTTCAAACGTTTTTTTTTTCGTTTTCTAATGAAAAACTATTTTCTTTCTACGTTCTGCATTTGATTAGTTTTTTAAGTTGTTATTGTGACCTTAAATAACACTAATTTTAGAACTAGCTTTTAACTCATAGTGGGACGGCGTGGACTAGCTGTAGAAAACTAGACCGCAAACCCGAGAGTCTCGAGTTCAAATCCGGATTCAAGTCATTAGAACGTTCTAAGTCCACCCAGCTCTGATGGGTACTAGCTAGACATACGTTAAAGAAAGTAAAGACTGCCGGGCAAAACTATCCTTTCATATGCCGAGGTCACATAAACAAGTAAACTCTACTTCACCTGCAATATAGACCGTCATTTTATAAAAGAGTACTTTATATTAAATATATTTATACACTCTAATATGGAAATAGAGTAGCCTGTCGTTTGACCTATTTTTTTTTTACCGTCGTCATGGTAATGATGGCTGCCGAAAATGAGGATACCGTGATTTCGTTTTTAACAATGTTTCATCGTCATTTCAGAAACATACTTATAATCGTAATTTTTTGCGTAATATTCAACGGTATTGATCTAGTTTTAACAATGGATGATTAGTGTTTGATGCAAACTTGTCACTTGCACATTTTTTTTGGTCTAATCGCTGAGAATATCGAGCAGAACAAAAGGACACGTTTTTTTTTTTTGCTGAATGGTGGTGAACGGTTATTCGCGTCACAACAACACTCTTTAAAAAAATTAACCCACTGTATCACTGAGCATCAGTCATATCATAGTAGCCATTTAAAAACAAACGCGTTTTTTCGCAAATCCTTTTCTAGGCAAACCGATTAAATTTGATAAATAAAATTGGTTTCAAATTAAAGGTAAATAAATTTAGTTTTTAACTGTTTAAGTCAGCTTGAATAGTAATGAAGTTTTAAAATCTTAGGCGACAGGATGACAATACATGTATACAATACAAAGTAACCAAAAGCAGCAACAAAAAGAACTTTACAAATCGACTTTTTCTTAATTTTTATAAACAACATAGGAAGAGCCTGGGTCAGACCCATTAGGGCAATAACATAAAGGCCGATTCAACTTAGATAGACAGGTACAGACAGACAGACATACAGAGTGACATATATAGTCAGAGACAGAAAGTCATAGAGAGACGAAAAACACATAAAAACACCGACGCAGACAGAAACACACAGACACAGTATACACAGACAGGCACACAGATACACAGATATACACACATATACACATACGGACACACAGTTTAAACAGTTAATACTCACGTATCGGAAATAGGGCACAGTTGGTGTAAACAGACAGAACTAAAACCGCCACCAGAATGTAGACACTTGATTCCATGGCTGAAAAACTTCCTACACTACTAGTCCACTTGTCTGAGCGTGATGGATGACGCACGTGCTTATATTCAAACTTGTCAGGAGGTCTAACGCGTCAACCTTTAACCTTTGACTTTCGTATCCAGTCAACATTATGCAATAAAACATTCACACAAGTCAGCATACACCTCGTAATTTTGCATTGAATTTATACAATGAATTTATACACAAAATAAACATCGAACTAATTCTCGAGGCGAGATTCTCAAAGTTTGATATTTTTTTTTTTTTTTGCGACACCCTTTTGAAAGGAGTCCCCCGGTGCGGTACATAGCCCCACCTCCTTTGTTATGCGTCTGCTATAGACCAGTCCTTGTTAAGGAAACCGAAGATGAACTTCTTAATGTAACATCAGATAAAAGAACAGTTTAATGTTAGGGCTAGATTGGTTTCGGTGATTAGGATTGTATTTTAAAGGGTCAGTGTATATAAACAATGCCGCCCATTTTTACTTTCTTGTATACGAAGTATAGAGGGAGTATTGTAATCGTCCAAAAAAAAAATAGAGATTTTTACAATCTCGACGTTTTACACCTGACTGTGTCGGAATAACATAATTTTGCAATTCTGTCCGTATGTCTGTGTGTGTGTGTGTTATGTGTGTTTGTAAATGTGTGTACGTGTGTCTGTTACAGCTAGGTTAATGAAATTTCATATACAAGTATTATATCAAATTTGTAGTTCTGTATCAACTTTTCAGCGATTTCCATCTAACAATGGCTCAAGTTATATCTTGCTTTATCAACAAAGTATTTGTGTTCTATTCAGTTACACCAAGCACATTTTGGTTTTTAAAATAATCAACACTGACAATTCGTTGAGCCAAAAAAAGAAACATCCCCTTGCAATACTATACAAACAATGTTGTGACAGGAAATAGATCAAGTGTTACTTGAGCAGTTGGGACTATCTACCACTTAAAACATGCCAAACTGTAACAACAAGCGACATAGCTAGTACAGGATCGTGGTCGGCTCAAGAATCTTGGGGCGTGTTTCTTTCTCTATATCAACACGAACGATAATTTTAATGTTTTTCACGTTACGATTGTAAATGTTACAGTCCAACCACGATGTTCAATGTGTTCCAATACAATCCAATATCGTGCCTGTAGGATCTTCTTCATTTTCTTCTCCGTTTTTAATTTTTAGTGTTGGAAGGTGGAAGGGATCCCCTCCATCACAATTAAGGATACGTGTCAACTGGTTATGCGCCATTGAGGCCATTGATTCCGATTTCAGCCTGCTTTTCTTTTTGGATTTGATTCCATAGCTTTTTCCAATCCAAGAACAAACTACAAGACAGCAATTGTTTGATTTTGGAGTTGTCATCTGCCAGAGGATTCGAACTCGAGACTTTTCGGTTTACCGTTTCGACCATGCCGACCCCTAGCCAGTAGGATGTGGTCCAAAGTTATTATAAATGTTGTAAAAATTAGATTGATGTGAAAACCCAAACAAAAATATTTTTGATTGATGCCGTAGCTTCTTTTCTAGTTGCAGAAAAACTGGCAATGGATGTGCCAAGAGAAGCGAAATCTTATCTCAAGCATAGTTTCTTCCAGTGCCCCCTCCCCGAAGAACGTCTACCGCACCCACGAATGCAATAGAATTAACATAGAAATTATATACTTTTACCAGCGTTCGCACCCCCCCTCTCCGAAAATGGTGTCCGCCCCTCCCTCTCCTCTCCGCTGAAAATTTCAAGTGCCCCCCCCCCCGAGAAAAAATAGCCTGAAAGAAGCACTGATCTCGATAAGAGATGAATATATCGTATGTTGTCTTGCCGAACAAATTAGAGTATTCAGCGTAACGTTTGGTATTTTGCTGGTCAGTAGAAACTGCAGAAGGGAAACCAAATTTGTTGTAACAATTAAAGTATACAATACATTTTACGGGATACTTCGCTATCGTAACTATTCAAAAAATGTTCGATTCATATGAAGTGTCGCACATTCAAAATAATTAAACAATGTAGCCTATAAAATATGTAACATTATATACTTTTTAAAACTTTGTCTTAAACACTTATCTATATACAATTATTCTAGATCAATTTCGCTAACTAGAATGTACATAAACGCCATGGTTTAAAAATATTTCGAAACAGTTTCCGACATTTCTAAACAGCTGAGTTTTTTTTACTTAAATCCAAGAATCTAAATAATTTGAAAATGATATCTGAACGTCAAGTACAAATTTGTAAGGAACTTTTTAAAACTGTGGGGGGAGGGGGGCACTCTCAACATTTGAACTAAAGCGACCGCAGCGTTTCCTACTCGCGAAGGGTTACAATGTAACTGTAACTAACACAAACAGATCACTGCTACAAGAAGTGAAATACAATGCTTCTGGTAAGGATGTTCTCGCTGTTACATTTAAAATACAATCAACAAAGAATAAAAAAATAAATATTGTATTATATGTTTTTGTTTTATAAAATTCATGCTGTGAAGTTTTTATATAACATCAGATAGAATACACAGAATGTCACGCTTCATTATAACGTATGATGTCATAGCTAAATAAACTTTCAAATAGCGCATGTTTCCTGTTCCAATTGACACCATTTAAAGCACTTACTTAACGAGACAAAACTTGACTTTTATGCTTTGGGTTCATCCAATTATGACGTCCACAATTTTTTTTTTGATTTTGGACACCCCACCCCCCCCCCCCCCCCCCGTTCACAAGAGTCCACTTAATTCCCCACACGCGTTCGCAAAAGTCAATTTTTTTGGGACCCCTTCCCCACTGTGGACGTCATAAATAGATGACCCCTATGTGCAAATGATAAACCGGAGAACAAATTGTAATTTTAAACGATAACTGGGTAAATGGCCGTGGCAATATTAATATTAAATAATACAATATTATGCATCTATACAGAAAAGAATAGGTCGCTATATCTATATACATGTGTATAAGATGAAAATATGTCTGGGTGTGTTTGCCTTTATGTATTACTACACAATTCATCCGATCGCCATGAAACTTTGGAAAGTTGATAACATTCTGTTGGGAATGCTACTGCGAAAAAATAAAAACACGGAGGGCGGCGCTCTGGAAGGGCGAACTTTGGCTTTCCTAGCTCCCACTTTGGCACTATGGCGCATAATCATCATTTTTTCCTTTTTGTACCTTGCGGAACAGGTCATGGTGCGATTTGGCTCCCCCGTTAGCACTATGGTGCCCAAGTTCGGTTTAAAGAGCTCGATACTTTATGTATATGATGGCCTACTATATATGTCCTGCGGTGTGGAGACCCGCGGCACTATGGCGCCTATATTCGTTTTATAGAGCACCCTATAATAGGATCACTGGCGTACAACATTGGATGTTTAAACCGAATCAGAGACTGTAAACGGCGTATCTGCGGTAGTGTAACTGGTGGCTCCAGAGAGCTCACGGCACCGCCCCTGGGGCTGTGTTCTACCTCACTTTTACGGAGGTTGATTAAGTTCACTAAAAGCTTTCATAAGCCCTGGGGCGCCTGGGCGGTAGTGTGGACGAACCTTCGCCCAAACAACTATGATCCAAGAAATATAGTGCCTGCTTTATATTTAAAAAACTCACTTTTAAAAAACAAGGTTACGCGTCTAAAAATACACTATTGGTAATACATAGAGGAAATCCTTTTAAGATGTGTGTAAATGTGTATATAGCCTCATAATGATTATGCGATGTAATTTATTGAGCTACAGCAATGCCTAACCGGTATTAGAAGAAATCATTATGTTCTCGTATACAAAGCGTTGAGGACATAGTGTAATCGTGCAAATAATCGAAATCGAGAAATCGCGACGTTTGACATCTGAGTCCGAATATTCGTGTTTTGCAATTTTGTTAGCATGTCTGTTTGGCTGTTTGTTTATCTGTTTGTGAATACAATAAATTATCTACCGTTTCAGTTAGGTGGGGGTGGGGGTGGGGGGTGATAGCTATATAGTCTGTTGTGCATGCCTGGAAAGCGATGGAAGGGGCGGGTTGGCGTGCGTACTTGAGGGAGGAGTCCCGTATGGTCCCACGTAGAGAATTATATATAGATATTCGGATGTTGGGCCAACTGAAAAGCCTGCATCAACCACTCATCCTCCTTCCAGCCGTACGTGAATTCCACCACCCTTAGTTGTATGTTCCCATGAGGTTTGTTCCAATACTCTACTATTGTTTACACAGTGAAACTTCAAGTGCTGCTCACTTGACACAAGTGTCTGACATGTATTATCAGTTAACAACCAATTAAAAAGCCATTAGTCATCAACACACTCTTCACATTATTTGCAGCCAGTGGAACAAGTGTGCGTGAATTATATTCCACCTTTTATTCGTTAAACTGGTATGGTTAGCTGGTAGAGCTCACGACTCTTGGTAAAAGAGAGAGCAAAGTTCTATTCCCAGTGAGATATAAACTATCTACACAATCGTCACATCATTTGAAGACATAGAAACAACATGTGTGCTAATTCTAGTCCATTAGCTTATTTATTCGTTATTAAATCATTAAACCAGTATTGTGGGGGGGGGGGGGGGAGGGATTAGAGTTAATGACTTCTTACAAGAGAGTCCTGAGCAGTTCCCACCAGTTGAGGCTTATTTGCTGTGTACAATCAAGAAAAGGGGGGGGGGGGAGAATCTCCAAAAGAGTTAACATCTGCAGCCATACTTAATCTAGGGCTGTGTACAACCTAGAAAGGGGGGATTTCCAAAACAGTTAACATCTGCAGCCAGATGTACTTAATCTAGGGCTGCACATAGAAAGAGAGACCCTAGGCTGAAGTTGGGACTTGGATCAGATTTTGAAACTGTGGGACCAGGGATTGGGCACCCAAAAGTATGAGGTCACACGTTTGTATTTTATACAGTTAGATTTTACTCTATCTTCTTTGTTATATTTTTAATTTGTAAATTTGTAAATTATATTTAAAGAATAAATTGATCAATAAACCTATTGAGTTTAAATTCAGCTTAATTAATATTTTAAACGTCATTTTAAAAAGTAATTGCAATTAAGAGGATTTAAGGTGTTATATTTTTAGTCGCAAGAGAGGATGGGGGGGGGTGGAGCGGGCAATTATACTTGTTAATATCCATCAGGGAGATGTTGAGTGTAGATTTTCTCTACACGATTGTGAGAACGATAGCCAGTAAATACGTCATTTGTTAGTTGTGTTATTTTAATGAATATAATAACCCTTAACTAACCTTGGCGCCGAAATAGTAGCGCTCTTCACGCGATGAGAATCCACAATATACTCATCCAAATAAACGCTCCCTCTATACGAGGGACAAACTTTCAATTTGGCGTTTAGTCTGAGAATCATCAGTCAGATTCTGCTTCTAGTCATGAAGTCACGACATATTTATTTAGCATTCATTGTTGTTTTTGTTTATGTCTGTAAAGCTGAAACAAAACCACGTGAGTAACATTTCTCTGACTCGCTCTAACTCTCTCTCTCTCTCTCTCTCTCTGTATGATTTTGTGTATGCCCATCGCATGTGTGAATCATCAGTCATTCTGCTTATTAGTCTGTCTACAGTATTTTATTTTTTCAGAAATAGTAACCACCATATAATAGTTTATTAAAGTGGCACCTCAGTTCATGAGCTAACATTCATTCAAGGATGGTATTCATGATATAAAATATTCGTGGGCTAAAGTTTATTTTTAAATGCCAATGATTTCAACCAGTAACAATGGTTAAACATATGATGACAGTTGTTTAAAAATTATCATTCACTTTAGAGGAACTTTAAACAATGTAAGAATAATAAAGTGATGTAAACACACAAAAAACCTAAATAACACCAATATATGTGCAATACATTCTTGCTAATTAAATTTGGTAGAAATGTTTCAATCAAGATTGATTAGATACCATAATTGATAACTTTTTTTGAATAACAAATCTAATCATCGAACAACGTCCTCATCAGTTAATAACTGAGTTATCTGCTTATGTATTTTACGTATATTATGAAAGTTATATCTAAGTACTTTACATTCTATGTATTATGTTTTAAAAGTATTATTACAAAATGTTTTTCAGGTTGCCCAGAAAAATGGTTTGGGGACAAGTGTCAGTATATGTGTCACTGCCTACACCAAAGGACTTGTATCAGTGGCGGTTGTTCGTACGGATGCCAACCGGGTTGGCTCGGACCGGGTTGTCAGTATGGTCTGTTATACAAAGTTTACCTCATTTTATCATTTGTGCTTTTACACATTTACAAAAAAAACCCACAACAACAACAACAAACAGATTCATATTTTAAAGTTTTTTAGAGCAAAATGACAAAAAAAAAAAGAAATCGAAGAGGCGTTTTAGCATCAAACGCAACATAAATATTTGTAATACCTTATTAACAACTCTAAGTAACCCATAGATACATGCGTCTTGAGTTAATGACATACATGTTGCTAGCAGTCTTATGTACAGAACACGAAGATAACATAAATTGTTGTGTCACAGAGGACATCAGTGAGTTAGCCGAGCCGAAATTGTCCAACAGCTCACAAGAACAATCTACGTGTTATAATTCCAGCTCGTCGGACTATTTGACGCTCACGTGGAACATGCCGTACCCGGTCACGTGGGTTAGAGTAAGAACCAAAGAACCAGGTGAGATAATGCGTAATGTTTATTTGTCGAGTTCTGTTTATCATATTCCAACTGCGTTGTTTCCTAATGGCACAGTATGATGGTCAACAAAATGCGCAGTTTGTAACTATTCACTAGTTATACGCACACACATACACACACACACACACACACACATATATATATATATATATATATATATATATATATATATATATATATATATATATATATATATATATATATATTACAAAGTGTAAATGCTCATGTTTACACTATCCCAAAACTCTTTTATAATACAAAAATACTACCCCAAACCGATTTTATAATGCAAAACTAAATATACATTTTCCAGCAACACTAGACAGCATGACAGTATTGTACAAAAGCAAACTGGAATCGAAATCATGGAGCAACTTTTCAGAGAAAGTAATATTCCCAGATTTTAATACAACCGATTTTTTCTACACAAAGGCAAAGATGGTTGTGACGTTACAGTTAATCATTGACCGGCGGATAATTTGTCGCGTATACGTCACAGGAGGTATGCGTTATGTTAACAATATCACCCTACACTTTTCACACACACACGAATCCTGATCATCCACTATGAAAACAAGTTGCTGACTTGACCTACGTGCCTTACACATCATGCACGAGGCTACTTTCCACAAACACCAAATCTTCATAATTTAAAATAATGTTTTTTGAAACACTTCCAACTATACATTGCTGGACCTGCGTATATCAGCGAAAATCATCATTAATACTAATAGTTTCGCTGTCTGTCTATCTATCTATCTATCTATCTATCTATCTATCTGACAAGAACGCTCTAGAGAAAACACAAGCAATTTAAAAACATGCATAGTATTTCGAAAAACGAAGTATGACGTCGACACATTTAGCACAGAGTAGAAAATAATCTCAAACCGGATAGTGAACACATTAATATGACGTCATTGATTATCGAGTAAACATTCAATACAAAGGCAATTTTGTCTAATCTAAGTGGTTTGCGTGAAGAGTTTCTTTCATACAATTCTTCAGGTAGGGGCGAAGCCCCACCCCCGCGTAAGAACGTCTGAGCCCCCCCCCTCGGGGAGGGGGCGGACACTGGAAAAAGTATATAATTACATTTCGTTGAATGGGACGGTAGACATGTTTTTTTAGGGGGGGGGGGGGGGGGGGTGGTTTTAATTTAGACTTTTTCCTCCCCGGAGAGGGGTGGGGGTACTTGAAATTTTCGGTGGCGGGGGTAGAATTTTCGGGGAGGGGGCGGACACCGGAAAAAGTATATAATTATATTTCGTTGAATGGGACGGTAGACATTTTTTTGGGGGGGGGGGGGGGTGGGGGGGGGGGGTGGTGTGTGTGTGTGGGGGGGTGTGGGGGGTGGGGGGTGGTGTGTGTGGGGGGTGGGGTGGTTTTAGTTTAGACTTTTTCCTCCCCGGAGAGGGGTGGGGGTACTTGAAATTTCGGGGGCGGGGGTAGAATTTTCGGGGAGGGGGCGGACACTGGAAAAAGTATATAATTATATTTCGTTGAATGGGACGGTATACATGTTTTTTGGGGTGGGGGGTGTGGGGGGGGGGGGGTGGGGTGGTGTGTGTGTGGGTGAGGTGGTGTGTGTGGGGGTGTGGGGTGGGTGGGGGGTGGGGGTGTGTGGGGGGTGGTTTTAGTTTAGAGAAAAGAGACATCACTATCAGCCTAGCGCCCGGTGTATCCTTCCTCAACGGGCCATTTTTCTCGTTATAATTATTAACATAAAAACGCCATTGCTGATATTTTAATACACATCACAGACACTTTTCCGCCAAATGTATATTAACCTTAAACGTAACGTAACCGATTTCTGTTTTACAGGGCGCAACATTGCACTAAAGCAGGAGACGAAACAATCCAGCATTTACTCCGATACGTCTTGTGACCAATCCTGCTCCTACCCACAGAATGCAGTAGACGGCTACCGAGCCAACAACCTGTACCAAAAAAGTTGTACACATTCTCACTTACAAAAAACGTTTCCAACTTGGGAGGTGTCTCTGAAGCCTTCCATGTTGGTGAACAGATATCAGCTGTACAATAGAGATGGTCAGTTTTATTGATTTGTATCTGCAGAGTTAGCGTTTTAAACTTGGCATAGCTACTTGTGGCTTGAGCGAAGCCTAGCCGATATCGGCAAGTATGTAATTTATACGTAACCATGTTTAGAAGTTATACATCCTCAAACATATTGTATAGAAGAAGGTTGCTATGGACGTAAGCAGCTCTCATTTTAACTACAAAGTACAAAACTAAGTATTTCGGCCTCCGGAAGGTTGTTAGACGGTCAAGTTTTTAAAAATCTCGATTTAGATTTTTGCACTGTCCTTTATATTCCGTAAATGTTAAAGAAGGGAGTTGTAATAATGTAATTCTTATTGATAAAAAATATCATTCTATGATCAGTATAGACCTTTAATAATGTTCATTAAAGATTAGGTATCTAAACTGAAACATAAACTACTTAATATTTCTAAACATTAAAATAAGCATGTAGTTAAAGAGCTAAGACCATCACAAAACAATACTTGAACAAAAATGTAATCTATGTTAAATGTTTGAATTGTTCTTAAACCTATAGTTATCAGATATAATTATTGTGCTGTATATTAGCACGCTGATATTACTGTCTAAACCTAGATGTTTTACACCCTATTACAACTTTCCAGATAGCAATACATTCTTACAGTGGGAATAGCAAAACCAATACATAAAAAAAATAGTGCAAAGGAATGAAACTACATTTTTGCTTTATTTCAATCTAAGGGTTCCAGCACCGACTTCAGAATTTTCGTCTCACCAGCTACGACAACAAGGATCAGCCTGTGTTTGAGTACAAGGATTACTCCTCAAGTCCACGGAGTGTGTATATTGTGACGTCAAACTCTTCCCTGGTTGTGTCCCGTGTTGTCATAGCAGCCGAGGGACCAGACCACTACTCTCGATTATACATCCTTACGCTGTGTGAGGTGGAGATTTATGGAGGCAAATTCTTTTACAATTTTTATTCGTATTATTACGGAACCAAATTATTTTAAAATTTAAATTCCATTTTTTATGGAGATTACTTCTGTCTAATTTTAAACTCAATGTCCTATGTATTTTGGGGCCAACTTTAAAAAAAAAAGTATAATTTGTTTTGGGAAAGCCGATCTGCTATTTTAGGTCTGAGTAGGATTTCTGTCTGATGCATACTGTCATACCATTTTTAAACTGACGATAATATTTTTGTAGCACGACATTGATTGCAGAAAGTGGTAGAGAAACCCAGAAAACTTGCATCTATCCATATGTTACTAAAAATCTGCTTTTTTTTACATGTATCTTTATTTTTGTTTATATATATATATATATATATATATATATATATATATATATATATATATATATATATATATATATATAAATATAAATAAATAATATATATATATATATATATATATATATATATATATTATATATATATATATATATATATATATATATATATATATATATATATATATATATATATGTGTGTGTGTGTGTGTGTGTGTCCAAACTAGATATTACCAAATCTGCAACACGTGTAGAATTTTAAAATTCAGAGAAATAAACCAAAATTCTTTTTTTTCATATATAATTCTATAATATTTAGCATATCGTTATGACTTAAAGAGTTAAGCCTAAAAATAAAATAATAACCGAAAATTTCCTGCCGTTGCCATGGTGATGGCGGTCATTTTGGAATATTTTTTTTACAATTTTAACATTTAAATAACTTTCTTAATTATTATTAAAATTGATCAAAATTTTCTCTATTCATTCTGAATACATATACCAACAAAACTGATAGAACAATTTTTTCGAAAATTTGTATGGTTTTTCTTTTACATTTAAAATTGTTTATTTTTTGCACAAATTTTGATTTTTAATTTTTTATTTTGTTTAGAAAAAAAATTGTAAAAACAAAAGTATTTAAATTTTTGAAAATTTAATCCATCAAGATTTTTGTAACCAACATGTATCTCTATAATCCTGCAAGTTTTTATTGAATTCGCATAAGCCATCTTTGAGTTATTTCTATGTTAAAAAGGTATATAAAATCCAAAATGGCCGCCATTTTCGGCCATTTTTTTATTTATTTTTAGACTTAACTCTTTGAGTCATAACTATATGCTAAATATAATATCATAAGGTTTAAAGACAAGCATTTTGGTTATTTTGGTTTTCAGCACCCGCCCATACCCTTAATTAATTATAAAAGTTCTGAAAAATACTTTATTTACTTATTTTCACAACAAAAATGGCTTACCTGGAAAATCAGACCATGTTGCCTATGATGACTTAATTTGCTATTATTATTAGATCTAAGGCCTGTCAAGTTTGAGACAAAATAAATTATTGTTTTTATACATTATATTATTTACTGAAGAAGACACGGACACGGTACTATAGCTCATCATGCTAAAAATATATGTTGTACCTCACTATCATATAACATATTATTGACCTCTCCAGAACCTGACTGTCCGGCTGGTTACTACGGCCTGGACTGTGAGAAGAGATGCAACTGTAAGAATAAAACAGAAGTTTGTGTGGTCAGCACAGGTGGATGTGTCTCCGGTTGTCCAGCTGGTCTATACGGCGATGGTTGCTATTTGGGTGAGTTGTCAAACCTATCTGTAGCTTTTATTATGGTACTACTATTATTATTGTTGAATACTCCGATATCAATATAACTGAGAACGACGATGAAGAAGAAATGGAGACATCAGGGTTGAATAGAATTGTATTTTAGCCTACTTTTCTGTCTTAATGCAAATTATTATTAAATGTTTCAGAATGTGGAAATGGTTTGTATGGTGACAACTGTAAAAACAGATGCAGTGAAAAATGTTTAAACAACTTGTGTGATCCAATTAGTGGTTTCTGTTATTCTTGCAAGGAAGGATCCACGGGTAGTCTATGTGAAAACAGTTACGTCTTGCTGGTAACATTACACACACGCACACACACACACGCACATACACATGAACTCAGACACACACATACACACGAACTCACATATGCACACACATACTCACATACACACGCACACACACACACACACATTATACGTTAATAATTTTGTTTTTTTAGTCACACGCAACTGTGGTGGTGAAATAAACATTTAATGTTAAATCTGGCTTATTTAGATTTACACATAAAACACTAGATGATACGTTTTGTGAGAGAAATAAACCATGTTTGTTAAAATGCTGAGACGAAATCACCCATGGTGTTAACATGCCTAGATATCATGATCTACATTTGTTAAGTGTCCATACAAAATCCCCATGTTTTACATGTCTGATGTACTGACCACTGTCTTGTCTACTGCAGGTTGTCCACTCTTCACCTACGGTTTGAATTGTAGTCTAGATTGTAGCATGACTTGTAGTGGCGACTGGACGTGTGATAAGGTAACAGGTCATTGTCAACACGGGCCCAACTTGTGAACTAGGTTGGTTTGCTTTTTGTCGTCCTTCAAACACAAAACTGTAACATCTTTGTACTTGATTGATTTTAACTGATTAGGTATAGTTTACATATAAAGACTTCTTAACGCTTGGATATTTGAAAAAAGGATAACATTTTGAACCTAAGAAATAAATGTTTATATAATTGAACCAGCAAAGAACTCCCCACACAGGTATCTAACGGTGACTTTTACCACGCCAATTGTTTTTCTTTTGTCAATCTTAAAATCAGAGGCGTAGCGACCCCTCCCGGCGCCGAGGGACAAACTTTCAATTTGGCGCCCCCCCCCCCCCCTCAAAATATATTTATATTTATAATTCAAAATAGCAGCTAAAATGAGCTTATTTTGGCGCCCATAGGGTCGACGCCCGGAGACCTATGTACCCTCCACCCTCCCCCCCCCCCCCCCCGTCGCTACGCCTCTGCTTACAATTATGATAATTTCGACAACTGTAATTGATGTCTCGCTATGTTTGGAAAACTATAACATGCCTGCAACTTTCTGTTAATGAAAAGTAGTTTTTGCAGGTAAGACAATAAAAAATTGATCTGTTTCAGTCTGCGAGCCGTATTATTTTGGTAAAAATTGCTCGTCGCGTTGCAGTGAGAACTGTAAAACAGAGATAAGAAATATCGAGTTATCTCCCTGCCATTTTGAGACTGGAACTTGCGTTCTTGGATGTCAGGCTGGTTACCTTGGTCCTTACTGTTCTCAGGGTAAGTAACTGTGATGTCAGCAAGGCTACGGTGGTCTTAATTAACTGTAAGTAGCTGATGTCGACCAAACCATGATGGCTTTACAGTTCTTAGGATAGGTAAATGTAATGTGGCCTAGCTATGAAGGCCTGAGAGGTTCTCAATATAGGCAAACGTGAGGCCTCAACTGTTCTCAGGGTAGTTAAATGTGTTGTGAGCCTTGCTACGCGGGTCTCAACGGTTCTCAATATAGGCCAATGTAAAGCCCGCTCTTTTCTCCCAGTAGGTAAATTTGATGTGAGACTGGCTTTGAAGGTTTCAATAGTTCCAATGGTATGCTTAAAAATTCGACAGTTAGTCGAATAATTGATGACGTTGTGACGATCTTTTAGAATATAGATAGAATTTTTGAAAAACGCAAAAGAGCACGCCAAATCAGTTTATAACTTGTATATTTATGTTTTAAGTAAGAATATGCTGCGGTACATTTCTTAACCAAGTACACCAATCCAAAAATTACTTAACGCAGTACCAGTTACTTCAAAGTTCGGCTGGTGAAATAATGTATTCACAATTTCTTCAAAATAGCACACGTGCAGAAATACTTGAACAGTTCCTACAACTAACTAATGGTTGCCAACATAAGTATTGTTTAACATTACAACAAATGCTATAGTATTTTTATTTTAAATACCCATAATCGAATACAATCCTGTGGTATTTTCCTCTCTCAACTTCAGCGTGTGGACCAACATACTACGGTAATGACTGCAGTCAGAGGTGTAGCCATAGATGTGCCAGACAAATGTGTAACCACATCAGTGGCGAGTGTGAGGATTGTTCTAGCGGTACTTGCGTACAAGGTCAGAGGTCACGTTGGTCAATTTGTTGTGTGCATGCTAGTTTCGTTGTTTTAAAGACACTTGTATATTTATACACACATTCATAAGGATAAATAGAACTACATATACATGGTTTTATATATATATATATATATATATATATATATATATATATATATATATATATATATATATATATATATATATATATTTAAAATATTGAAATATATAGAGAAAAAATTTGAGGGGGGGGGGGGTGCAAATCGAAAGTTTGAAGGGGGGGGGGGGGGGGGGTTGCAAATCGAAAATTGAAAGTTTGTCCCCGGGAAGAGTCGCTATGCTTCTGGGGGGGGGGGGGGGGTGACACCATTAAGTGCCGCACCGTGTGACACCCGACCTCGCTACGCCACTGTATATATATATATATATATATATATATATATATATATATATATATATATATATATATATATATATATATATATATATATATATATATATATATATATATATATATATATATATATATATATATATATATATATATATATATATATATATATATATATATATATACAATTATAAACATAGATTTGTTTAAATCTTCAGAGTGTTCCCCTACGTATTATGGTGTGGGTTGTCTAAAAACATGCTCAGATAACTGCGCCAACAGATTGTGTAACAATACTGATGGTCAATGTCTGAGTTGTGTCCCTGGAAGAGCTGGAGACTACTGTGAAAATAGTAAATAGATGTTTATGCACTTTTCTAAGAACTCACAACTGTTTATTACGTAAAAACTATTCCAAAGTCCCTTACGACTAGTCTCTTATCACAAATTGATAGAAAAGTTTATAGAACTCACAGAATCACAAACGTTTTTGGAACTGCATTGAAATTGCCAGAATCGACTTGCCAATATAAATGCACTATATAAATAGTATAAACACGTTTAGTTACAGACTGTACTGAGATGTTTTATGGGATAAACTGTACAGAAAGATGTAGCAACAGTTGTCTCAATGCCAAGTGTGACAGTAAAAATGGCGACTGTCTTAGCTGTCCACCAGGGGAAAGTCTGGAGTTTTGTGTAATGATGGTGGGTAGCACATAAATATCTGATGTAATCCAACTTAATTACCAAGAATGTGTTTTAAAATTATTATTAATGTAACGTTTTAGCGGTGTCATTCCATTAATAATAAATATCAAATTTAGTAGTTCAAAATAAAATAATGCAGTTTGTATTTTACAACATTATATTTTTTTTATTCAACCTCGAAATTAATTTGCCGTGTGTGTTGAAATTCGTTTAACAAAGAATCGGTAAAAGTATAACTTGAGTGAATTTTTGTTATATTTTATGTGATTTGTTTTTCGATCAATTAAATTTGATTTTCATATTATTATTTTTTTTTGCTGGCTTAAATTTTATAATATACCATTTTGTTTAATAAAAATAAAAATTTAAGGTTAAACTCGGAATAGCTAAAGAAAATGTGCTGAACTTTTCCTCGGAAAGAGAGAGGTATTATTGCGACTTAATCGAAAGGAGTGGCTGACAATTTTTTATAATAATGTTTTTTGTGTCCTTTAACGCAGCAACATCAAGAAAATAAATTAAATTTGATTCCTCTTATGGGACGGAGTGGTCTAGCGGTAGAAAGCTGGACTACTAACCCGTAAGTCTCGAGTTCGAATCCGGCTTCAAGTCACGCTAGGGAAAGTAAAGGCGGCTGGGCATAGTGCTGACCACACTATCTCTTCATATGCCGAGTTCACAGAAACAAGTGAACTCTACTTTACTTGCCCCATAGACCATCAGGTTTAAAAAGGAAACTTAACAAAAAAATTCATCTTAGCTTTCATAACAAAGAAAATTAGTTTACCTGATGTCTTTAAAACGGAAGTTTTTGCCTATTCTCTGTGTAGTCGCGAGTAGCTCTTTTAACAACAAAGCACACAATTATTGTCGAGTAAAATAAAGAAACTGCGTAAAATATGTTTAGTCAAGAGCACTATTTCTTCTTGTTCTTCTTCGTTCTTAATTTTTAGTGTTGGAATGGATCCCCTCCAACACAATTAAGGATACGTGTCAACTGGTTATGCGCCATTAAGGCCATTGACTCCGATTTCAGCCTGTTTTTCTTTTTGGATTTTTTCCATAGCCTTTGTCCAACCAAGAACAAACTACAAGGCAGCAGTTGTTTGATTTTGGAGTTGTCTCTCCTAGAAGAGTGGCTTCCAGCTAACGAGCCTCATCTGCCCGAGGGTTCGAACTCGAGACTTTTCGGTTTAGCAACCATGAGCTTTACCGTCTCGACCACGACGACCCCAAGAGCAATTTGACTATCGAGATTCTGGAAACTGCCGAATAAGATAGTTAGCACTATAAATATACACAATAGTGAAAATTCTAAAAGAATTAAATAAGTTATTTTAACTAAAGAGTTAAAAGCAAGGGCGCCTACTCGATATGATATAGTATAGAGACTTCTGAATTAAAATAGTAGACATTTATTTCTCTCCAGATTGTCCATTGACTTATTACGGCGATGAATGTCGAGAAAGATGTCCAACAATGTGTCTGGACCAAGTCTGTGATCATGTGACCGGACATTGTTTGTCCTGTCCGGCTGGATATCTCGGACAATTTTGTAACCAAAGTGAGCATGTAACGGACAAATTGTAAACTATTGCCATAGTTTGCCATAGTTGAAATATTTCAAATTATTGCCTTATCCAGCAACATAATGTACATATTTTAGATTAAAGCTTAATAACATACAACCCTGAATATATTTTCAATATTGGATTAGCGATAAATGACTCACAAAATCTACTGAAACGCTTACTTTTTTTAGTTGAAAGCTTTTATTTAGTTCGCAACGTCTGTTTGTATGTTAGTGGATTTATCTGAAATATTGTAATTCAATTTCGAACTACTTTTAATTCAGCGATTTCGTTCAAACTTTCCAGATACATTCCACTTCTACGGCAATAAAAAGTCTATTTTTTTAAATTTAATTAGATGTTTAATTAGTCATAAAAATTACTTAAACTGTTTTGAAACTAAGGGGAGATAACAAAATTAAATCACTTAGTAGAATACTATATAAATATCGGAAGGAAGATAACTAGCTAGACGCGACAACCGCGTCTGCCGAGCTGTGGTACACGCCGGATGTTTACAAACGTAGAGCCGGGTCGAATTAGTGAAGGGTAATAGGGGCAGATAATAAAGAGTTTAAAAGATTTGAAAATTATGGGAGGTAGCAACATTAAGAACTATCCTTCTCTTGATCAGCTTACTGTTGTCTGTAAAGTGTGGTAACGGGTAACGGAGGCTGCTTTCAAGGGGCCGATAATCTTCTTATTGATATCGATGGTGTTTTAAAGGAAATATTTTTAGTCGTGTCGACTTCAAAAATTAGGAGTCACTTAAAAGTGGAAATTAAAGAAATATAAAAAAAAAGCTTTTAAATGCACTGAAAATAATATTAATTTTCTTTCTTAAATAAAAGTTTTGCTCGCTCATGAGATCTTTGAAATATTTTAGCGACGAAAGCTTTTATTAGAGAAATCAAATCAAAATGATATTTTCTTATTTCCAGTCCATTAAAATAAAATAAAAAGATTTGTTTTATTACATCGTTAGCATGTCCCACACACAGCCATGGCTATAGCTGCAGCCAGACTTGTAGTGAAACCTGTGGGGGAGACGAAAGCTGCAACCACACAACAGGGGCGTGTCTACATGGCTGTGTAGATGGGTATCATGGGGAGGCCTGCCAGATGTGTAAGTGAACACCACTACATTTGTACAGCTCATTTTTGTCTATTTGTGTTCTTTGACGAAGTTGGAGCATAATTCTGCTTAAGTACTTTTATATCTAAACTATGCTTTTTGACATAACATTAGTGAGATTTTTGAGTGACCTTTAATATTTAAGTCTTGGGTAGGAAATTAACTAAAATACACTATTGTGAACAATGTACTAAATTGTATTTTTAATTACTTCCACTTTATTTTTTTCTATTGTATCAACATCATTGTGCAATTACTTTAATAAGTTCAGCTTATAAACAAAATAGAAAAAAGCCAGACGATTTGTGGTGATTCGCTCCATTTAAGAACTTTTGTCGTTTTAGTGACTTCTGCCCAGAGAAATTTATTAATACCATGTAAAGCGGTAGGCTCCAGAAAAAAACATCTTCTTAACTAATAAGCTTTACTTATTTATTTGTGTGTATCTAAGTTAGGGTAAAATGAAAATATTTGAAGTTTCGAAATATGGTATGGTGAGATACCATTAAAATTAATGCTGAATTTAGTGGTATTTCAAAATACACAATTTTGGAAATTCGAAAAAAAAATCTCGAGTTTTTTTGTTTATTACAGAAACTAGCTAGCTGAGTCTATTTGAGTTAGTTAAAGTAGGATCAAGTGTTACTTCATCAATATATATATATATATATATATATATATATATATATATATATATATATATATATATATATATATATATATATGTTAATTTTTGAACGTGGGACCTCCACAAAAGGTAGTTTTTTTCAAAATGGCTGCCATTTACTTGGCAACTATATGTTAAGAAGAGTCCCTGATGCATGCAATAATTTTTCTATCAATATCTTAACTTAGATGCACACAAATAAATAAAAAAAAGTCGTTTTTTTTTTCCTGGAGCCTACCCCCTTAAATTAGTTGCGTCACTGTAAACAGTTTGTTTACGTTGTTTGAACATTGATTATCATTCAATTGTTTTTAATTGCATGATTTCAAACCAATTTTATTAAGCTAATTTTATCGTTTTTAAAATTATTTTAATTATTTAAAAAATAAACACAATTCTAAGCAATGGAGATTTTCTGCGATTATAACTGAACACTTATTATATATCATAATAATTATTTTAATACAAAATGTAAAAAGAAAAACACGACGATTCAATTTGCTGCCACTTCCGTAAAATCTATCAGTTTATTTATAAATCTAGAGCAGTGTCACCCTACTTAAAGCGCCATTAAGTCAAATACTATACAAAGATCAGTCAATAAAATACATTAAAGAAAAAATTTGATTAAAGTTACTGCCCCCAAAATAACCATTTTATTTAACAATTCTGTATCCAAGTCTGCGACGACAACACGTTTGGAGCAAACTGCAGCTCTGCATGTAGCCAGCACTGCAAGCACGTCAGACAACTAGCCAATCAGCTCTGTCATCACATGACAGGGGCGTGTCTAGCCGGCTGTGCAGTGGGGTATGACGGTCTACAGTGTACACATGGTAAGTCTTGTAAAAAATGGATAACGACCAACAAAAATTTAGATTAATTTTTTACCTTTTTAAATGAAGCTATTTCAACGCTACAATGCTATGAATCATTGCATTGGTCCTTTACTTATTTCAATTATCAACAACAAAAAAACATTGGTTCATGACGAAATGTCGCAGCGCTAAATAATCTAATATAAAAGATAACCTGCGATATATTTAAAGTTATACGTAAATCAATGTAGAGGAATGTCCGAGTTAAATTTGTATGTATACAAATTTACCAGAAATAATGTGAATACTGCTGACTTTTCTCTCGTGTGTATTGCATTTATGGAGAATGACTTAAGCTTCATCCTTCTTGAAGATCCCAACACCTGATATTGGACAATTACTTTGTTCTTTTGTAATGAAAACTTAAACTTTTTTGAAATTCCATTTAATATTAACATGGACATAACACGCGTTAAATGATAAGGCTACGATACTAGATGTGAAGAAAATATTCGGATGTAACATAACGATAGACATAGGGACAAGGATAAAGTTATTAACATGGATAAAACTCCCCAGAATGTCGAGAAACGTACTACGGAGTTGACTGTAAACAGAGATGTAGCCACAGGTGTTTGAACCAAACCTGTCATCACGTCACTGGTCAGTGTATGGTCTGCTCTAATGGGATCTGTACAGAAGGTCAGTATCAGCTATTTGGATCACTTTTCAAATTTCGGCCAGTTGGCAGAAGTAGGTTGCGGTCAGCATTTTGAAGACTTAAATCCCCGGTCCTAGGTGCTTTGACCACAGGTGCTTTGACCATAGGGGGTTTGACCATAGGGGGTTTGACCACAGCGGAGCTTTGACCATAGGAGCTTTGACCATAGGGGGTTTGACCATAGGGGGTTTGACCACAGCGGGGGGTTAACCATAATATATAAAAAAATATATCGTACAAAAAACGTTTCTATTTTATGTGTGGGTCCTTTGTAATTGTGTTGGTCGATTAAAATCCCATGCATTCGCTCAAACGTAAGTAAATCTTTGTTATAACACATGCAGGGTTGGGCAAGTAGACAAGAACATTTTTTCTTTCTTTTTTTTATTCTTAAAAATGTAATAATGCACTAATAAATAAAGTCAAGCAAGCCCGAGAATTAACGATGAAGAAATGCATGATTTGAAGTTATAGCACGTAGCTCAACATACAATTTAAAAGCATGTAGCAATCGAATAGACATTGTAAGAAGGTCACACTCAATACTTTATTTCTTCACAAAACTAACCCTCTTCAAAAAGACTGCTCACCTACCTACTACGGCACCAATTGTACTCAGACCTGCAGTAACAACTGTGTAAATCGCCTGTGTGACGTCAGAACTGGCCAGTGCTCGAAATGTCCAGATGGAAAACAGGGAATTTTTTGTGAAAATGGTGAGAAAACGAATGTTGTTCAACATTATTTGCTAAAAATATTAAGCAGTTAATTAAACAAATTATATATATATATATATATATATATATATATATATATATATATATATATATATATATATATATATATATATATATATTTATATTTAGAGAGAGAGAGAGAGAGATAGAGAGAAAGCTAGTAAATCCCGTTTTTTTTACCTAAGTAGATTGATAGAAATACTAGCTACATGCAACTATAAAAGAGTATTGCAATGTTCACCGGGAACCTAACTGTGAAGCCGTTTAAAAACACAAACATAGTTTTTTGTGTCCGTTGTGTTTCCAGCTTGTGATGGAACCCACTACGGCAGCAACTGCACAGAGCTCTGCAGCTCTCGTTGTGTCAACCAGTCTTGTTACCCAGAGAGTGGTCAATGTGTCCAATGTCCATCTGGATATACAGGAGATTTTTGTGACGACGGTGGGTTCGTTTTCGTTTGTTGCTTTTTTAAAACAATATTATAACGTGCGCATAACGCTTAGTATAAACATGCTTTTAATTAATTGCTTTTCATCTCTTTCTGAAACGTTTTAAATTTTTAAAAGATACCTAAAATGTAAAATTAAATTGTTAATCAATTAATTAAGGGTAACGAAAGTGTCCAAAAGTAATCTATGTTACATTAAAATTTTCTAGCCTTAAATAAAATAAAATATACTGCTTTCAAATTAAAATACTACTTTTACATCCCAAGCTAGACTGTCCAAGTGGACACTACGGAAAAGGCTGCCAACAAAACTGCAGTGAGAAGTGTGACATATCTTTGTGTGACCCAGTGTCAGGGGCGTGTCTGTCCTGTCCCCCGGGGAAACAAGATACGCCCTTGTGTGAAGAAGGTTGCTTTGACCATTTTGTTTCATTGTCGCGTTTTATTTCTTCAGTTTAATTAGCTAATGTTTAAAAGCAAATATTTGCTAAGTTTTCAAACGATTATCGTGAATATCCTCTGTCTTCAATAATGTTATAAAGTGCTGGTTGAACTGGCGAACGTCCACACCACCATGATCTCAGAACTTGAAGCTAGAGGTCGCCAGATCAAATGTTGACGCAACATCAGAGAAGGCATTCCTTTTTTACAAAAAAAAAAAAAAAAAACAAGAATACCAATTTGATATTTTACAAAATTTTCTTCTGATAGGATGCTATTTTATAATGATAACTAAACATGTTTACACAAACCTTAAATTTCTAAAGTTCAGTACATCAAATAAGAGTTGTACGGATAAATGGACTTATCTACAAATCTGAGTCTCAACCATTGATACCATTGTTGTACTTGCCTGCATGTTATAATCATGCAAAAAAAAAAGATTAAGTTCCTTGTCCGTAAATGAAGTTAAAAGCTTTCTTTCCATTAAACCAGTAGTTATAAACCTGTTTGGAGGTATCGAATTCAAACAGCTTCATATGCTCATTCACTGAACCCTTCTTACTAGGAAATACAAATATGATTTTTCCCCAAAAAAAAAAACACGATAACAAATATTTACTGCCAATCAGCTTGACTTAAGTTGCTGACTTTTAGACACCAGTTCCAGAAATGCGTGGCTTCCGCCTAAATTCAGCGAGCTTTATGTTCTTGTATTTTCTATCTCCCGTCTAGTTTCGCCACCCATGTGAATCCATATTGTACATATTCGTCCAACAACTGTCATTTGCTCGACATGAATGGATTAAAATATTAAGAAAGAAATTAAGCGACGTAAAATCACGAGTTAGAAGTCGAATACTGTGCTACAATATAGAAAAAAAAGTATATTCTATCGTCCGCACTTAGAAAATCCGATCGCAAATCATAAGTCTCGTGTGTATTGATTTCAGCCGATCACATGAGATTTACTCACAGAACGTCATGGGTTCAATGGAACCCAAACTAAGAACCACTGCATTCAACTTACACGTTGTAATGCTTCTGAAAGAGTCCACATGGATACATTTATTTTTGTTCAAATGAATTGGGTTTTTAAAGCTACAAGGCAGAGTTGACGGTTGCCTTCTGTTTACAGACTGTCCCCATCTGAGCTACGGCAAATCGTGTAGTGAAGAGACTTATATGCAGTTTACATAGCGTTTTTCTTTACCTACAGACTGTCCCCATCTGAGCTACGGCAAATCGTGTAGTGAAGACTGCAGCAAGACGTGTGGGGGAGATGGAGGCTGTGACCCCAGCACTGGCCAATGTACACACGGGTGTAGGGATGGCTATCAAGGGGCCTGGTGTGACCAATGTGAGTAGTTCAATGACTCATGTGATTAAATCGATTACCTATGTAAATAAAAGACTGAACTATGTAAGTAAATGAATATGAAATATAAGAAGTGGAATGAAATATCTAAGTAACTCTGCCAACGCTATATATAAATTATATATATATATATATATATATATATATATATATATATATATATATATATATATATAATATATAAAGCTCAGTTCTGTATGTAATGCATTTGTATGTCGTTGGAATTGTACGATTTTAAGTGTTAGAAAAATTATCGTGCGCATTTGTCTAAATTTATGAGCTAAAAAATTACCATTGAAAGTGTTGGGAAATAATTTTCATTTTTCAAATTATAGTAATAATTGTCGGCATGTTCATTAAACACAAGTTTTAAAAAAAATATCATCTTTTACAAAAATTCTAATTATGTCTTTATTTAGTCCTATAGCACTTACTTCCCTTTGATAAATTAGGAAAAACACAATTACTTCCCTTTATAAAAAACCATTGCATTCCGTGAAAATAATTTACTTTTTAATTACTTTGTTTTGGTGTTGGGAAAAAAAATAATTACATAATTAGCGGGGATTGATCAAGTGCAAATGTTGTAGGTATTTTACGGATAAGCTTGGAGTATTAAAATTGTTTATTAAATTGAAACAGGCGCGTTCGTTTAAGTGAGTGCAAAAGACTGTGAATAAGTTGGGGTACTATAGTCGTTCATTAAGCTAAAACAGGTGATTCCGCCCCGGGCGTTTATGTTCGCGTTAGTGTTTTCTTTGTGTTTAGGTGGGTTTGCGTTAGTGGTTGCGTTTTAATTTGGTTCGTTTTTGTTCTTTCTTTTTTCGTTTTTGTTTGTGTTTTTTTTTGTTTGGGTTTGTATTTGTGTTTTTGGTTGGTTTTGCGTTTGGATTTGGTTTGTTTTCGTTTGCTTTTTTCGTTGATTTTTTTTTGTTGGTATTGGTGTTTGTGGTTGGGTTTGTTGTTAGGTTTTTGTTTTCGTTTGCTTTTTTGTTTGTTTTTTTCTTTGTGTTTGTATTGGTGTTTGTGGGTGTGGTTGTGTTTGTTGTTAAGTTTTTGTTTTCGTTTGTATTTGTAATTGTGTTAGCGTTATGTTTGCGTTTTGTTGTTTTTGGTTGGTTGTGGTTTGGGTGGGCAATGCCGGGTTTATGATGATTACTAAACACACAGGTAATGGTCTTTAACAGAAAGGTTTTTCACAGAAGCCAGAGCAGGGCCTGGCCGGGACGGCTAGTATATATATATATATATATATATATATATATATATATATATATATATATATATATATATATATATGTACATGTAGACTGTGCTAACGACACATTTGGACCCAACTGTACCTCAAACTGCAGCGAGTTCTGTCAACCATTTCGTGACAAGTTTTCAGCAACTTGCCACCACATAACAGGAACTTGTATTTCCGGCTGTCAACCTGGTTATAACGGTTTACTGTGTACAGAAAGTAAGTCATAAAACCACTAGTTCAGCGGAATACTACTAAAACTATTGATGTAGAAATAGATGATAATTATCATTTACAATACTACATGAGTTTGATTAAATAATAATTTCATGTCCTTTACCTTGCAACATGTGCCCTGTTTTCTGCTGATAGAATGCGACCCAGGCCACTATGGTGTTGACTGTAAACAAAGATGTGAATGTCCTGATAATTTGTGTGATCACATCACTGGACAGTGCATGGAGTGTGATAATCATGTCTGCAACATAGGTATATAATAAGAATAGTTGATCGCAAATCCAACGTTATTTTTTATAATCAAAAGTTGTGTGAAATTTCAGATGATTTACATTGTATTTGGAATAAGTGATTACTAGTTTTCTGAACTATAATTTTGAACAGAATTAAGTAAATCTTTTATAACGTCAGTATAAAATTGCAGTATGCCCAGCAAGATATTTTGGTGTCAACTGTTCCCAAATCTGTGACGAGCGGTGTGTTGATCAAATGTGTAACAGCAAAGACGGCAGATGTGTAGATTGTCTGCTGGTAAACTTGGGGATTTCTGTGAGACAGGTCAAGTATTATCTTCTGTTAAACATCACGAGTAATGTATTGAATCAACAGTATCTTACAGAAACTTGTAGAATTGCTGTTGTTATTTTTCTTTTAAATTTTAACCAGAGTGTGCCGCCACCTACTACGGAGAAAACTGTAAACAAAGATGCTCCAAAAGTTGTGTTGACCAGTTGTGTCACGTGGAAAATGGTTCCTGTCTCAGCTGTCCACACGGCTATACGGGAATCTTCTGTCAGATGGGTAGGAGAGTAGAGTCAAGGCTTTTTTATAACTATATATATATATATATATATATATATATATATATATATATATATATATATATATATATATATATATATATATATATATATATATAGTGCTAGAGCGACAATGCATTAAGTGTATTCTATTTTAAGTTTTTTAAATAAATGCGTCTGTTAAATAAATTGATGTTATACCATTTCACAGGCTTAGAAAAAACAACTGAAATCCTTTGCACAGACGAAACTTCAGATTGTCTTTTCCAAGTTCCAGATCAAGTTTCGGGCAAGTATTTGCATATATATATATATATATATATATATATATATATATATATATATATATATATATATATATATATATATATATAATATGTCAATGTTTTTTTTGTATTGAAAGAACACAGTTTAAAATTCACATAATTAACTAACATGAATTTTAATATACGTAGGGCTACAATGCTGTCTGCATTGTATTTTAATATTTCCAAAATGTACATCGTTATATGTTTTCGTAATTATATGGGCTTTCATCTCCACCGCTCAATTAAATTTAATTAATTCTGTGGGTTTTTTTTTAAATTTAAATTATGATTCTATTTTAAATATATTGTTTGTATTGTCTTTAAAGCTCCACGCAGTGGCGGCCATCTTGGTGCTATTATTGGTTCAGTCAGTGTTGTCGTGCTCATGATACTTATTGGTGTTGTACTCTGGTGGAGGTTAGTGGTGATTGAAAATGTCTTATTAGTGAGAAAATGCAAATTAAGAAATACAACTTATAGGAAAGTTCAGCAACAAAATATGCTATATTCTAATTATTTTAACATGGAACTACGCATTGCAGTATTGAATGTTTAAATAGGAGAATAAAGGTTCAAGGGATGGGCAGGAAGATGGTTTAAAAATACGTTAAAAAAGGAATTGTGAGTAGACGATTGTACATTGACAGTACATAAACAATCTTGTGATCTCAGTTGGTATACCTTTCTAGACACACTAACAAACACTCTACAAGAGTAGGTTTAGGAGGTGAATTATTCTAAAACACATCTTTGGTCATAAATAAACATACGGGTGACTAAGTTATAATTTTATGTGTAATTAATTTCCTCATACATCAATTTTACATAGAGTTAAATCTTTATTTTCAATACGTTAAATTGTGAAGGAACTCCTAATTTTATTAGAAACTTCATTAACTACATAAAATACATTTTCTCCATTGTTTTCTAAAGTTTTCTAATGTTCTTAATGTTTTCTAAAATTTCAAGTGTTTTGAATTAAAAAAAAAAATATTTTCCTACAATTTCTAATGTTGTTTATTACCTATAGTTTTTTTAAAAAGTTTTCTGATGTGTCCTAATGCTTTCAAATGTATTTGATGTTTTCTTATGTATGTTATGTTTTTTATTCTTTTACTTTCTCGTATTCGAAGTATAGAGGAAGTATTGTTATGGTGCCAAAAATCAAAATCGAGATTTTAACAGATCTCGACGTTTTACACCTCCCTGAGTCCGAAATTTGCAATTTTGTCCGTATGTCTGAGTATATGTATATATGTAGGTATGTATATATGTATGTATGTCTGTGAACACGATAAGTTGAGTAGCGTTACAGCTAGTTTGATGAAACTTCATATAAGTATTAAATCAAATTTGTATTTCTGGATTAACTTTCAGCGATTTCCGGTAACCGGATGTGGAACTTATTCTACTTTTGGTTTTTCAAAAGCCTATATCTTGAGTACTGTTTCAGATAGATAAACGAAATTTCACATTTAAGTAAAAGATCCAATTCTCTGTCTTCTGTTAAATTTTGAGTAATTCTCTCGCTCGTTCTCTCTCCCTCTCTGTTACGCTGTGTGCATGTGTGTGTGTGTGTGTGTGTGTGCGCGTGCGCGTGTGCGTGTGTGTGTGACTACGAAAACTTGATTATCGTTTCAGTTAGGTAGACACATTTCATATAAAATTATTAGATCATAAACGTAGGTTTCGATCAACTTTTGAGGAATTACCAATAACCAGTAGTTCACAGAATTTTATATTTATCCCATTCTCTTAAAGCAGTATTTTAATAACTTTTCGTCTGTTAGTGTTTTCTTAAATAACTACCTGTTTGTAACAATCTTATCTACCAAAATCTGAGTCTACCGGTGATTTCCCAGCATTTCTTTTTATACGAATATATAACAAAGATCAGGGGAGATGACTTCAGCTTTAGTAGATAACAGAAGGTTACAACAATATCAACTGCTTTACATGATTATTGTCGTTTATAGTTTTTATTGTGTTTTCTCCATCCCCATAAACAATAGAGTGAATAAACGGAATGTTCGGAGCACCGAAGATAACGCATTTATTAACATGATGTACAGTGAAGTATCGGACTTGCAATCTTCGACGGAACAGACAGAACAACCAAATAAAAATCTGAAGTTTTGACCTGCTCATTATAGTCGACCAGTTGTTTTATAGCACAGCTAACCCCAGTATTGGTTAATTAATTTTAAGCATGTGATATCAATAGTTGTTAACTAATACATTAATATATGAACAGACGTCGTTGCTTTAAATAATATTTTTTTCCTATTTATAAATAAAATGATTGTTTAAAAATTAATTAATCATGACAGTGCTAAATTAATAAAATTGAACATTGACATGTGTTTTTTTCCTTCTATATAATTAACGTTGGATGGAAAAATATGCATCTAAATTTAAGATCAAGAATATTTAAAGATTTTTCTGTACCCAAATACAGAAACATCACAAACCTCTTTTATTGTTATCTATTTTAGATTCATCAATAATTTATTGCAGAGAAACTGTGGACAGTAAATATGTGCACGCTTTAGCGTTCTATTCCCATTAGCTAGACAAAATAATAAAAGTCGCTCATAATATATCAGTTCAGATGAATAGATAATGTGGTCCTTTCTATGCCAAGTCAGGTAAACAGAGAAACTAAGTTGTTGAGACGTGAGTACGATCTATCAACTTGGCAATGTCATGGCACGATTTATAATGTAAAAGTAGTTTCCCTTTCAAACCTGACGGTCTATGGGGCAAATGAAGTAGAGTTCACTTGTTTCTGTGACCTCGGCAAATGAAGAGATAGTGTGGTCAGCACGTTGGTTGGACTCAGGGACGGTCTACTGACCTGAACCGGATTCGAACGCGAATTAGCAGTCCAGCTCTCTGCCGCTAGACCACTCAGTTCCACACGATTTATAATGTGACATCTTATAATTATCATAAAGTTGAGGCAAAAAAGATCTCATGATAAAACTTTCTTTAATCGGACAACTTTTCGAGTTGAATGTCTGAGCAAAAACTGCAAATATTAAACAACTCAGCAGAGTTTTTTACTTGCAACGGCAAATATCTCTAAACATAATTGACAAAGATAGTGTCAACATATTGTGACACCTTATAATTATTATAAAGTTGAGGTAAAACGATCTCAAGATTTCTGAACTCTTAACAAACACAACTAACAAACATAATAACATTGGATTGTAAGTAGAATTTGATCTTAGATCTATCTAAAATATAAAGAGTTTTTTTTTCAAGTTTCAAATATTTTATAAAAAAAAAACATAGCATCTATCTGAATATTGCACGTTACTGTTATAATTTTAAACTGTAAACACAGAAATAAAGCTCAACAGCATCGTAAGTTTCAGTGAACTTATCTTTTATCTGACCCTCTGCAAACCACAGACCCCTTTCCCATTATGTTTCCTAATATCTCTTCATTGAGAGATGGTGATGTTTAGACTTGCTTACACTGTCTAGTTGAGTCAAAGTTTGTGTCATTAATTTTATTTAACTACACTTGTATGCAGGGGTAGACTTACGGTAAGGACCTCCGTTATACCTGTAACTAATCTTTAATATCATGAGAGAATACAATAATTACCTGATTTCTTTCTGAATTGTCCACAAACATTCATAACATTTTCATCAAACTCTTGTGGAATTATTTTTGTTATTTTTCAACATAATGAGACTGGCACATAAATTACATTATAAATCAAAATTTTAATTATTGAAAATGCAAGTTGAAAACAATTTTTGTATCTGTAGATATCTGGCAACAAATCTGTAAACCACAGACTTAAATCATATCCTCTAACTCAATAATGTGTTTTGTTCCGCTTTTAAAGATTGATCTTTAGATAGGCCTGTGAACACTTGAATTCTTATTCGGCTGTTCTGTCGATGACTCTGAAACAAATTGCATATCCGAGACGTCGCTGTACAGTATGTTAGAAAATGATTTGTCTTTGGAGCTAGAAACCTGCTGTCTTCGCATCCTATTGTTGTTCAGGTTATCGGAAAAAGAAAAATGTGTAAATGACATTGATAAGACTTAACATGATAATGTTAAAATTATAGTTACTATAATAGTTATCCAATTTTTAAAAAATCACAACAATGAAGCCACGTTAAAACATAAGCAATAAGCCACCCATCAAATGTCTTGAAGAAAACTCTACGAAAATGTTATGATAAATTATTTGTTTTAATGTAGAACATAAAACCTTGGAATACAATAGAAAACATTGTGATATGTTAAATACATTTGAAAATATGTTAAATTAAAAACCTACTGATTACAGGTTAAATTAATTTTCTAAAAAATTGCATTTGAGTTCATACACAATTTTATATACCAAAACTAAAAATAAAACATTTTTAACTCTATGTCGTCTGATGTAGGGAATCCTTTATTATACACATTTTATCTTAAAAAGACTTTGACACTCGTGCACTTTATTTTATTTTAAAAAGGTTTGTAGTTCTTTATACCAAAGCTTAATTGGTTTGTTGTTTGTTGTTTTTGTTAGAATTTGTTTTAAAGTGAGTTTTTTTGGGAGGTGAGGGAGGGGGGGGGGGGCAAATATTTTATCTGGAGAGCTCTAAATAACAACTTGTCCATGTTCACATTTCTTGGCGTTCTATTTTTAAACTTCCTACCCACCTATCTGAAACTTCACTCAACTTCTACAATCAAACACTTCATACCACAATGCCCAGATTACGTTTTAAAATTTATAACCTAGAGTTTTTAATGGATTATCATATATATTGATTATTTGTTTTTGCATTGTGTCTCAGATAGCTGCAATACTTAATAAACATGAAAACCACCGCTTACCTCCCCATGAGTACAACACCAACAGGTAACAAGAGCACGACAACACTGACTGAGCTAATTAAAGCACCGAGTAAGCCGCTACTGAGTTGAGATACACCTCTCAAGGAAGATAGACAGTTTACCATATTAAAAGAGTTACTTGAGGTTATAAATAAATAAATAAATAAATAAATATTATATATATATATATATATATATATATATATATATATATATATATATATATATTTATATATATATATATATGTAGACTGTCCCTAAGTCCACCCAACTCTGATGGATACCTAACTCACGTTAGGGTAAGGAAAGGCGGCTGGGCATAGTGCTGACCACCTTATCTCCTCATATGCCGAGGTCAGAGAAACAATTGAATTCTACTTCACTTGCCACATAGATTGTCATGTTTGAAAGGGAAACTTTATATATATATATATATATATATATATATATATATATATATATATATATATATATATATATATATATATATATATATATAATATTAAGAAGATTCCTCAGCTATCAAGAAAACCTTATGCGAATTGTGTTTACTCACATAACTGGCAGGCCTCCCCATGATACCCCTCTACACAGCCATGTAGACACGCCCCTGTGATAGGGTCACAGCTTTTATTTCCCCCACAGGTTTCACTACAAGTCTGGCTGCAGTTAAAGCCATAACTGCCTGCACCACAGGCTGCAAAAGTTCAAATTATAGCTCAGTGGTTTAAAATATACCTTTGTTTAGTGTATATACAAGCAGTGGCGTAGCGAGGTCGGGTATTACCCGGCCGGTGCGGGACTTAATGGTGTCACCCCCCAGATGCGGGGGACAAACTATCAATTTTCGATTTGCACACCCCCCCCCTCAAACTTTCGATCTGCACCTCTTAAAACACTATTTTACACTCGAATTAATCACTTAATTAAGTGTAATTATCATTTTTCTCTATATATTTTGCTTTTTTTTTGCCTTGGTGTCACCCCCCTAAATGATGTCACCCGGTGCGGTCCGCACCCCCGCCCCTCCCCCCCCCCTCGCTACGCCTCTGTATACAAGTACAGGTTCAGTGAACTCACAATACCATTTTCATTATAATGGGTAGAACCTGGGTCAATGATAGTCGACCCTGTTTTGTTGTTTATGTTATCAGTTGCTTACGTTGGTCACAATGTTGTCCTATGAACCCAGGGTTACAGGCTAGACACGCCCCTGTCACTGCATGACACACGTGACCAGCACATGACGTATTACAACTCTGTTGACATCCATCACGAACCACACTCGATGAACAATCTACAAAAAAAAACCTATTAGCTTTAAAATTCATCGGAATTTTTATATATAACTAAAAGCTTACGTTGTAAAGGATGCATTACTGGTGTATTTTTACAAAATAATGAAAATGTATTTAAGTTCTCGATTAAGAATGGTAAACTTAATCAAAATAAAGGATATATATATATATATATATATATATATATATATATATATATATATATATAAATATGTGTGTGTGTGTGTGTAATTAGGCTATATTTTCTTTGCATACATGAAAACTACGTAATAAGTTGTATACATACTACCTAATACTTAAATACGTTTTTTGAAATACAGCTATAAAGTTTGTTGTATGAAAGGCTGGTAAAGTTCAGACTACTGAAATAACTTTTTAATCTCCCTTGTATAGCTGAATAAAGAGGGGGGGGGGGACGGGCAATATCTGTAGAAACACTTGAGTCTGACCACGAAAAAAAAAAGGAAGGGTGCGGTCAAGAAGACCTCAGGTCAGCACATAAGAGAAATCACTAATAATTAAATTAGCTTTTTAAAATTGTATTCTAATATCTTTCCCCTGAATTGTTCATATGATTGTCTTACTGGTATTAGCGAATGCAAGTTCGACCAAGTCTTTTAGGCAAAATTTTGTATGAATGTTGCTTCTTTGAATTGGTGAGAGGCTACAATCCATTCAGAGAAATAATTCGGAATAAGTAGTTGCATTACTTGTGCAAAATTTTTGTTCACCATTACGTTATTAGTTATTGTAAATTTGACAGTAGTTCCACATTGTCATTAGTTTTTACTACCAATTTATGTTTTTAAAATTGTGTTGTAATAAAAGTAACCATATATCTATATGTAACTTTTGAGCTATTTGATATAAATTTCAGTAACTGTAGCCTATGGTCTGAGGTACTTTTATATGGAACTCAAAATTGCGAATGTTTTAAATAACATCTTAGTTTTGAAAAGTTTATGAAATTAATATTAAGGAAGGAAAGTATTTTTTCACTCTTTTCAGATCTTCAGGAGACAAAACTCAGACACATACAACAAAAGTTGTTAATTATTTGTTGGCGCAGTTATCTGAACACGTATGTTCACAAAACCCGCATAATACATGGGAATACATCATGTCAATGGAAAACTGGAGTAATGGTTTGTTAATCGAAAACAACGCATTAGTTGCCAACTAACCATGCTTAAAACAAATTAAACATACTTTTTAATACCCCCCATGCTCTTTATTCTACGTTTATAATTTTGCATTATGACAATCAACATTTTAAAACCCCCATTAGCACATTACAATGATCTCAACAAATACATTTTAAAATCTTATGTTGTCTAATATGTTTCTGCTAAAATAATAAAAAAACAAACAACTATACTATATATTGCTAATCGCCGCCTCCCTTACACAAGAAAGATTTCCTCAAGCTACACAAAATCTATATATATAATTCTCTTCTGGGATCAGTTAGAAAACAAGCTGCAAGCGCGCCTTTGCAGTCCCCTCTCTTCCTCTCTATCACTACCACCCCCACCCAACCCCCACATGATCTGGTGAGCGGTGTTCACTCTGTTTACATTTTACAATCACAGAGACGGGTTTGGTGACGGCTATTAGGGGCAGATAATTTAGTTTGAAACGATTTTAAACTTAGAGGAGGTAACTAAGAGGAGGCTGCTTTCACGTGTGTGGGGGGGGGGGGGGGGGGGTAGTGTTTTTAAGCAAATATTTTCAATGGCAGCATTGGTACTGTCGAATTCACAAATTATAAATTACTGAAAAGTCGAAAAAAACAACAACTAAATAGCGGCGTATGATACGCAGCGGGTCGGCTCGTGTAAAATAAACTATGTGTTTTGTGTAGATCAAATGTATTCTTACTCACCTCCATAGCACATGCGGTGACATTGCGTGCAGCGACCACTGAAGTGGTGACATGTTTTATTCAGACATCTGTCACTACATCTTAGTAAACAATATACACCATAACGGCCTGGTGAGCATACTGAGGAAGTACAGAATGTATCAGGAGTATTTTTAGAACAAGTTCAGAAAAGTACAGAATGTATCAGAAGTATTTTTAGAACAAGTTCAGAAAAGTACAGAATGTATCAGGAGTATTTTTAGAACAAGTTCAGAAAAGTTCAGAATGTATCAGGAGTATTTTTAGAACAAGCTACGGAAGTACAGAATGCAACAAGAGTATTTTTAGAACAAGCTACGGAAATACAGAATGTAACAGGAGTATTTTTAGAACAAGTTCAGAAAAGTACAGAATGTATCAGGAGTATTTTTAGAACAAGTTCAGAAAAGTACAGAATGTATCAGGAGTATTTTTAGAACAACTTCAGAAAAGTACAGAATGTATCAGAAGTATTTTTAGAACAAGTTCAGAAAAGTACAGAATGTATCAGGAGTATTTTTAGAACAAGCTACGGAAGTACAGAATGCAACAAGAGTATTTTTAGAACAAGCTACGGAAATACAGAATGTAACAGGAGTATTTTTAGAACAAGTTCAGAAAAGTACAGAATGTATCAGGAGTATTTTTAGAACAAGTTCAGAAAAGTACAGAATGTATCAGGAGTATTTTTAGAACAAGTTCAGAAAAGTACAGAATGTATCAGGAGTATTTTTAGAACAAGTTCAGAAAAGTTCAGAATGTATCAGGAGTATTTTTAGAACAAGCTACGGAAATACAGAATGTAACAGGAGTATTTTTAGAACAAGTTCAGAAAAGTACAGAATGTATCAGGAGTATTTTTAGAACAAGTTCAGAAAAGTACAGAATGTATCAGGAGTATTTTTAGAACAAGCTACGGAAGTACAGAATGCAACAAGAGTATTTTTAGAACAAGCTACGGAAGTACAGAATGTATCAGAAGTATTTTTAGAACAAGTTCAGAAAAGTACAGAATGTATCAGGAGTATTTTTAGAACAAGTTCAGAAAAGTACAGAATGTATCAGGAGTATTTTTAGAACAAGTTCAGAAAAGTTCAGAATGTATCAGGAGTATTTTTAGAACAAGCTACGGAAATACAGAATGTAACAGGAGTATTTTTAGAACAAGCTACGGAAGTACAGAATGCAACAGGAGTATTTTTAGAACAAGCTACGGAAGTACAGAATGTAACAGGAGTATTTTTAGAACAAGTTCAGAAAAGTACAGAATGCTTCAGGCGTATTTTTAGAACAAGTTCAGAAAAGTACAGAATGTATCAGGAGTATTTTTAGAACAAGTGCTTATTTCTGCGAATAGAGGAAATATTTAACGTATTTATATCCTCTCACATCCGGTCAATGATAACTATAATATAAAGCCACTAGGTAGTGTGTCAGTCCATCCATCCGTCACTTTGTCTTCGCTATTGTAGAGCTAGGTTCTAAAAAATGCCCATGATGCATTCGGTATTTCGATAGTGCTTATATCCGCCATCGTTGGAGAAATTGTGCAAGTGCTTATATCGTCTAACATCATGTTACTATATTTAGCTTCTATTTATAGGCAAACAATTTTTTACAAAATTTTATTTAACTTGCTTTCTCTGTCTGTCGATTCTCTGTCGTCAGTCTAGATCGAAATGCCAGAGCGAAATTTCGGGCACCTCTAGCTGGCAGATTCATTTCGAAATCGGTACGTTAGTCAAGAGATGAAGACAATGCAATGTGACATTAATTTGAATTTATTGGATGCCTAATTACCTTTTTATGAATAAATTCATATATATATATATATATATATATATATATATATATATATATATATATATATATATAAATATATATATATATATATGGCCTATATAAGGAGCGGAAGAACAGAAAGACTGAACGAAGAAACGGGCACATTGACAGATAAGCAAAGAAACACAGACAAACACCAAAGCAAGTGGACAAACAGACTGACAGATCGACAGACAGACAGAGAGACATATGTTACCTCTACTTTTTTCCTCATTAATCGAAAATAAAAAAGACCCTCTGAAATAGACAAACAAAACTACCGTCGCCAAAGCAGTGTTGACTCCTGACTTCATGACGGGAACACTCCCTACCCCACTGATCGTCTGTTTTGAGACTGCTCTTAGCGGTCATGCGTCATAAACAAGTGCGATGGTTGAAGCATCATTTGTTGACATTTCACTTATGCGCCCAGTCTAAGTGAAGCATACGCAATTTTTACCACATTGTACATGATTAGACGAACACAAACAATATTATGTTGATGTTACTAAAAACAAGTAGGCTACATCGCCAAGTGCAAAGCAGTGTTTCTTTCAGCCAAGCGCAGTCTAATATGAATTGGATAACAAGCAGTATAAAAATCTTGCGATTAGAGAGCACCGTACGTCTACTGAACAGTGGTGTTGGTCCGAAGTTTTTGGCGGAACACAGGATTTTATGACAGCCATTAATAGCAACTAGAGGCGTTGCTGTTAGAGTCACGTGGTCAGGTTGTAAGTCTCTGGTAGGTTGAGAGTCATTTTGTGGGCCGTGTGTTAGGGTTGATGTCCTTGTGGTGGGGTTGGAGCAGGTAATCAGACATGGTAAATATCACACGTCGCTTATTAAAGTTACGACTTTGTTTAGTATACATAATAATACATGCAGGAAAAAAGAAACCAACACACACACACCGACATAATTATATATATATATATATATATATATATATATATATATATATATATATATATATATATATATATATATATATATATATATATATATATATATATATATATATATATATATTATACTGCACGCTCATGGGCATCAGGACGGTAGCCTGGACAAACCCGTGCACCAACTACTATGATAAAGGAACTATAGCACCTGCTTTGTTGGCATTTGAATAACTCAGTTCTAGAAAACAAGATCATGCGTCTAAAAATACACGATCGGCAACCCATTGATGAAATCCTCTTAAATATTACGACAGCCTTTCTCCTCAGACAGCAGCAACGCGCGGGACGGGTTCACACACTTTTGTTACGTTTTTAACTGTATTCGTCTAAGAATGACATTGAAGATTGCTAAAATGAAAAGCCTCGCCGTAGGATACTAGACGTGTAGATACGCCTCTGGGTATTGTAAAATGTTGACATGCTGTGTTGTTGTAAGTTACCATCAGACATGTTACACTGAAGGTGTCGCACATAACAAATAATGTCAAAACTATTACAAGCGCCCATTTCCTGAATGTTACGTCATTGTATACAACACTTCATCAGCGAGACACAACTTGAACTTTCACCTCTACCCAGTTCTAAACTGCTAACAAATTATTTTAAAGCCATAACTAGGTAATATGCATCGATAATAAATCACACAAAACTCACTGACTTTGACAAATTAACTTAAAGGTTAAATTTTAAGTTAAAATAATATATCTTTTGATGCAGAAGTAGTTACAATAGTGACCACACCGTGAATTTATGCACATCTTTAAAACTCAAAAACTCTATTTGGGTAGATGAAGTTTATATATATATATATATATATATATATATATATATATATATATATATATATATATATATATATATGTGTGTGTGTGTGTGTGTGTGTGTGTGTGCGTGTGTGTTGGACCATTAATTCAACTATTAACTTTATCAGACGTGAAGGATGTCTAACCAACAGACCCCTGACCCCTAAGTTAGCCACATAGGTTCCGGGGTTCCATCCGGACACTAACCCCGCGTGCCTTACCCCGATATTTTAAAACGTGACGATCGTGCTCTTGATCCAATTCTCTGCTGCACGCTCTAGGTGTCCACTTCCATATTTGCATGCATTATCCCCCCCTCTCCCACCCGAGGACAAGTGAAGCCGTATTATAAGTGCAAACTATGCTTTCGGATAAGACATTGTAATGGGGACGACGTAACAGTTAAATTTAAGAATATAACAAGTAAGATTGATATTTTCTAATGTTTGTAAGATACAAAAAGTCGACTCACAGATTGTGAGGACCAGGAAAATAAACTTTAGAGCAATGGCTTTAACATGTATAAAGTAACATCAAACAATGTCCGCGCTCGCGTTAACACTAGAAAAATACAAAGCATCCTGGCTACAAGGCACTAAGTGCGACCAAAATACTTTTAAATATTCCTCTAGTTGTTACAGTTTGACATGTCGTAAGTGGTGGATGAACCCAACTGTTCCGCCGACACTTGTTTTATTTCCTGTCACTTACGTAATGTCACTCTAACACTGCAAGATTTGATTAGTACGATTTAACATGTTTCCGACGGCGTCCAATGATTTGTGAAGTACAATTTTTATATATTTGACACTTTACTTTACCACGCTATTGACTACCTGTTTTAAAGACGTTATCTGTTATCTACTGTTGAAAAAAAGATGAGGTTCTAAGGTAAATAAAAATACACACTGCCAGATTGTGATAATAATGTGATTTTCCGGATTAAAGTTAACAATCGTCATCTTTTCCAGAAATAAATCACATATTTTTTCATGACATACTGTATTATAATTGAAAGCGATTGTCTCAACAACAAAGAAAAATGACGGCGCGTATATGCATAATTTTACACTATAAAATATAAGCCACACAATCATAATCGATTTAGAGAAATACAATTGCATCTCATACAGAGTTTCTACCCCCACCCCCCCCCCCCCCCGAACGAAATAGAATTTATATAGAAAACCTATACTTTGCCAGTGCCCCCCCCCCCCCCCCCCCACACACACACGGAAATTGTTGATTGATATTGACATAGCAAGACATTTGATAAAAGGAGACAAACTCGTCATTGTAATACAAATTGTTTATTCTAAGTTATGTCCCTTTGCAGTGGCGTCACTGGGTTAGGTGTACCTGTTGCTCTAAGCACCCCCCTTGTGATGGTACTTCCCCATTGTTTAGTCATACTATAAATAAACTGCTGAACACAGCACATCATTACAAACAATAATTTAATACATAGCGGTAAAGGCACATTTTCTGTAAACGTTTAGTTAAGAATACGATGTGAATAAAAGATTTTGGTCCCTTTTGAACACTGCAACCTGTCAATATAATAGATCAACATTCACTGTCTACACGATATTTTGTAGACTATGTAGCCGCTTAATTTGAAGAAATAGTATAATTAAATCGAGCTTTCAGTACTTTTCGAATAGCCGTACCTATATCAGCCTTAGCGATGGTAAACTTGTTGTAACGATGGCATAATAGTTGAGTGGTAGAGGCTCATGTTCGTATCCCGGCTGTTGTCAAGTTTCCCTTTCAGATGTAACAATCCATAGGGCAGTTGATGTAGAGTTCAGTGGCCGGCAAGATGCGCAACGGTAAACTGCGCAACGTAGAAATGCGCACAAAAAAAATTGTGCAAGGGCTTTTTTTTCATGTTCTTAAATCAAGCATATATAGACGTTATCAAATAATGACCACATGTACATGGTAGCAAAATAAAATATTTTTCCACGAAATATGAAAAAAAAAATAAGGTGTATTAGTATAAATTAGTTTGTATTTGCGCATTTTTCTAGTTGCTCAGTTTTCCGTTGCGCAGTATTCCGTATACGCATATTACTGGGCAGGGGCGTAGCGAGGGGGGGGGGGGGGGGCTGGGGTGCGGACCGCACCGGGTGACACCAATTAGGGGGGTGACACCAAGGCAAAAAATAGCAAAATATATAGAGAAAAACTCGAGGGGGGGTGCAAATCGAAAGTTTGAGGGGGGGGGGGTGCAAATCGAAAATTTGAAAGTTTGTCCCTGGGAAGGGTCTCTATGCCTCTGGGGGGTGACACCATTAAGTGCCGCGCCGGGTGACACCCGACCTCGCTACGCCACTGTTTCTGGGAACAGTAGAGTTTATGTTTCTTAGCCAGTTGAAGGAATGATGTGATCAGCACTATGCCCAGGCAACTTTACTTTCCCTAACAAGAGTCTGGTACCCATTAGAGACGGATGGACGAAGCGACATCGGACTAAGATCTTTATTCTATTCTTTCGTGTTTTACTGTCCCAAGCCCACTCTAATATGGTGACCTCATATCAGGTCACTTCAGGTCTGAGTATCAATCAAGTATGCAAAGAAACATTATAATATATATCTGTATGGGTATGAGTACGGCTAACCAAAAGATCTCATATGATGTTTACAACGGACACAGTAGTTGGCAGACAGCAGTGTATGGGTACGGCTAACCCAAAAGACCTCATATGATGTTTACAACTGACAGTAGTTGGCAGGCGGCAGTCAGCACTGATTTAGCATCCACCAGTGTGTGGAGGGGCCACAACTCGTAAGGCAGTAGCGGGTCAGACGCGAACTGGGCGACACACTGCTCGATGGACACACGGCTGGGGAACCACAGCTGACCACACCTGCGACACAGCACCTGGTGTGTCTCGTGGTCCGTGACGTAAGGCAGGATGTCGTCACGGAACCACGCCCCCACCTGCTGCTCCACGCACCGTCTTATCGTCTGCGGGCTGTGGTCGTGCAAGCCACGCCTACTTTCAAGATGGCGCTGGTTTTGTTTTAAAGTGGCGTAGATATTATGTAAAAATATCTCAGCAGTTAAGAGATCCGGAATTGACGCTGTTTTTAATTTGTGTCGATGCTGCAAGGTCCCACCCAGCAGGTCGGAAACTTGGATTTGTTTTTTGTGGATGGAAGCGATGACGTCACTGCGGTAGGCCTGATGCAGGTCGTGACATACCCCCGGGTAAAAATTCTGCCTCTTCCATTGGCTGTTCACATTCTCTTCCGGCGTCGTGCGCTGCTCCAGGTTATAAATAGCATCGCCGCATTTCTCAGCGATAGTCGTGACGTCACTCGACATGTCCAAACACACCAGCGTCCATGTTTCTTCAAACTTACATCCGGGAAACTGGGCCACGGACCCCGTCCACACCACAAAATTCTTCTCGCAGAACAAAACAGCCATCGCGGCCAACTTAGCAAAACTTTCGGTTGTTTGTCCGCATATTATCTCCATACAAAACTCCGGGTCAAATTTGGTGCGGAACTCTTCTGAGAAACCTTCATGCCATAAGTCTTTAAGCTGAGCAGGTCTGCCGCGGTGGAGAGAGAAACAGGTGGATAGTATGGTCCAGGTGAGAACTCTCGGGAAAGCTAGTGTCAATTTGGTCAGCACCTGGATAACACCTTTCGGCAGGTGAGAAATATACTGGAACATCAACTCAGAACTGACGTGCTTGGCACCGTACAGATCGACGTACATTTTTTGGGGACTGACGGCTTGCACTAGCCAAGTGAGTTGGGAGTGACGCAGGCATTCCAACAGGAAGAACAGACCTCCGTCTTTGATGAATGATTTGCTGTGGTCGTGGATGGACAGCATGGCGTTGTGGGCGAGGAACCAAAGTTTCATCTGGGGGTTCTTCACATCAGGCAGTAGCTCGTACTTCACATCACTGTCTGGACATTTTTACAAACAGTAAATATAATACACACAATTAAAACACAGATGTGTCATGTTATAACATTGTTTTACATTTTGTTTAGCTAACATAAAGGAAGATGAAGTGGTTCTACTGCACAAAGATGACGTCAAAACAATTAAATTAATCAGTTTGGTAATGTCATTATTAGTTTAACACGCACCATGCTCATGTTCAATGGCTTAACAATGTTATTTTGCACATCTTAAAACCAATTTCAGCGTTCCCATGCCTTTTGATTAAAATGTTTCTTTTGCAATACTAGGTATCAGAACAGAATCTACCGTGGTATCAAATGGAAATATCTATTCTTATTGTAGGATTTGTTTCTCAAACAATGAATCAGGTGACGGACGCTGGACTGTTTCAACATTTTAAGTGTGCGGGGAAGTCTGACTATTGGTGAAGATGTGTTTAGACAAGCGTGAAATGTGTTTAGATAAGCGTGCAATGTGTTTAGACAAGCGTGACATGTGTTTAAACAAGTGTGACATGTGTTTAAACAAGCATGACATGTGTTTAAACAAGCGTGTGACATGTGTTTAAACAAGCATGACATGTGTTTAAACAAGCGTGACATGTGTTTAAACAAGTGTGTGACATGTGTTTAAACAAGCATGACATGTGTTTAAACAAGCGTGACATGTGTTTAAACAAGTGTGTGACATGTGTTTAAACAAGTGTGTGACATGTGTTTAGACAAGCGTGACATGTGTTTAAACAAGTGTGACATGTGTTTAAACAAGCGTGATGTGTTTAAACAAGAGTGACATGTGTTTAAACAAGTGTGACATGTGTTTAAACAAGTGTGGTGTGTTTAAACAAGTGTGACATGTGTTTAAACAAGTGTGTGACATGTGTTTAAACAAGCGTGACATGTGTTTAAACAAGCGTGTGACATGTGTTTAAACAAGTGTGACATGTGTTTAAACAAGTGTGACATGTGTTTACCCCTTTTGTCTGGCAGTCCCAAGGTCCGTCGGGCGTGCGAGTCAAGAAACGATGACGTCACAATGAGCCTCTCGAACGTTGGGTGAGCGCTGATACAGGCGAGGAGTGAGCTGGACGGGAGATGCTGCAGGATTTGCTGGGGAGTGAACATGTAGGGGAGTGGTGTAGGGATTTACTGGGGAGTGACACACAACATGTAGGGGAGTGTTGTAGGGCTTTACTGGGGAGTGACACATAACATGTAGGGGAGTGTTGTAGGGATTTACTGGGGAGTGACACACAACATGTAGGGGAGTGGTGTAGGGATTTGCTGGGGAGTGACACACAACATGTAGGGGAGTGTTGTATGGATTTACTGGGGAGTGAACATGTAGGGGAGTGGTGTAGGGATTTGCTGGGGAGTGAACATGTAGGGGAGTGGTGTAGGGATTTGCTGGGGAGTGAACATGTAGGGGAGTGGTGTAGGGATTTGCTGGGGAGTGACACACAACATGTAGGGGAGTGTTGTAGGGATTTACTGGGGAGTGACACACAACATGTAGGGGAGTGGTGTAGGGATTTACTGGGGAGTGAACATGTAGGGGAGTGGTGTAGGGATTTGCTGGGGAGTGACACACAACATGTAGGGGAGTGTTGTAGGGATTTGCTGGGGAGTGACACACAACATGTAGGGGAGTGGTGTAGGGATTTGCTGGGGAGTGAACATGTAGGGGAGTGGTGTAGGGATTTGCTGGGGAGTGACACACAACATGTAGGGGAGTGGTGTAGGGATTTGCTGGGGAGTGAACATCTAGGGGAGTAGTGTAGGAATTTACTGGGGAGTGAACATGTAGGGGAGTGTTGTAGGAATTTACTGGGGAGTGACACAAAAATGTAGGGGAGTGACACACAACATGTAGGGGAGTGGCACACAACATAAAGGTGAGTGTTGTAGGGATTTGCTGGGGAGTGAACATGTAGGGGAGTGTTGTAGGGATTTACTGGGGAGTGAACATGTAGGGGAGTGGTGTAGGGATTTGCTGGGGAGTGAACATATAGGGGAGTGGTGTAGGGATTTACTGGGGAGTGAACATGTAGAGGAGTGTTGTAGGGATTTACTGGGGAGTGAACATGTAGGGGAGTGTTGTAGGGATTTGCTGGGGAGTGAACATGTAGGGGAGTGGTGTAGGGATTTACTGGAGAGTGAACATGTAGGGGAGTGTTGTAGGGATTTACTGGGGAGTGACACACAACATGTAGGGGAGTGTTGTATGGATTTACTGGGGAGTGAACATGTAGGGGAGTGTTGTATGGATTTACTGGGGAGTGAACATGTAGGGGAGTGTTGTAGGGATTTACTGGGGAGTGACACACAACATGTAGGGGAGTGTTGTATGGATTTACTGGGGAGTGAACATGTAGGGGAGTGTTGTATGGATTTACTGGGGAGTGAACATGTAGGGGAGTGGTGTAGGGATTTACTGGGGAGTGAACATGTAGGGGAGTGTTGTAGGGATTTGCTGGGGAGTGAACATCTAGGGGAGTAGTGTAGGGATTTACTGGGGAGTGACACACAACAGGTAGGGGAGTGACACACAACATGTAGGTGCGAACTTTAAGGGTGGAGAAATCTAGCGTTAAAAACTTCGAAATATTCGAAATAAATTGAGCATTGTCGAAAGGTAGAGCATTCTCCTGCTACCCCATAAGTATCGAGTTCGGAACTCGGTCCCTACTCGGGACTGCAAGATGTCCCCGAGCCTAACCCAGCTCTGATGGGTACCTGACTCTAGTCCACCCAGCTCTGATGGGTACCTGACTCTAGTCCACCCAGCTCTGATGGGTACCTGACTCTAGTCCACCCAGCTCTGATGGGTACCTGACTCTAGTCCACCCAGCTCTGATGGGTACCTGACTCTAGTCCACCCAGCTCTGATGGGTACCTGACTCTAGTCCACCCAGCTCTGATGGGTACCTGACTCTAGTCCACCCAGCTCTGATGGGTACCTGACTCTAGTCCACCCAGCTCTGATGGGTACCTGACTCTATTCCACCCAGCTCTGATGGGTACCTGGCTCACTGAGTCCACCCAGCTCTGATGGGTACCTGACTCTATTCCACCCAGCTCTGATGGGTACCTGACTCTAGTCCACCCAGCTCTGATGGGTACCTGACTCTAGTCCACCCAGCTCTGATGGGTACCTGACTCTAGTCCACCCAGCTCTGATGGGTACCTGACTCTATTCCACCCAGCTCTGATGGGTACCTGACTCTAGTCCACCCAGCTCTGATGGGTACCTGACTCTAGTCCACCCAGCTCTGATGGGTACCTGACTCTAGTCCACCCAGCTCTGATGGGTACCTGACTCTAGTCCACCCAGCTCTGATGGGTACCTGACTCTAGTCCACCCAGCTCTGATGGGTACCTGACTCTAGTCCACCCAGCTCTGATGGGTACCTGACTCTAGTCCACCCAGCTCTGATGGGTACCTGACTCTAGTCCACCCAGCTCTGATGGGTACCTGACTCTAGTCCACCCAGCTCTGATGGGTACCTGACTCTAGTCCACCCAGCTCTGATGGGTACCTGACTCTAGTCCACCCAGCTCTGATGGGTACCTGACTCTATTCCACCCAGCTCTGATGGGTACCTGGCTCACTGAGTCCACCCAGCTCTGATGGGTACCTGACTCTATTCCACCCAGCTCTGATGGGTACCTGACTCTAGTCCACCCAGCTCTGATGGGTACCTGACTCTAGTCCACCCAGCTCTGATGGGTACCTGACTCTAGTCCACCCAGCTCTGATGGGTACCTGACTCTATTCCACCCAGCTCTGATGGGTACCTGACTCTAGTCCACCCAGCTCTGATGGGTACCTGACTCTATTCCACCCAGCTCTGATGGGTACCTGACTCTATTCCACCCAGCTCTGATGGGTACCTGACTCTAGTCCACCCAGCTCTGATGGGTACCTGACTCTAGTCCACCCAGCTCTGATGGGTACCTGACTCTAGTCCACCCAGCTCTGATGGGTACCTGACTCTATTCCACCCAGCTCTGATGGGTACCTGACTCTAGTCCACCCAGCTCTGATGGGTACCTGACTCTATTCCACCCAGCTCTGATGGGTACCTGACTCTAGTCCACCCAGCTCTGATGGGTACCTGACTCTATTCCACCCAGCTCTGATGGGTACCTGACTCTAGTCCACCCAGCTCTGATGGGTACCTGACTCTATTCCACCCAGCTCTGATGGGTACCTGACTCTAGTCCACCCAGCTCTGATGGGTACCTGACTCTAGTCCACCCAGCTCTGATGGGTACCTGACTCTATTCCACCCAGCTCTGATGGGTACCTGACTCTAGTCCACCCAGCTCTGATGGGTACCTGACTCATGTCACCCAGCTCTGATGGGTACCTGGCTCACTGAGTCCACCCAGCTCTGATGGGTACCTGACTCTATTCCACCCAGCTCTGATGGGTACCTGACTCTAGTCCACCCAGCTCTGATGGGTACCTGACTCATGTCACCCAGCTCTGATGGGTACCTGGCTCACTGAGTCCACCCAGCTCTGATGGGTACCTGACTCTAGTCCACCCAGCTCTGATGGGTACCTGACTCTAGTCCACCCAGCTCTGATGGGTACCTGACTCATGTCACCCAGCTCTGATGGGTACCTGACTCACTGAGTCCACCCAGCTCTGATGGGTACCTGATTCACGTTAGGGAAAGAAGTTGGTGGCTCGGCATAGAAACTGGTGAACAATACTTCATCTGCCCTGCGGATCTTTATTTCTGAAAGGGGAGCTGTTATACCATAGATCGTTGATATAAATACAATGTTACTTGTACATTTGTAAAAATATACATACTGCATTAATCAATCTAGAAAAGAATATATTTTAATTTGTGTTTTAATATTTTGAACTTTAAAAACTCTCGATTTCCTGGCTAGTATTTTAAAAATTAATTTCAGCTATATCTAAAAAAAATTATTGATTGAACGGCTAATGACACCAATTAGATACTCAGGGTCGCCTAACCCATTAACACTAGTATTTTATTAACCATCACGCGGATGGTCCGTGCATATTTTAGACTATATTTTATAATCAGTTCGGTTAAATTGTGCGAAACTTCTAAAAATAATTTTTTTTTCTGTAGAGTTTTAATGAATAGATCAGCTGGCATGTATGGTTGGATACGAACATTTTGCATTTAGAGAAATGTAGTTCACGGAGATTTTTATTTTATTAAGCCCGATCTACTTGCAAGATACTAGATGTCTAGTCCGTCTCTCTCTACTTGCAAGATACTAGATGTCCAGCGGTCTATTTCCCCTTACAAAGTACGACAGGCACCTACACGTATTGTCTTTTAAAGTTTGTACTCCGTCCTTTCACTTCCACTACACACCGCTCAAGTAAACAAAAATCTGTGTCAGCTGGTGTTGTTATTGTTCGACTAGGTGTGTTATCACTCAGCTTGCTAACAACATCATGTTTACAGATACGCGCTAGTACGTAAAATTGTGATCAAATCAAAACGAATCATTGTGTACAGTGTATAATAACCCCCCCCCCCCTCTACAGTAAGATGAAACTCACCAGAATGACTTCATGCGGCAAACTTAACAGCTGTATCATGTTAATCTGATGATCTCCCTTGTCACACACTATCAGACACAACACTGGGATCACGATGATGCAGCTACTGGTTCGAGACTCCCTCCGCTATTTGAAAGGATCCTTAAACAGCAGGCCAAAACAGATGAAACATTGAGTAATAAAAATACATTATCGACAAAGTCATACGTCGTTGTTTTAGAGTAGTTTTTTATTGTTTCCATCAGGATAAAAATAACGACACATACACAGAATAAAACCATCTGCAACTTCTGTTGTAGCCAAATAAATTCAGGCTCCCAACTTAATTTATGTCAACAACGTTGGACCAGGTGTAAGGGTCGGATAGGAAAGTTAACTGAGGAACTGAAATAGGGATCGGACAGGAAAGTTAACAGAGGAACTGCTGTAGGGATCTGATAGGAAAGTTAACTGAGGAACTTCTGTAGGGATAGGAAAGTTAACTGAGGAACTTCTGTAGGGATAGGAAAGTTAACTGAGGAACTTCTGTAGGGATAGGAAAGTTAACTGAGGAACTTCTGTAGGGATAGGAAAGTTAACTGAGGAACTGCTGTAGGGATAGGAAAGTTAACTGAGGAACTGCTGTAGGGAGAGGAAAGTTAACTGAGGAACTGCTGTAGGGATAGGAAAGTTAACTGAGGAACTGCTGTAAGGATAGGAAAGTTAACTGAGGAACTGCTGTAGGGATAGGAAAGTTAACTGAGGAACTGCTGTAGGGATAGGAAAGTTAACTGAGGAACTGCTGTAGGGATAGGAAAGTTAACTGAGGAACTTCTGTAGGGATAGGAAAGTTAACTGAGGAACTCCATCAGACCACAGTGTCAACACAGATCACATGACCACAGTGCTGTGAGTGACGGGAATGTGAAACTTTGAATGATGAGCAGCGGTTTAATGTGGGCAGACCATCCCACTAACACAGAAGAGATGACCAGACAAAAGATGACCACAGAAGAGATGACCACAGAAGAGATGACCACAGAGGAGATGACCACAGAAGAGATGACCAGACAAAAGATGACCACAGAAGAGATGACCACAGAAGAGATGACCACAGAAGAGATGACCACAGAAGAGATGACCACAGAAGAGATGACCACAGAAGAGATGACCACAGAGGAGATGACCACAGAAGAGATGACCACAGAAGAGATGACCAGACAAAAGATGACCACAGAAGAGATGACCACAGAAGAGATGACCACAGAAGAGATGACCAGACAAAAGATGACCACAGAAGAGATGACCACAGAAGAGATGACAACAGAAGAGATGACCACAGAAGAGATGACCACAGAGGAGATGACCACAGAAGAGATGACCACAGAAGAGATGACCAGACAAAAGATGACCACAGAAGAGATGACCACAGAAGAGATGACCACAGAAGAGATGACCAGACAAAAGATGACCACAGAAGAGATGACCACAGAAGAGATGACAACAGAAGAGATGACCACAGAAGAGATGACCACAGAAGAGATGACCACAGAAGAGATGACCACAGAAGAGATGACCACATAGGAGATGACCACAGAAGAGATGACCACAGAAGAGATGACCAGACAAAAGATGACCACAGAAGAGATGACCACAGAAGAGATGACCACAGAAGAGATGACCAGACAAAAGATGACCACAGAAGAGATGACCACAAAAGAGATGACAACAGAAGAGATGACCACAGAAGAGATGACCACAGATGAGATGACCACAGAAGAGATGACCACAGAAGAGATGACCACAGAAGAGATGACCACAGAGGAGATGACCACAGAGGAGATGACCACAGAGGAGATGACCACAGAGGAGATGACCACAGAAGAGATGACCACAGAAGAGATGACCAGACAAAAGATGACCATAGAAGAGATGACCACAGAAGAGATGACCACAGAAGAGATGACCAGACAAAAGATGACCACAGAAGAGATGACCACAGAAGAGATGACCACAGAAGAGATGACCACAGAAGAGATGACCACAGAGGAGGTGACCACAGTAGAGATGACCACAGAAGAGATGACCACAGAAGAGATGACCACAGAGGAGATGACCACAGAGGAGATGACCACAGAGGAGATGACCACAGGGCTGTTAGTGACAGGAATGTGACGATTGAAATGTTGAGGAAAAGTTTTAATGCATGCTCACCATACAACCAACACACAGCCACTAAGTAAAGTTACTTTTTCGAACCTGACGGTCCATGGAACAAGAACAGTCATGCTGTTGTTTGTGTGTTTAGCACTACGACTTTGTTTCCCGAACGTGATTTAGATACCCATCACATCTGGGTGGACTCAGGGACTTTCTACTGGCTTGAACCCGGAATCGAAATCAAGACTTTTCGGGTTAGCCATTTAGCACTCTACCACACCTTCCCATTATTCGCTACTGTTGGGTTTTTAGTGAGAGCTATGCCGAAAAAAATAGTTCCATTGTTTTTCCCAGTTTCATCGGTAGCTTCCATACGTGTACCGTATCGGGGCAACAAGACACAGTTGACTAGAATCAAAGCTGCAACCAGTTTAATACTATCTTCTCGACGATGAACTGTATTTTATGATTCCAAAATGTTATAGGACCTACTTCAATTTGAATGTAGCGAACGGAAAATAAAGTATTTCGTTCTTGATTTTAAATAGAGAAATTGTTCAGGCAGACGCCCATTTAAGTAGAGTTTTTTTTATAGACCAGTCAATACTTGATACAGAGTTTCTTTTAGGCACCCATTTCTGGTACTTCCCTCCCCCACCCCTCTGAAGCACGTCAACCCCACAACCTCACCCCCACCCCCACACCCACACCCCTCAAAGAAGATAGGGAAAAAAAAACTTTAACTTTATTAAGTAATGTATACTTTAATCAGTGCCCCCACCTCATCTACGGAGAAAAACGTCTAAAAGAACCTCTGCTTGAAATACACAAAATTTAATTTAGATCAACAGTATTAAATTGTTATTGTTTAATTGCGCCATGAGTGGGTGTCAAAGACCGTATAGCAGATAATTCTGGAACATACATTTGCATAGTCCAGCAGTACTAGCATTCATCAAGGCTTTCAGCTCTAAAGAAAATTATTCACCATCTTAACGTATTCGTTCGTTTCTTAATCTTAGTCAGCTCGACGCTTTTTATTATGAATTATTTAAAATAATTTATTTTAACTCATTTAATCAAAGTTGTACAAAAATTTAAACTTTAAGAAAACCTAAATTAATTTAATTAAATTTTAAGAGAATCTTAATTAATTTAATTAAAGTTGTACAATAATTTAAGTCTTAAGAAAACCTACTAATAAACCTCTAATGAAATGTTCCCATAATCAGTAAAATAAATTTTACGAAAACCCACTGAATAAATATTAAGAAAACCCATCGAATAAATTTAAAAAAAAAACCATCGAATAAATTTTATGAAAACCCACTGAATAAATTTTAACCGCGACAAAACAACTGTAACAAACCGCACTTGAAAAAAAATTCTCACCTGCCTGATTGGTAAACGAAAACTCAAAGCCCAATCTCGGAATGGTCACGTCAACACATTTCACCAAACGAGCCTACAGTAAAACATGCAAACACATTTGCTGTAATAAATTGCAAGTAAACAATAGATAGGTTTGTTAATCAACCCTCATAGGATTAGCATTAATAATCGCCTACATAATCATATACTTCAAGGGGATAATGGATTTAATCGTCATTGTCCACCAGTATAAAAACGCTATCTCAATCAGCATAATGATTCGATATTAAACCATACACTGTGTGCTAAGTTTCACAATGAATATCTTCTGTAATGTTAACTGGCTACCAAAAACTGACGTGCTCTGTAGCAACAAGAACTACGTGTAGTGTCGGTGTGTGACTGAATAAAATACGTGGTTTTATTTATTGTGTTAGGATATTCCTCCCTTTATTACAATACTAGATTGTCCTACGCGAATGATTGGATGCTGTACAAGCGCTCTACCAGCAAAACAATACATCCGGACAACTTTGTCAAGGAAATGAATAAGGCCGGTAATAAACCCCTACGTAAATGCCGTTAATATATAACAACCAGATATTTATAATTTAATGAGTACTTCTTTTAAAAAATGTAATGAGGGCTTTACATTTCTGTAATTTTAATTGTAGGGGCGTTTTTATATCAACGATAAGGCACTAATGATTTCTGGGGGGGGGGGGGGGGGGGGTCGCAAGATCAGCCATCAGGGTGTCGCGGACGCTATTGGGAGTCACCGGTTATACAACCGCCGGGGCGCCGGGTGCCACACTTGGTTTGTAATAGTCATCAACTGTAGTAGCCCACGGTTTCACTGGTGTATGGCGTTCTTGAAAAAGAATATAGGCGCTATAGCGCTCATTGAGGTGCAGGGTGTGTATGGGCAACACAAACTGCTATGCCACGTAGACCTGTCATGATTAGACGTCCTGACATACACACATACACACATATATTAACTTTACATATGATTGATTTTCTTCTTATATTTAACGTATGCATAACAAAAACGGTTTAAAGAAAACAACTTAATGACCTTATATTCATTAACCAGTTAATTATGTTAAGTATAGAAAGATAGAACAACCAACTGTACAGTAAGACATCAGGCTGAAGGGTGGACAGATGCTTAGTAATAAAACATCAAATTACCTCCGCAATGTGTGTTTAACTGGTGTGTATGAGTTGTCCTTCTTGTTTGTCTGTTGTGCAACATCTGTTAGGTAAAATATACTTTAAGCACGATATATATTTTCCTTGTTATAAATTGCAGTGTTTATTATATGTAAATATGATGTCGTTGAAATGTTTCATAAACTGGCTTTTTAAACATAGCTTTGAATGTGTCATGATTAAAGTATAAAAATGATTAGATTATATTCTTTTCGCATTCAATAATTATTTTTTTAAATTACTCTCAACACACTTTTCAAACCCACCCTAATACCGGTCCGGGCTTTGCATGAGTGGGCGTAGATGGAGGGGGTGGGGGGGGGGGGGTGGAACAAAAGCACTGGCGCTCGTGAATCGATACTTGGCTTTAAGAGATATGTCGATTGAAGGTCGGAATCGCTCAGTCGATACCTTAAAGACTGGGGTTAATTAACCCCATTTAACCTTTGACCCGGCGATCGATCCCATTGGCGACAGCTGGTGTTGTAATCTGCACTCAGACAGGTGCCAACAGTATCGAATGGTTGGTGCTTAGTATGTCAAGCGTCAAGTTTCAACAATACTATCCGGCAAGTTTCATCAATACTATCTGGCAAGTTTAATCAATAGAATATTTACTGCCAAGTTTTATCTATACAATAATATCTGCCAAGTTTTATCTATACAATACTATCTGCCAAGTTTCATCTATACATTTCTTTATGCCAAGTTTAATCAATACAATATTATCTGCGAAGTTTCACCAATACAATACAATCTACCAAGTTTCATCTATGCAATACTTTTAACAAACACAAAACTTTCGTAATTTATTAATCTGACAAGCACATTACCACCAACAAAATTCATACAAGAATATATTATTAAATTTTTTTAAAAAATTATCTAATGTATTTTTTTTTCTTACTAACTAATGTTCTTATCAGAATGTCAGTAATTATAAAAGTAAAAAAAAAACATTTTCACAAGTTATCCAAAAAAAAATATTAGTCCGTAATAGACATGTTTTAAATTAAACAGACTACTTAAAAGATCGAATTAATATTTTCTTAAACTAAAATTCGTTAAATATAAACGTTATCAATTCTTAAGCGTAACCAAGGGGCCATATTAGTTGTTCGTAAATCGTGTTTAAACAGATCAACTCTACTCTACCAACGCGACTCTCGACCAAGTGCCACACATTTTATAACGACAACACATTCGAGTTGATCAAAGATAAGACTTACCCGGTAGCACACATCTCCGTACTCGATAAAATAAATGTTAAATAGAGGCCTCATCGCACAGGTGTGTTCTATTGAGTGATTAGGTTTGCGTGTTGATTATCGAAAAACGATAAACTATAGGACAGACAGCGTAAACATTTCTTGAAGACTGACAAACCAATTGTAAAATCTTTAAGCTGGTTTTTTATTTATTTGTTTTTTTTTTTAAATTATTATTTTTTTTTGTATTAGCACACAAGTGACAAAGACAAATTATCTTTACAACACGAACTAATTAGGTGTGTGTTTTTTTATACTAACATGTGGTGACCTGATTAAGAAAAGAAAGCCAACTCTCGCTAACAAAGGTAACAGGTCACCTTCTGATGATCACCTCTCTTATCGTCTGCTTGTACAGATACAGATACAGCCTTTACAATGTCATATTTTAAATAGATAATCCCCCCTACCTTATTTTCACATCATAATTATGTTAAAACATGTGTGGGGCATATGTTACTACATAGCAAGCTTAACCCTAACCTAGCCACTCTCCTAATCGGAGTTTTTAAAAATTAAATAACGCTTATCCTTAACCTAACCGTTAATTTATTTTCATTCTGTATCTGAATCTATTACCTGACTCTAATCCTAACCCTAATTGTGAATAACTTTATTTTTATACGTACTTAGCTATCGCGACAAACAGAAAAGTGTTTGAGGCTACGTCAGTTAGGTTCATGGTGAGATTAAATGTTGGTATTTGTATTTAACTAAACAACAACAACAACAACAACAGACACTTCACAACAATATTCCATTGTTGGCGACGGGACGTGTCAATGGCCAGACAATGATAAAAACACGTGACCTCGATTTTAATTTATTCTAAAAGACGAAGGACAATGGAACAAACACTGTGTCCTAAAAATGTGCATTCGTAAAACATGTGTGTGGGCGTGCGTATATATATATATTTTATATATATATATATATATATATATATATATATATATATATATATATATATATATATATGTGTGTGTGTGTGTGTTTGTGTGTGTGTGTGTGTGTGTGCACGCGCGTGTGTGTAATCTATACGTGCAGTTGCCCTGAGCTAGGAAGAATCCAGATAGCCAACATGAGAATAGACTGTCTTTACTTTACAACCTAGTCAATCGGCAAGCAATCTATGCTTACGGTCTATGAATAACCGCGCGCCCCAAGTCTCTAATTTATCTGAGCCAGGCTTACACGCATCATCGATCTCACAGCTTTCATCACTCAGCTGGGTCATGTTGACATTTAGGCTGATGCTAACGGTACTGCACATTCTCATTGTGGGGGTGTATGTCTCTAATGAATCGGGCCAAAACTGGCCAACTTTATAAGGTGTTGTGGCCAAAACTGGCTCACTTTATATGGTGTTGTGGCCAAAACTGGTCCACTTTTTTAGGTGTTGTGGCCAAAACTGGCCAACTTTATAAGGTGTTGTTTCCAAAACTGGCCAACTTTATAAAGTGTTGAGCGCCAAACGATGGTCCTGTTTACAACAATGTTACTGGTCAAAACAATGGCCAAACTTTTAAAAGTATTGCGGGCCAAGTTTACAACAGTGATGATGGCCAAACCATGGCCGACTTAACGACATAGATGCAGGCTAATATTATGACCCAGTTTTTAATTACACAGGCCGCAATTGTAGACCAGTGTGTTACCGATATCCAATCATGTGACATCACGGAAAGCAGACGATTGCTAACCAGTTGGTAGGAACCTTACGCAAGAAATAACATAACTTAAATAAATCGTAATAATAAATATAAAACGTTAAAAATATAAAATTATACGACAGAAATTTAGCTTTTGTTTTCTAAATTTAAAAAAAAAACGAAAACTTACTTATTGACGTAACAAACGACATATTGAATTTCACGTCATTAAGTCATCAGAGTTTGTCGAAACAGTCTTATAACACTTCGAGACGGCAATAATGAGCTGAATAAAGCTATATAGATATAGCTCGCGGGCTGAACATGGGATTCGACTATCATTCGCTAAAATCAAGACCGTCTTGCCTCAGTCAGTCTTTAAAATATTCTAAAGAAAATTTAAGTTCATTGATGTCATCATCTACCACTAAAAATGAATACATCAGCACATGCTAAATTTTAACTGTTAGTAGTGTGTACATCGTAACGTGATATGTATACACATATAAAGTAATGCATTGTTTTGACAGATCAGCTGGAAATGGTTCTCCCTTTAATATACCATGAAGTATTAATTTGTTGGGATGGGGAAGGGAGGGGGGGGGGGAGTAAAACGCAGTGATTTTTAAAGATTATTACATGGTAAGGAGAGGGGGTGTGATTAAAATATTAGATTAAGATTATGTCTTTAAGCCAGCCTCACCAGCGTGTGAGATAATTGTCTGATTGATTATTTTAATCAGCAATCAATAACATTTTTAAATCATGCTTCGTTACTATTTGATAATTATAAATATCTCTGGTAGAAGAGAAATCGATTCGATTTAATGAAAAAAAAAAACGGTTCGAAGTTACATTTCAGTGACAACTCATAAGTGGAACATAATGAATCACAAAGACCAAATCCTGAGCAGCTATTCACCCAACAAGTTTCTCAGAAGGGAGTCACTGGTATTTGTATTATAGCAACAATTATATATATATATATATATATATATATATGCGTTTGTTTGTGTGTGTGCAAGTGTGAGTGCATGCATACGTGCGTAATAAAAGAACCAATATTCGAAAATATCCGCTTACTTACATCTGAATAAATGACGACAATGTATGTAACCTAAGCGGATCAAATAACTAATCAAAGTATTACCTGGATGCCGACCTAGACAACATGCCCGCACTAGGTACGTACCGGTGACTAGTTCGTCTGCTCAATACCTGGACCAGGTAAACATGCTGTGGTGTCACCTGGCGAATCCTTAACGTACCGGAATTATGCATGACAACTCTACCAACCTTGGCGATAATTACCTGTCCAATGTAATATTTTGTGGGGAACGCGCAACATGGCCGATCACGTGACATCGAGGCAGGTCACGTGACGAGTAGCAGTTTAAAACCGGCGCTGTCTGAGGACGCCGAGTCATCAATATCGGAGAACTAGTCTGTCGAGAGTTAACCCCCTCCCCCTCAAGGTATTTGTATGATTACCGCCCTTGCCAGTGTAAACAAGACAACAATAGTCTATTGTGTGCAGGTCCGTCGGTGCGAATAAAACAAATATTGTTGTTGTTTTTTAACTTTGTGATAAAAAATTTAACAACATTTCTTCTTTTTATATAAGCTTTGGTCGGTAAAATTTAAGAGATTTTATAAGCGACATTGCTTTTTCTAAAGGAAGCAATTTGTGTTGGTTTTTTTCCTGTCCATTTCCAAGCTTACTATTTCAAATGTTATTTCAATATTTCGGAACTCAGGCAGATGAGGCCTGTTTAGTGGAGACAGCAGCCCGTCTAGAAGAGGAAACTCCAAAAACAAAACAAAAACTGGTGCTTTACATATTGGTCTTAGATAGAGAAATGCTATGGAAGTAAATCCAGTAAGAAAAGAAGGCTAAAGTTGACATGTTGACATGTTATACTTAATTGTAATAGAGGAAATCTCCATCAAGAATGCAGTGGGACAAAACAGTGTAAGTAAGCAGTCTTACGACAAACGGACTGAAGGACAAACAGGAGGACACACGTAGTGAAATAAAATCTTATACAAACATGTGCAGCCTCTGAAGACCTAAAAGCCAGACTACACTGAAGTATTAAGTCCGATCAGAATTGCAAAGTTGAACTGAGTCATAGTTATTGGTGCTTAGATTTCGATTCAAACTGGCTGTGTACATGTTATAAGAGTCTCATTCAATGTAGAACATTTGAAGTTCCACGACGATAATATATTCTAAGTTAATAACAAGACCAGGTACATCTTATAATAAACCTTACCCCCCCCCCCCCCTCCTATACTACCATCCTCCTGTCTCCAAATTTAAAAAGAAATTATAATTTTTTTTAAATTTAGTGGTTTTTGTGTTTTAAATTTCAAAGAGGGTCTAACCTAGCTTTATGCTGTTTTATGATAAAATTGTCATGTAATAAAATACTCTTCCCCCACCCCCGATCACACCCCCCCCCCCCCAACTTTCCCATCGACCAAAGCATGACGATAAACAGCCACACTGTACGTGATTTGATTTTTTAAGCTGACATTCTTAAGACGTAAACATAAGCTAGCAAAACAAAATATCAAATAAAACAAGCCGTCTTGAAGTTGTATTTGAAACAAGAAGCCTTTCAATGATACAGTCTTGTATACAAACTGTATGCAACATGACATGAACATACAGCGGTAAACACGACGAGCATATAGTATTAAACACAACGAGCATATAGTATTAAACACAACGAGCTTATAGTATTAAACACAACGAGCTTATAGTATTAAACACAACGAGCATATAGTATTAAACATGACGAGCATATAGTATTAAACATGACGAGCATATAGTATTAAACACAACGAGCATATAGTATTAAACACAACGAGCATATAGTATTAAACACAACGAGCATATAGTATTAAACATGACGAGCATATAGTATTCAACATGACGAGCATATAGTATTAAATGCAAAGGGCATATTCTATAAAATACAAAGAGCATATAGTATTAAACACAAAGAGCATATAGTATTAAACACAAAGAGCATATAGTATTAAATACAAAGAGCATATAGTATTAAACACAACGAGCATATAGTATTAAACATGACGAGCATATAGTATTAAACATGACGAGCATATAGTATTAAACATGACGAGCATATATTATAGTATTAAACACAACGAGCATATAGTATTAAACACAACGAGCATATAGTATTAAACATGACGAGCATATAGTATTAAACATGACGAGCATATAGTATTAAACATGACGAGCTTATAGTATTAAACACAACGAGCTTATAGTATTAAACACAACGAGCATATAGTATTCAACATGACGAGCATATAGTATTAAATGCAAAGGGCATATTCTATAAAATACAAAGAGCATATAGTATTAAACACAAAGAGCATATAATATTAAACACAAAGAGCATATAGTATTAAATACAAAGAGCATATAGT